GAACGTTGGTTATTTCTGAGCGCGTAGTGAAAGATGACGTGATATTTACTTGTCTTGGGGATGGCCACAACAACTGCGTACTCCTGTAATGCAAAAAGAAAGTGGAAGGAAGAGAAGAATCCAGAATTTACCAAAATACGTCAAATACCTCCGGAACAGGTAAATCTGTCTCACCATCCAGTTTCAAGTAAGAGTTAACAAACAAAAACAAAGTAACAAAAAAGAAAAAACAAACAAACAAAGTTACAAAAAACACATCAAAGGAAGCAGGAAAAATCAGGGCAAGCTCGTATAGCTATATTCCAACGCATTCATAATCCTGACTCAATCTCAGCTATGATACGCAACAGGTTTACGAGAAACTCGCACTTCCACGACGAAGGGAACGATGGGAAGGAATAGGCGAGGAAAAGAGAAGAGAATCTCTCCTTTTTCTCCCTTCCCATCCTCCCCAGCGCCCAAACTATTACCACAAAAGCGCCCCAGAAGGAGTGACGACAATACCTTATATGGTGGGAAAATTGCGTAACCAACTCCAGAGAAAGATGGAAAGACATCATCATCAGCCGCTATCGGAACCCGGATTTTAGTATTGGATGTCAACACCGCTCTCTCCAGCTCAACATAGGTGTGATACAAAGTTGGGTAATATGTCGCTCTTGACGCATAGAGACTGCAAGGAAAATGTTCAGGTTTCAGACAACAAGCCATAACCGAGTTCTTAAAATCCTCAGTTTCAAAATGAGGCCACAAGCAAAACCTTATCTGTACAAATTAATTCAGCTGATAGGTTCACTGTCCACATCACCTAGTTACGCAATTTAAGGGAGTTAAAGGTTTACGCCACGTGACTCCTTGCTGCTTTTGATGACTCAAGCCCGCTAACAGGGCTATCCACTGTATTGGAGAGTTAAATAACTGAAGAGGGTTTTGAAAAGAATGAACCATGACATCTACTGTACATTTTGGCTTCTCAAGCCAACTGCCAAAGGAAACAAAAGATACATTTTCCATGCAGAGAATCCACTGTTGTGCACAGTGCACATCAGCCTCATGGTGGACGGTTTGTTGAAAACGTTAAAAAATTTTCAATCTAGAATGGGAAAGGGTAAAAGCTTGTTTCGTGGCAGATGAAAATTCACCTACACTCCTTCGCGTTTGGTTTTAAAAACAAATTTTAACAGCATAATCTTCAAAGAAGTACCAAGGGGAGTGGGGTGCAAGGGAGGAAGTCGACAAGAAGCGTGACAATGATGGGGTGAAAGTCTCACCTGTCACATTTCTTTCCTCTGACTCCAGAAATACACTGACAGTTTCCTAGATGTTTGATACAATTTTTTCTGAGCGATCCGCCAGGATCACATTTGCACGCTATTAGAGAGGAATAGATAAACAAAACAGTCACAAAAGTGCTAAAGGATCGATCTTTTCATGAAGGAAAAAACTTTAGTCACTCTAAATCCTCTTTAAATTACCTTGTTAAATTCACATCTCTCCCCCCTCCCCCCCGTCCTTAAGATAAAAAGAGAGGCAAAAAAAAGGGACGCCAAGAGTCAAACAAATCAGTTCATGGAAGAGGAATGACTTCCCAGATTAAATAAAAAATAATTCATTTGTTAGGCATTGAATATATATTTTGTTTCATTTGTTCCACCCTTAATTTGGTACGAAGAAAGGAAAACATCCAAATGCGATTAATTCGTTACGGGCCACGGTCTGTCTGTCAAAGTCTAAGTCAGGCCTTAAAAGCCCCCACACTTCAAAACATGATACTGAACTTAAAAGAATCAACGCCTCACCTTTACAACCAAATATATCATGTGACTTCATTCCATGGTACCCATCTCGGCAATTCTGACACTTTTTACCCATCACATGATTCTTGCATTCGCAGCGCCCATTTTGCGCATGACAGTTGCGTGTACCCGACACAGTCCCAACATGTGAGCAGCTACAGGATGTACAACCAAGGGGGTTGCTGCCGCTAAAGTTGTAGAAACCGTGCAGGCAACGATCACATGTGCGGCCCACAACGTTGGACTTACAAAGGCACTGATACTAGAACAAGGATGGTATATATTAAGACCTGTCATTTTATAAAGTGAACTGAGTAAACAAGGGTTGAAAGTTTTTGCGAGTAAAAACTGTCCAAAGAAAACGTTCTTTATGGAGTGAAGACGTTACGGTTTCGCGTTTTAATTGTCGCATATGAGCAACTGGGGACTTTTTCTATATCTATAGAGCCTTATCTTAACCCTTGAAGTTTCATGAAACTATTGAATGGGCGAACAAACCTGGAGATAATACCACACAAAAACAAAAAAAAACACGCCTCGTTGGCTCTGCGTGCTAAACAATCAAATCAACCACCTCTCCCGACCCGAATCAAAAAACAAATGATTAATTCTAGCTGTATCATTCCTCGTACTGACCTTGGCTGAACCGTAACACATTCGGTTGGCAAAACCAGGCAAGAATCTGGTACCATCTACATTACAGTCACACTTGATACACGCGGGAAAGCCCACCATATTTTCTGCACAGCGGTCACACTGAATACCTCGGATGTCGGGCTTACAGGAACACTCCCCGGTTGTATAGTTACACTGTCTACTGTACGAGCCAAAGGTGTTACAATTACACGCTGAGTAGGTAAGAAGATTGGTCAAATATCAAAGACTCGCTGAGGTAGTTCCTTCGTTAATATTAATGGAGCATGCCTCACTAGTCATGGTCTTTTTTATAACGGTCCCAGTAGAGAGTTACGGGAAAGAAAAGGGATGGCGTTGTTCTCTCCTTGAGCTCTGTATTTAGAGCAAAAGAAAATTACAACAGTCTGGGAGTATTTATTGCATTTTTGTTTCCTCTTTTCGTAACAGAGACGACAAAAGAAAATATTCTTTTCAAGAGGCGTAAGTGCGTGATTCAAAAGTAACAAAACGCATGAAAGGCAATCAAACCTCCTGTTTCCCACGCTTAACCTATCAGCAGCAGAGTGGCGCAGTGGAAGCGTGCTGGGCCCATAACCCAGAGGTCCGAGGATCAAAACCTCGCTTTGCTAAGATTTTTCCTTTCTTAAAAATGATATTGATACTTAATTGTCAGAAACTTTCTAAACTCAGTGGAGAAGAACTATTTGCGGGTGACTTAACGTTTTTCCTTTTGGAAAGATTTTAAAATAATAATATAGCTGACTGCTAACTTATTCTGATAACGCCCACGAAAAGTCGAAGTCACATCCTTGCCACCTCTCCTCCACTTACCTCTACAGTTTGGGAAACCATAGTAGCCATTTGCACAGCGGTCGCACTGTATCCCGGCATACCCATCATTACATACGCATTTTCCAAGTTCATTACAAGAACCATATCCACGAGGCGAACACGAGCACCCTGGCGAAAAACATAGATCAGTAGGTACCTGGGAACAATTCTGAACGATATAATCATACACCACAAAACTTTTACGAACACGATATTTGCTGAATGAGATCTTATTGGATTTGAAGAACAAGACGAGAGGCAAGACTAATGGTCCTCTATCTGTTGTGTTATTGGCCCACTTGTAATACTAAATCTATTCCACACTAAAGAATATTTTTGCCTTGAGAAGGGATCTATAACCAACATGACATTGTCTCTCACGAAGTTAAGATAGGATTTTCACAGTGAACACAGAGTCAATTAATTGTAGGTTTTAGTGAAAGCCTTGATATTGCGAAAGTTGACACACAGAAAGCGGTGCTTTGATAAGGGTGGAGTTTTCTTTAGCTCCCATACCGGCCTGGGGGAACATTACTTGTTTAGGAATACTCACTTTTACAAACAGGGAAGCCGTAATATCCTTTTTTACACTGTCCACAGAAAAGACCTTCATAGTTGGGTTTACATAAACACCTATAGCCGTCGGCGCTGTCCTCACATATGTCATATGTTGTTGTTAACGGATTACATCCACACCCTGAAAAATTAAGCGATGTGATGGTACAATCATGGAATTGCGTGACGTGATACATTTGAGCTTCAGCAGCGATGCCACGCAAATCACCACTCAAGTTCAAGTTGGAAGCTACACGAAACTGGCTTTCGGTAATGCACTTTTAATTATTAGCTTTGAAAATGGTATCTTTCCTCATATCGGTATGGCCAAGAACTCTCGAATATAGTTTGATATCTAAGGAATTGTTGATGCAACCTATCGACTTATGAAGTGAAACATAAGTAAATAATAATAATAATAATAAAAACATTAACAAGACTAAGATAATGACAACGACAATAATATTGACAGCGATATTAAACTATGAACAGAACAATTAAAAATAACAGTGATAAAAATGATAATAACGATAATAATAGTCAACTTACATTGGCAGTTAGGAAAGTTATAATAACCAGCAGGACACTTGTCACATTGCCTTCCTCTGAAGCCATATCTACAGGGACACTGCCCGGTGTACGGATCACAGTAGGCACCTCCACCGTATGAACCAGACAAGTTACAGTCACAAGCTACGAAGAAAGAGAGTACACGTTTTTGTCGAAATATCCTCGCGTCTATCGCCGGTGCTGGAAAGTAGTAACACCATCTTCCTTTGAACGATATCTTTACAGCACAGTTTCACTGAGGGCACAATTCTTCAATTCGCAGCCTGATTAAATAAAGAGGATTCCTGAAACTCACCTAAACATGTGGGAAAGCCATAAGATTTGACAGGACATTCATCACATCTTCTTCCTCTGACACCTGGCTTGCAACTACAGCGTCCTGTATACTGGTTACAGACTAACGATGCGGAGCCCTGTTTGTTACATCTGCAGGCTGAAAGACAAATACTAGCGCATGAAAAAATAAAAGAAAAACCTTACAGCTAATTGATCCGTTTGTCCCGGGGTACTCCCTATTACAAAAGACGTTAAAACGGTACTAATTTTAGAAGCTTATTCATGGAAGAGTGGAATCTGAGCACTTCCACGCATATTTACGAGAAAAAAAGGAAAATTCACAGGCTGACATAACCTTAACCAGGTATTGTTTCTCGTCATTTGTCCCTCTAAGAGGGGAAAACACTGCTTTCCTACCAGGCCAACAAATCCAGCCGTTGAATCCACCTCTACTAATAAATAAATCTTGTTTTCATCTCAAGTTTTTTTTTCCTCGAAAAACTTCGAGGAGGTTCACTCATTTCTTTTCCGGAAACATTCCGACCCTTCTTCAGGGCGAACTGCTCTAAATTTTGCTGAACTGTCACAACCTACCCTTAGTAGCCTTCCATGACTGAACAAGACTTCCAAGATACCCTGAAATAAATACCAGTGTTGGGCTACTTACGAGCACAAAAAGGATAGTTGAAATAACCAGGAGCACACTTCTCGCATCTTAGGCCAGCGAAGTTCGCACGACATATACACGGTTTGTTCAGTGCCGTAGGAAAGCACTGCCTCGTGACTGTTGCAAACTTGCTACAAAAGCACACTAGCAAAGGAGAAGAAAAAGAGAACCAGAACAAGTCAAGAAAAAATTTACTTTTGTCTTGGAAAAAAATGTCATAGTAGTAATTGAAATTTTCACCTCCTAAGGGCAAATTAAAAATCTTTCGCAATTCTTCCTCTGAAAGAACTCGGGGAGTGGTCGGTACAGTCGTTTTTTTCACAGTGGTAGGCACAGTGGTCGTTTTCATGGTGGTGGGCTCAGTGGTAGCTTCCATAGTGGTGGGCACAGTCGTTGTTTCCACGGTGGTGGGCACAGTACTTGTTTCCACGGTGTTAGCCAAAGTAGTAGATTCCACGGTGGTTGATTTAATAGTTGTTTCCACAGAGATGGGCGCAGTGGTGGGCAAGGTGGTAGTTTCCGCAGTGGTAGGGTCAGTCGTTGTTTCCACAGTAGTGGGCACAGTAGTTTTTCCCACGGTGTTGGGCATTGTAGTAGCTTCCAAAATGGTTGACTCAGTCGTTGTTTCCACAGTGGTGGGCACAGTACTTGTTTCCACGGTGCTAAGCAAGGTAGTAGATTCCATGGTGGTTGATTTAATAGTTGTTTCCAAAGAGGTGGGCACATTGGTGGTTTCCATGGTGGTGGGCACAGCTGCAGTTTCCACAGAGGTCGGGTCAGTCGTTGTTTCCATAGTAGTGGGCAGAGTAGTTGTTTCCACGGTGTTGGGCATTGTAGTAGCTTCCAAAATGGTTGGCTCAGTAGTTGTTTCCACAGTGGTGGGCATAGTAATTGGTACATTCTTTTTTTCCACAGTGTTAGGCAGTTTGGTGGTTTCTACGGTAGTGGGCACAGTGGTATTTTCCACAGTGGTGGGGTCAGTCATTACTTCCATAGTAGAGGACACAGTAGTTGTTTTAACGGTGTTGGGCATTGTAGTAGCTTCCAAAGTGGTTGGCTCAGTAGTTTTTTCCACAGTGGTGGGCGTAGTAATTGGTACATTCTTTGTTTCCACGGTGTTAGGCAGTTTGGTGGTTTCCATGGTGGTGGGCACAGTGGTAGTTTCCACGGTGGTGGGGTTAGTCATTGTTTCCACACTAGTGGGCACAGTAGTTGTTTCCTCGATGTTGGGCATTGTAGTAGCTTCCAAAGTGGTTGACTCAGTAGTTTCCAAAGTGGTGGCTACAGAAGTGACTTCCGTCGTAGTCAAACCTGTAGTACTTTCTACAATGGTGGGCTCTGTGGTTATTTCCACTGTGGAGGACTCACTTTTGTCTGCCACAGAGGTGATCTCAGTATCAGTTTCCATGGTGGTGGTCTGAGTCGTGACTTCCATTGTAGTGGGGTACACAGTAACAGGTTCTGTTACAGTAGTGGTTTTCTCAGCAGCATTTCTAACAACGGTGAACAGGGAAGTGTTTTTCACAATGGTGGCCCTTGCAGTATTTTCAACAATGATCGACATTGTTGTATTTTCCACAGTGGTGGCGACAGTTGTAAATACTCCATGAGAGGCCAGAGTATTGTTCTCTTTGTTAGACACCGCTGAAGCCTCGATAGGGTAGGCTAGAGAAGTACTTGCGATCGTAGCAGTCATAGAGGAAATTTCATCGGTGGTAGCCAAAGAGTTGGTTTTCACAATGGTGGACAGTGTAGACATCTTTTTGGCATCCTTTGATGAAGGAGCCATAGTATTTCCTTTAGGTTTAGATATAGTGGTGGTATTATAATGAGAGGATGCTGAATCAGGAAAAATAGTATTTTCCTTTGACGTGGATACAGTAGCATTCTTCTTGGGTATTGACGCACCAATAATTTCCACCGTGGGAGGTAATAGAGACAAGACTTTTGTGGGATACACAGAGTTACTTTCCGCCACAGTTGGCACAGAACTGCGGATCTTGGAGGAAGGTACGGTATCGTTTTTCACAGCAAACAGTACGGCAGAGGTTTTTCCAGCAATAGACACAGTTGTCTTGTCTTCAGGGGTAGTTACAGCGGTCGTTTTCGCAAGTGAAGACAATCTCTTTTCTTCGCTAGAAATGCGTGTCATAGCAACATTCACAGTGGAAGGCGTACTTACTGTAGAACGATCGTTAGCCATGGAAGGACTATCAGACACTGCACTCATTTCTCCTGAGGGAGGAGCAGCGCTACTTTTTACAGTGCTGGAACCGGAAAAAGTTTTTGTAGTAGTGTGTAATGCAGTGCGGGTGAAGAAGTTATCAGTGGTACTGATTACTTTAGATGACCGTTCACTCTCCTCCATATGGCGAGTAACGCTTGTCGTGTGTGCCAAAGATGTTTTGTTAGAGTTCACTTTTGAAGTATTCTTTGGTCTACCTAGAGACAGTAAAAATGCAATGCAAAACAGAAACTTAACCTACCGGAAATGGCTCTGTACAGAGCTAAAGGGGGGAAATGTGGTTTTTAAAGCATTTCTTATCTCTTAAACGACGTAAAACTACCATTCCAAGCAACTTTTCATGCACCAGCGCGTGACGACTTTTATCCTCTGAAAATAGCAAAATGGGAGCCCCCGAGACAACGATTGTTAGTTGAAAAGCCAAACCGAAACATACCCTCACAATCACCATTGTCGTCTCGAGAGTAACCCTCGCAACAAAATTGACACCGTTCCCCGCACGTGTTATGGCGACAATGGCAAGCCATGCGTCCATCGTCTGTTGGACTGCACTCATCTGTATGGCCATTACAGACACAGCGTCCTTCTATTGAAATGTCACTGATTGAGTAGTAATCCTAAATGCGACAGAAAAAAGGTAGAGGACGAGTCATTTGCCACAAATAAAATGCCATTTTTAAACGTGCGCGCGCTACTCACGTGTGAAAATTGTAGGTATCACACTTGCGCTATGAATTTGCGCAACGTAATACAAGAGAATTACCTTACAGCGAAAACTTATTTCTCCAACTACACGATTGAAATATCTATGCCGTGATCTACATCACATGGGTGAAAATTTCCTCTTTTTGAAATGCTTTTCTATTTGTTTCCCACGCATGAGACTGCAAAGAAACCGGAAAAGCAATTCCTAAAAATAAAACGCCGCCAATATTTACCAACTTCAGTCTAATCAAAAAGTTTCCAAACAAATCAAACGCCAAATCGTATTCTTGGTATACAGACTCATTCATAATATCGAACGGATATAGAATCTTGCGGCTCCACTTTGCATAGCTCGAAAATATTGCCATTTCAAAATATTACCTTTTCTCGTTGTTATGATTATGCCGCTTCAACAGGAACGCAAAAATTGGTCCCAAGTCGAAATAAAAAAACCGGAAAAAAAACTCCCACAACATTTTTACGCCTTAGAGTAGGGTACTCACCGAATAGTTGTTGCTTGCTTCAACAACAGGCCACATTTTTAAAAATCTCAGCTGGACACTTGCCGCCAGATGATTCAGAAACTGTAAATAAAGAACTGCTATAAAACTCTATTTTCCACGAGGGCAAGTTTCAAAACGTTTCACATCTTGCAAGGAAAAGTTATACTAAATAAATTGTAAAGCGCAAGGCGGTGTTGTAATACGAAAATAACCCCACGGTAACCCCCCCTCCCCCCCCTTCCCCAGAGAAGAGCAAATGTCACAAGTAGCCATTGAGGCAAACGGCTCGTTGTAGAGAGACTGGTTGAAAGTTGGCTAAAAATTTTTAAACCAAACACAAACTGAAGTACAGAACAAAGCCGAAGAAATCGTAGATAACGCTTGGAACTAACTTGGTTTACAGTTATAAAGGCTTACCCTAATCGATTTAACTACTTTGTTACCTTTTCTGCTGGAACCAGTTTGAGTCTGAAGGACTTTTAATCATGAATTTTTTCGGAAAACCTTCTCTTGCTTTCAACCAAGAGTTTTAATTTTTGTCAACTTTGACGCGCGTGGCCCATTTTTGGCGGGAAAAGTTCTAACGCGAACGATGTACAGTCGTAAAATAGCGGGAAAGTGTCAAAACTGTTAAAAAATCGATGGCTTCTCGTGATATAAATCGTTGCTTTAATTGGGCGTAGTCGTTACTTTTGTTTTGGCTCACGACCCCGCACATAGAGGAGATTACATGAGTACTTACAGTTTTGCTTTCTGTCCACGAACGTTCCGATTGTAGATGGCAAACAGGACTGTCTAACAGGCTCACTCCGAAGTATTTTAAGCAATCGTCTTGGTTTTTAACATAGTAACGCACCCCCTGAAAGTCGCTGTCAACATCGATGGTCGTTTCCAGGGCCCAGACAGCGGGAAGAGGCGTTTTACCTGCCTTCACAGAAATACTCTGTATCTCCAGTACCTGAAACGAAAGTCGAGTCGAATGTAAGGAGTATATAGAAAATAAATAAAAAAAACTTTTCTTCCACCAAACTTACATTGAAAGACAGTCAATCAGTGTTCTCCTTTTCAGGCAGTAACTGGTAACATTTACCGTCTGTAGTACCTCTTATTACCGTTCAAAATTGCTTGGAATTCTTGAAAATTCAACAGGTAAAAGGATGTCATTTCCTAACAGTAAGATACTTTTTTAAGCAAGCTCAGTTGGTATTGACTCATGAGAAATCTACAGTAAAATGTTATTATTTCAGCACCAGATTAAAGCACAGAAAAAAAATAAATAGCAGAGCGAGGTTTTGATCCTCGGACCTCTGGGTTATGGGCCCAGCACGCTTCCACTGCGCCACTCTGCTGTTGGCATTCAATGTTCAGATTTTGGTCTTTAACAAGGCGGACCAATTTTTTCCCTGTGCTTTTGGCGTGTTATATCACTAAACGGTCTTAGATTATTTTAGGAGAGCTCGATATATAGTGAAACAATTATGATCTGAACAGATTTGAGGTCAAAAATCCTCTTTAATTTTCGTTAAATGAAGGTGGAAACAGTCTCAACGTACGTTGGAACGCTTCCCTGTACGAGGTAGTCGTGGCCGAGTGGTTAAGGCGATGGACTTGAAATCCATTGGGGTCTCCCCGCGCAGGTTCGAATCCTGCCGACTACGAAGTATTTTACGCTTTTGCTTGCAGTTTTAAATGCAGGAATTTACCGCTAAAAGGTAGGTTTTCACTGTGTTAATTGCTATCCGCAAGAGATAGCTTGACTCCACAAATTATTGGAACTCTAAATTGAAGGCTAAGTTATTTGTGCAGTTCACGTGATTGTTTTAATAATTGTTTCTTTGTTAGCCTTCAATGGACTTCGCAGGTTTGCTGACTACGATCTATCTATTTTCAAGCACATACATTTTTGAAATTCGTCCTTACTCACTACAATCTCATGCGTAAGAACAAAGAAAAAACCATTAAAACGAAAGGCAAATCACACTCATGTCATGCAGGTTACGCCACTAAAAATTAACTTCTGCAGATAGAGTAATCCATTTTTTCTAAAAGGTAATACCTTTGTATTACATCCCGCATCATTTCTGCTAAGCAATTTCACGCGTGAGTGGCGCGCACATAAAAAAAAATTGACTTCTTTTTTATGGCCAAAAGCTTGCCAGTGATTTCAATCGCGATTTTCCCGTAAATGAGCTCGTTGGCACCTCTTATTTTGTGAAATCATCCTTCAATTCCCAGAATGTGAAGTCGATTCTCCTCTAAACACCAGCTACTTCCTTAGAGTATAGGCACTGAATTCAGAGGCATCTAATTTCTCAAAAAAAGAAAAAGTTCATAGCAGAGCGAGGTTTTGATCCTCGGACCTCTGGGTTATGGGCCCAGCACGCTTCCACTGCGCCACTCTGCTGAATTTAAGTAAGGATAGAAAATTTGAGTCTTTTCACAAAGCTGCTTCGAAGTTTATCAACTAATCGGAAATTCCACAAGCATGCAAACATTTCATGCACAAAATACACATTAGCAAACATCACCTTTAATCGGAAAGACCCCGAGAGGAATGACCACTTACGACGCCAAAATTGCTTCTAGTTATAACTTTGTTATAATTATCAGTTGCTAAGTTTCCATGGTAAAATTAAGGAAAATTTGGGAGAAGCAAGGTGCGAGGGATGGCAGTTTAACCCTTTAACTCCCACAAGTGATCAACATGAAACTTTCTCCCTATAATATTCTTACATTATCCGGCAAACAGCTAATGAGAATATTCAAACTTATCAGGTAGAAGTCGTTGTCTTAGTCTTACACCAAATTCTCATAACTAATTTTAAAAATATGTTTGGCAGCTAGAGGGGAGAATTACCAATCAGATCTTAGGAGTTAAAGGGTTAAGGAGTGATGGTGATGGTGAAAAGGAGGACAAATTTGGACACAAAACGCATTGAGGTGGACAATAACAGGTGCCGGTAAAAATGTTTTCTTTGAAGGGTAAGAAGGAAGCAATTATTAAAACTATCACGTGAACTGCACAAATAACTTGGAAAAAATTGGCCCCCAATTTAGCCTTTCAATAATTTGTGGAGTCAAGCTATCTAATGCGGATCGCAATTAACACAATGAACACCTGTCTTATACCCGAAAATTCCTTTGTTTAAAACTATAAGCAAAAGTGTTCTCTACTTCGTAGTCGGCAGGATTCGAACCTGCGCGGGGAGACCCCAATGGATTTCTAGTCCATCACCTTAACCACTCGGCCACGACTACATTCATTTAAGAGAATGACGTTGGTCGCAAATCTTTAATGACTTTTATGCGGAAGCGCGTATCACGAAAGGAATCAACATGCACGGTGCGACTCTGAGAAGTGATCATGAGTGTCCTCTCCAAGCGTATTCTCCCTGAAAATATTACAAATATATGGAAATAGCCTATCTCCCAAATTGTAATACACACGGTATCTGGAGGTTCGCCCCATTGCGATGTTGCCCCTACCGCCTTTGCGAATTCGCCCCGGCGAACTCCGGCGAAAGTGGAAGGAGACGAACTTGCAATCAGGGTGTGAATCCTTCCTAAACAATGCTCACCTGTGGAAAGTTGATCGTGATGTTGAGCTCCTGTAGAATACTCTCCTTATTCTTTGGGAGAGACCTCCATTCCCTCACTCCATTCCCTGTCAGTACGCTCTTTATGCTATATGAAGCATTTGTCAAGGGATCGCATGCGGAACACGTGTCACTTTGATTTCCATTCGTCTGGTTAGAATCGTCTGGTACCAAAATAAGAAAAAAGAAGACGTTTGATTCTTATTTCTACTTAAAGTCATCCCGAGTTACAGGGACATAATAGGCAGATCACGCCCAACAAAGGTCTTGGAAACATTAGAAAGGTAACAAATATATTTTTAATCGCTTTTAAGTAGCACATGATCCACCCGGACCCACCCATCCCAAAAACGGTCCGTAGTTGACCCGTCCCTTTGACCTTAAACTCTTTAACTACCAAAACTGATTAACACGTAACTTCTTCCTGTAATATCCATACATTATCCAGCAAAAAGGTAATGAGAATATTCAAATTCATCAGATAGAAGTTGTTGTTTGATCTGACGCCAAATTATCGTAACTAATTTCAAGGAAAAGTGTAGTAGCCAGAGGGGAGAATTAACGATCAGATATTGGAAGTTAAAGAGTTAATAGGCGGCAAAGGAAGAGCTGCCAGAAATGTGTTTGGTGTGGAGGCTTCAACGTTTCAGACTCAAGATTTAATTGGGGGGGAGGAGGAGGGGAGAGATTCATACTGTTAAACTAGGGAGTCCCGGGCTTTTTTTCTCGGTATTTTCTTTGACATTCCTTTTGTGCGTTTCAATGTCTGCACACAAATGTTACAGGCGTAAGTCACTAGGAAATACTATTTGTACCACTCGTTTATTTTCCTGTGTTCCACTTGAGATTCTTTCATCGATTCTGTACTCAATACCATTAGAAGAGGCGCGTTCAACATAGAGAAACGCACCTAAACGGCTCATCGATGCTACAGAAGCTGATCAGCCCACTTGGGACTCACCAAGGATTTTACACGACTCGCTGCGCGTATCGTCCCCCACGCAAAACTCTCTTCCCTCGCGCGTCCTCTTCGTAGAGACTAAGAAGCGCCTAATCGATTCTGACACGAACAGCCGATGAACGTTAATTTAACATCATCAGATTCGCGTCGAGAGGCAATTAAAGTACAGTAATTGCCTCACTTGCCCGTCGAGGCCGTTCCTAAAACTTGAAATCTTCGTCACTTAATAATCGCGTCGTTTCCGAAGCCACATAACGCGTTTTGTTGGTTTTGGACCACGATATTATTAATTGCTGTGATCCAGGATTCACATGATTCCATGTTGATGATCGCATGACTCGCTAACAACCGTCAAGATGGTATCTCTTGGTGTCCACGGATCGTATTTACTTTCGCTACAACGCAGAAGTCTCCATCGCTTGTTAATGACGTGCTGCTCACGGCGCAATATTCGCTAGGTCGCTAAAAATGACGCAATAAAGTAGCTTAAAGGATATTTCGTAAGGTATGTCCGTCAATGGGCAATTTTATAATCTTTCCCAGATTTGTGTCACGCCATTTAATATATATAACGTGAAAATCGACATTACGACGCAATTAACTTATTTTTCATCACTGAGCGATACCCCTTCAAGTTAAGATCCCGCGGTAATTGACACTGTCATATAGACGAAGGCGAGTTCTTCCCTCTGACTTGCGAAATTTCACCGATTTTGTGGCTAAAAAGCCTATCCTCTTGCGTAGATATTGCAGTCGAAGTTCAGTTCAGCGGTTTATTTTAGTGTCAAGAGATGTGATGTGTTGTCAGCTCTTCTTGATCTCGGGGGACAACAGGAAATATTTCTGACTCAGCGATATAAGATAGAGGCATGTTTAACTGAAAACGCTGCAAACAAACGTTGTCTAAAGGAAACATGACATAGATCGGCCCAGTCATCTTCTTTCCTGTTTTATTTGGATGAAACCTCCATTGTCCATTGTGTAAAAGATAAGAATCGCCCAAATAACTGAAGCTCGCTGATTGCGCTACACGTGCAAGGCAGGAAAAATAAACCCAGTCGCTTTAGTACAAGATAAAGCTCTAAGCAATTTGATTATGAAAGTATGTAAACAATTTTAAGCAAAGAGGTGTCAGCTTTTAAAACAATGCTTTGTTTATTGCGAAGCTAGAGATATGCCTTAGAATCTGTCTTTAAAGAAACAGGAACTTCTCACCTTCCTCCTTTGAATCACACCAAAACACTGAATCTTGTTTGTTCTGGAACGCGCCAGTACCACACGACAAAATTGTCTCCAAACGAATCTTTTCCCCGATTTTGAAGCTTGGTGGCTCTGAATAAGGGAGTCCACTTGCTATTATTTCGCTGTTCATCAAAATCATCGAAAAACACGTGAGAAAAAGCTGTGTTTTCGAACTAACACGAGGCACCTTGTCGAGCGCGAATCTTGACATCCTTCTTTTACGCGGAATATCGCAAGTTCACGGACTTCTAGCGTAAATCGTGTTCTTCCAGAATTATTTACAAGAGGATGGCCTATGCATTCAAGGTAAGCAATCACGTTCTTGTTTATATTGGAGATCTCAGCCGGTTGAATGTTAACATCCGCGGCGTGACCTTTTGACTGCGTTGAAAGCATACTGTCTCAAATAATAACTTCCGGTCGATGTCACTTTTTTCCGGTCGTGCGCTGATCCCATCCCACGACACACCTTAAGGTGCCATAAATCAAATCAAAGATCCTCATTACTCGCTTCATGAATTGAAATAATTTCAGGTATCAGTGATTTGTAAACATATTTTCATTACAAATCAGCCAGAACTATAGTTCTGATTCTCAAGCTTCGGCAGCTTCTTTACATTCCGTTCGTTCTAGGCATACTTCCGAATTCGAACATGAACTAACGCATTTCTTACCCGCAGTGAACTCAAATTTTATCTCTGACAAATTTGCGTCTACTAAGTAACAAATAGTTTTCTCCCATCAATTTAATCATGATGCCGTCATGACCAGTAATCGGAGTTTGTTTGTTTGTTTTTTTTTCTTATCAGAACGCGAAGCACAAAATTCAGAACTTTCTAAATAGCCGCGGGGAATCTGTGGTTGAGCTGCGTGCACGTAACATTCCAACCGATACTGGAAACCGAAATCAATACTGGAATTATTTGTATTCTTTTCAAAATTTCACAGGTTTTAGACGGAGTGGTGGCCCTTTGTTCACCTAAGGTCACAAGAGCCTCGAGAAGATTTTCAACTATTCTCAAATAACGGAAAGATTTCCGAATATCCTCAAAAAATGTGATCCTGTGGTTTAAGGGCGTGTAAACATGGTCGAAACTAACCCCACTTAATTCGATCGAAAAACCACAAGTAAATTGTTGTAAATGTATATCACGCATTGGCTAGGATCCGATTGAAAACGTGTTGAGTTTCGTACTGAGTCATCCGCAAGACGTCTTGCTATTCTGTTAACACTGTTTAGTTAATGAGCTCGATAACTAACATTTTGTAAACGGTTGTGAATATATGAAAGTCATATATTTGAACTGCGGTTAAAGACGTGAATGAAAGCGATCTTCGCAGTAATGAACACCACTTAAGTAGTAGTGAAAAGAAGGCCTGAAAAAAATTCAGGCCTGTACGGGATTTGAATCATGACCTCTGCGATAACATTTCGTAAGTTGTGCTCACTAAGGAGAAAGATGGATGGCCGCCAGTTAAAGTTGAATTGTCGTCAGACATTTTAGTTGAATCTAACTTACTAAAGGGTGCGTAGTAGTCAATCTCTCCTCCTTTAACCCTTCAACCCCTGAGAGACATCAGCATCTCATTTCTCCTTAAAGTATTACCTGTGAAACAAGCTCAAATGTTATGAGAATAAAAGAAATGATCGCGAACTCAAGAAGCTATAGATCATTAGACAAATTCTCCTTGAAATGAAGAGAAAAAATTTGGAGAATATGCACATAGTATTGATATTAGCGTGTAAAGGGTTAGACTATGCATGCAAGAAATTCCTGAGCTTTGCAGACGTCTTCCGAAGTTTCTCTCTCTTCTGCAGCAATCCGCTTCGCGTGTCTACCGCTGAGCCTTCGCCACACCCGCTAAAATGAAACAGGAAAGACAACCCACAGAGGCTTAAACCTACCACAGTAGCAACAATGTTTTTTTTAATTGCACACGAAACTCACGAAACCTTTTAAATTTTATGACAGACCAGTTCTCTCCACCGCATTAGATTTAAAGTTTGTAACCAAAACTTCTGTTGTTGAAAGGATTTATCAGTGGTTCATTCGAAGTGAAAAAGCTTGGCATTAATTGAATTAGTATATCTATATATGATCTTAAGGCAGAATATTCTTCTTTTGCAAGAATTCGATTACTCGTAGATTTAGCTGACGAGATGTGTATTTATAAGTGATATCATCGAGGTGGAATTTATAAGCATGCTTTAAAACGATTCATCTCTATCGAAAATCAAAAAAATTTTGGCAACCGGCCTAAGATTTTAGGTGTGGACTGTTTTTTACGCCCCTCCTCGGAGTACTTTCATATTTTGTCTTTATCGACATGTACGATAATGCGTCTGTTATCCATCCTTACCACATTAAGTACCTATGCGCAATCACTTATTCAAATTTAGTTTTCGCCCCATGCGCATGTCTCTTTTGACTTCAAAGACATTTGGAAGAACTTGTTGGACAAACGCTTTTGGTAGTCGATTACTTTCCACAATCACTAGAAAATAGAGGTTAACTTGATCCCTCATTGTTGACGAAAAATAATCCTTACGGGCAATCAAAACTTTCCTCAAACTTCCTAGCCTAAGAATGACTAGTATCTAAATTCTCCTTACAATAATAATAATGCTGAATTAGCCTTAGATCATGAGAATATGAGGAAAGATCGCCAACCCCCGAGAAGTTTAATCCTACGAATTCTCCTTGTCAGTACTAAAGGAAATGTATAGAGAATTATGAGAATATGGATACTGATATTAGGGTCTAAAGGGGTAAAGCAAAATGTTTTAGGTCGGCTGTCCAAAGTAACATTACTCTGCCAACTAAAGATTATCGTTTACAAGATAACTCAGGTTTTTTTTTTTTTACTCCACTTCTGCATCCCACCAAATAAATTTCCACGTAAAGGTTATGTTTGAAGTAGATATCGTTTATCTAATAAATCTTGAGATTGGTTCAGCACCGGCCACTTTGCGAACAGACAATACCTGCACTGTTGGGCCTGTATGAGTTTAAAAATTTAATCAGACTTCAAACGCCAGCTCATCTCTCATTTGGTGAGGTTACTCGGATTGGAAGATTTGATCAGAGAATGTGATCCCTTTCACGTTGCCTTCTCGGAACGTCCTCGTTCACTTCCATACAAAATGACCAGCGTAATATAACCGAATCTAAACGAGTCCTGACGAAGTCCTACCCAAGTTTTTGTGAGCCCGCATGCCACACATGAAATCGAGGTTGACAGTTATCGATCTTTTTTGTCAGTTTCCCGCGCAAAGCACATGCCCGTTAGAAGCCTCGATCATCATGGCGGACAAACTCGAATCATCCGAACTTAAATCTGAGGCCAAAGAAACGGCAAAGGTTGACGAAAATCTCATCCATTCTCTTCACCAGAACTTGAAAATTTTCACGTTAGATTGAAAGGAACCGCGCAGCTCACCTGCCTTTTGTTCGTTTGATGCTATTTTAGGATGAAAAGTCAAACAATGTGGAGACCGAGGATTCGAAGCAAGTTTCAAAGAATGGTGAAGACGAAGACAACGAGGAGTCAAGCGAAGAAGAGGAGCATGCAGGTAGTTTTATTTCGATCATGAAGCATCATACAATTTTAAGCTGTCGTGTAAACGTGTTCTGTTACTCGCCAATGACTTCTGTAGTCTATAGTAAACACTGTTGAATTCGCAGACAATACACAATCATTTAAGTTACATTTTTGCGAACAGACAGACATTTGGATCTTCCTTTTGTTTGTCATCCGTATACTTGCTATGATTGCTTTTTTGCATGATACTTAAGCAGTGTATTATTCTTAGCTGTAACTATAGCAAATACATTACAACAGGGAGCTCACGTCAGAAATATAGTTTTCCGAGAGGCCCTGTAACATGTCGTGGCTTGGATCGCAGTGTTTATCAACAGTATCATAGATCGATGTCTAATTGGTTTAAATCTGGGGGATCAAATAGTGCATTGATAGTAATTGGTATAAATGGAAAGCAAAGTATATTTTTTTATTCCCTTAAATTACCTGTTTAATGCATGGCCAGTCTGAGCATAATTTTATGTCTGCATCAGAAATTAGTTAACTCTTTAACTCCCATAAGTGACCAAGAAAGAATTTCTCCTTACAATATCAGTACAATATCAAGCAGACAAGTGACAAGAATAAAGAAAAATCTTAATTAGGGGATTATTGGTTGACCCAATACCAAATTCTCCAAACTAACATCACAAGAACTATATGGCAGACTGTAAGGAGAATTAACAATGAGATCTTGGGAGTTAAAGGTTAATGTTCTTCTCCATAACTTGTGAAATCCCATGAGTGACCAAGACAGAATTTTCCTTGACAACATCAATTTACAATCAAGCACATCTGTGAGGGGAATAATCAAAATATCAATAAGGGGATTATAAGTTAATAATTAAAAATACCAAATTATCTAAATTAATACTGTAAGAATTGTATGGCAGGCAGTTAAGAAAATTAGTAATCAGATATTAGGAGATGAGCAGTTAAGTACTTTTCAGCATTTATCCTTTGAATTATTTAGATACTGACACATATACTGCAAATAAAAATGTTGAATTGAAGTATTTATAGCTGCACATCAAACAAATACTGAGCTCAGTGATCTCTCTAGGACTTTATGACAAGCCAGTCGTTATTGAAGGGAAAAGAGCAAGGAAGTCGACAGACTTTCTGGTCAATCAAACCACACCAACTATAATCAAAGAGAGCAAGCCTCTTATCTTTGAGGTAAAGCTACTTAAATTCATTGATACTCTTTTGATTGTTATAACTGCCTGTTAGAGGGTTTCTTATCTAGAATAGGTGTTACTTGTGCAAGTTGACTTATTTGAGTTCAGAGGAACACTATTTGTCTACTTCCATGGGTGATTATCTTGCATCTTTTGCCAATAATATCAATACAATTTCTAGTAAATAGATGATGAGTAGAAAATACTACATACAATTATCAGGGAGATTTTGTGATCTTTATGTAACTTAACTTCTCTTGACCTATTGAAAGTGAAGTTTGTAGCAGTTAAAAGAAAGAATTACCTATTAGTTTTGAGAAGTGAAACACATTTGGACACCATTTGCATTTATATTTGCCCTGGGAGGATAGTGATTAAATTGTTAATGAGTAACAAGTTTTCATGTTGTGGCTTCTCTTCTTAGGGTAAGGGAGAGTCCCTAGGATCTATTGAAAGAAGTAAGTATACATGCTTAAGAGGCTTGTGATTATTGCTGTTTTTATTAAGAGAGAATTGTTAAGCTTTCTAACCACTTGTCAAATCTTTAAAGAAGACCTGTTATGGTAAAAAACTCATTATGAGAAAGACTGCATTTAAATCCATTGGTTGATCAGCTTAAAGTAATTTGCTTAATAAGAATTCTGGTTACGTATTAATGATATTACTTAATGTTAAAGTGCAATCTGAGGCAGACTTGATGCTGTAGAACTTTGTGTTAACCATGCTGGAAACAGCATTTTTCAGAATTACTTCTTGTTTTACTTCAGCAAACTATGAACTTGGAAGAAGTTCTGCAGGAGAGCTGAAGCCTCTTCACAAGCTTCTATATGGAAGAGAAGGAAGGGTATGCTTCAATCCACTTGTTTTAAATTTCTTTTCGTTAATGGGATGGTGTTGCTCTTCACATTAAACTTTGATTGATAAAAAGTTACCAAACTAAATTAAAACCTCGCTTAATTGAGATACTGAGATTTTTTTGCTTTTGTTATTAGGTAATGGAAGTTAAAAAGAATATTAGGAAGTTTAATGGATTTCCATTTGAAAAGGTAAGATGAGCAAATTACGGTCAAGTCACCGACGGTTCAACTCACCGACGGTTCAACTCGCCAACGCCAACTCGGCTTTGTTTGAAATAAAAATAATTGTTTTTTACTAAAGATCTTGTCTACAAAGCCAAGTCTTTTTTTGAAATCTGACCGATTGACTTGATGAGTCTTTATGGTATTGTTGCCACACAATAACTTGTTCGCATCTAAAACTTTTTTGGTCATTGGCGATGTTCACCTTGCTTTATTCCCTTTTAGATCCTTATAAACTTTGTTGGAAATAAAAATAATTGTTTTTTATTTTACTGAATATCTTGTCCAGAAAGCCAAGTTTCTTAAAAAAAATCGGAGCGATTGACATGATGAGTCTTTACAGTGTTGTGGTCACACAATAATATCTCGTTCACGTCTGAAGCTTTCTTAGTCATTGGCAATATTTACCTGGCTTTATTCGCCATGAGATCCTTATAAACTTTGTTGGAAGAAAAAAATTGATTTTTCCTAAAGATCTTTTACTCTTCTATATGTTTAACTTCTGATAAGTTCAATACTGGATTGAAGACCAACTCACCGATGTTTCTACTTGATTTTATACGTCAGTGAGTTGGCGCTGGCGAGTTGACCCGTCGGCGACTTGACTGGATACCAGATGAGCTTTATTTAGTATTGTGACTTAAATTCTCTGAAACAAAAAAAATTGCTAGGCAATGAGTGATGAAGTGTTCTAATTCTCCCTTGTCACATGGATAGGATTCCAAAGATTATGAAGCTAAAAAGCTTGGTGTAGAGAGGTAATTCTTGATTCTCAATATTCTTCTTTTCAATCTCTTCTGTATGGTACCAATCCAATAATCTTGTTGTTATACCATGCTAAACATGATTTACAATAGTTGCATTTCACAATATCATTCAATAAATGACTTTAAATATATATCAAAATCATTATGTGAATTGTAGATAATAAATGAATATGGGAATAATCTTTACAGTAAGAACACTATGTACTTAAGCATTAGGGAAAATGAGACATAAATCTTTTCAGACCTCATTTTCACTACTGTGTAAGTAGTGTCCATTACTGTGAAGATCACTTTCATATTCAGTTACTGTATCTTTTTGTGTATGCACAAGGGCTGTCAGTTACAAACTTTTAAGTGATACTTTCATGTTATTTATTTACCACAGATTTACAAATGATGGTCTAAAAAGGCTTTGTGAAATTTTTGACCTGGAAAAGAAGGGAAAGAGGGTATGCTAAGATAAATTGCCAATTATATGAGTCAATAATTATTTTATAGCAGGAGTCTCGCAGAATCTCTGGTGTTTATTGACTTGAGTTGTGAATATCTTTCAGAATGATCTTCTTGAAAAAGTCATGGATTTTCTTATGTCGCCAAAATCTTCAGGGAAAGTGAGTTTTTATTTTATATTCTTTATATTCTGAATTTTACAGTTTTGTCATCTAGCCCAAGACACATCATTGTTACCCTGCATAATGTCACACATGTAGAGAAAAGACTTCTGACTCATAAACATCTCCAGCAAATGTTTTCTCAAGAACTGAATGTTTATCCATCTTTTCCCCACAGCAACACATGTAATATCTAGCTTGTTTTTATTCAGGAATGGTGTGATGATGTTAATATTACTCCAATTTCTTCACAGCCTGCACCTCAGCCTAAACCAAAAAAGGATGAACAGAAAAAGAGAAAAAGACCCAAAAAGGGTAAGCCACTGAAAAAATTGACTAAAGGAATATCAGCATGTAGTTTTTCTCAGTTAAAAACTGATTAGAGATTTACATTTTAATCAATAATATGTGCAAGGTTAATCAAATAACCTTGTTTTTTTTTCATTGTAGAGGGTAGCTCAAAGAGTAAAAAAGAGAAGGTTTGTTCTTGGATTTTGTTCAATCATTACATCTGGCATGTTTTCATGTTATTACAGTAAGCCTGGCTAGGAAGTCTGGGTTGGTGTAGATTTTAAGTCTTACACAGATTTTTAACTTTTCTTTTCTAAACAGACAGCAAATTTACATTTTACTCCTCTACATTATGGAGAATATTAGACATTTCAAGAAATTTTTTCAGTAGCTTCCTTTGATCCTATTTTGATTGTTGCATATCTATCTATGTAGAATGTGTTTGTTAAGAAATATTTCTCCATTATTAAATTATTTTCTTTCCCAATTTTATTGGCTACACTGACTCTCTTTACAATTTTAAATTTATTAGGCTTATTTTGCTGGATTCTGGAATTTGTTTTAAATCTCTTTCAGTCTAAGAAGACATCAGAGATGGTAGAGAGTGAAGATGATGAAGAAAAAGAGGAAGAGGAAGAGGAGGAGGAGGAGGAGGAGGAGGAACAGGAACAGGAGGAAGAAGTAAACGGATACAACTTTCATATCACATAAATTTGGAAAAATTTTATTAACATGATAGAAATGCCATAGGTCCCACTTACTTGTTTCTATGGTATTTGCCTTTTGAAATTGCATGAAGGCTGTGTCCTGCTAAATTAGTCTTTATACATTGCAGTGAATGTGAACTAAATTGCTGTTTTTTTTATTTTCACCTGTGCAAAATTTTGGCATAGGGATCTGAAATAATAGCACATTTTGCATACCTTGTCACCTAGTAATTACATTTAACAGTTTCCCTTTGTTTTACAGCCTCCAAAGAAGAAAAAGAAAGTCGAATCAACACCTAAAAAGACCGAATCTACACCTAAAAAAGCCAAAGAAACGAAACCGAAAGAAAAGGGAACAGAGAAAGAAAAGAAGAAGAGTAAAGACAAAGGCAAAGACAAGGCAAAGTCAAAGAAAAGTGTAGAAAAGACAAAAACATCTAAAAAGAGAGACCCTGTTCCTGTGAAGATAACAGCTCTACAGAAAAGTCCCTCAAAGAAGAAGACACCTAAAAAAGGTGAGTAAAAAATCTTATGCCCTCCTATGTAGAAGTGGATCACAACTTTGACACAACATGGTCTTGTTGTAGCAGCAGAACGAGGTAGAATAACTGCAAAAATATCAACTATGTCTTCTTAAAAATAGTTTTTGAAAGTCATAGAGATGTTTGCCTGAGAACTCTGTGTAATACCTGGAGAAGTCAGCTAAGGGGCCTTTTCTCTACTTCTGGGAAGGAAGGGGAGGGTTGAACAGTACCTGACTTCTAGAGTGAGATTACTCACCAGGAGTGTATGCAGGGAGTGACAGATACTTAGTTTATACATGTATCCATCTAGAAGGCTTGTCCGAAAAAGTGGCATCTTTGATTTTTTAAATTATCCATTTGCGGTAAAGGAATGTGCCATAAATGATAGAGGTCCATTTTCGTCAATTTGAATTAACTTTTAATTTCTTCATCCTTTTCAGAAAAACCAGTACCAGTAGATGACTCATCCTCTGATGAAGAACCACTAGCAAAAAAATCAAAGAAACAGCCTCCTACTGTAAGGATTTGTTCAATGGATTGCAAATTTGACTTTTCACCGGTCATTGGCCTGCTCCTCTGTTTTGTTATAAGTCATATGTTTACAGTATTATGCGGTTCTCTTTGTTTTCACTTTAGGATAGTGAACTTGAAAAGATTGTTAAAGATCTTCTAGACGGTGCAGACCTTGAAATGGTCACAATGAAGAGTGTGTGTAAACAAGTAAGTTTATCTCCTTCAGCAAAACTCAGTCTAAAACTTCCATTCCAACCCTTTAACTCCCATGAGTGACCAAGTCAGAATTTCTCCTCACGATATCAATACAATATCAACAACATAAGTGATGAGAATAAAAAAAGATCAATTTGGGAATAATTAGTTGATCCAATACTAAATTCTCTGAACCAGCATTATAAGAATTGTATGGTTGACAGTAAGGAGAATTACAAATTTGACCTGGAGTTAAAGGGTTAAGAGAGCAAACAGGAAATTAACATACCCAGAAAGGCAAGCTATGTTCCAAAGGAAGTGAATTTTTTTTTCAAGAACTGGCTGGGTTACACAGTTGCTGATTTTCTTAACAACTTCTCTTGTAAAGGCACCTTATCTGACTCTGAAAAAATACAAATAATTTTTCTTAATTGCTCTTCTGTTAACAAAGAAATTGGTTGGTAAATAACTGAAGTCTAACAAATTTTATAAAAATCATGGAATCTTGCAATTTCATTATCCAGCCATGAATCAGCTGTGGAATTCAAGAGTGGTTCTTGGAAAATTATTGAAAACAAATATTTTCAATAATATTGTAGAAGAAGAGAAAAGGGAGAGACTTGGATTATCTACTCGAAATCACTTCAAGTTCAACTCTTTAAGAAAATCAAAAATTGCAAGATTATGCCATGGAAAATGGAGAAATTTTTCGAAACACAACAACAGTAGCCAAAATTCATGTATTGTCCTCTTCTTTATTTAGGTGTATGATAAGTTTCCAGAGCATGACCTCACATCTAGGAAGGACTTTATCAAGGAAACGGTTAGAAAGGTATTACCTTATTTAACTGTGAATACTACATTTAAATGTTAACTTCTCAAAACTGCAAGTTCATGAGTCTTTGCTATTCATATAAGAACATGGGCAACAAATTTTTTATGTTGTGGCTGTGGTCAAGCAGAGCATCCTTCTGACCTGAGATTACGTTCTGTTTCCTTTCCCTTCTGATGTGCTGTCTCCCTCTCTTTTTTAACTTAAACTTCAAGAACAATTTCAACGCAATAACTCTGCACCTGCCAATAACTTGAACCAATTTTCTGTTACCTGTACCATTCCTAAAGAATATTAAATCTTAAGGGTCTTTTTGTTCCTTTTTGGTAGAAACTGAAAGCTAAAAGGTTTCCTTTGAGAGTTTTTTGTCTGGTCTAACCCAGTAGTTAATTCTACACCTGAAAGCTTACCTTGAAATGGGTGACATTTCATTTCAATCATAAAGTTATCATTGGTTTTTGCTCATGTTTTGTTTTGTTTTTGGCAAATTAGTCCAGAGATAATAGGTTATAATCATTTTCAAAAAAACTCAAAACATGTTTTTAAAAAAATTGAAGTTATCTTCTCTGTCTTTGTTTCAGGTCATTTCATGAAATCAGCCAAATTTCCATGACAACATAAACAAGTACTAACCTTTTTAGCTTCTCACAAGTCTTATTCATGTACACTTTGTTTTTACACATCTTTTGTTTTGTTAAAATTTTCATTCCTAACATAATACTTTGCAGTAAAAAGTTTTAAGTTTTAAAAAGTTCTTATGTCCTATCCTCTAAGATGTATAAGGGTATTTTACTTAAATTTTTGAATTGTTTGCATGCAAATAGAGTTATCATAACTCAATAGGAAGAAAAAAACCAATATGGTCGTGAGTCACTTTTAATCATAAATTAATTAACAACACTTCATGTTTTGGAGAAAGATATAGAAATATTCTCTCTGATCTTGCATCTACCATTGCTTTACATTATCAGTAAATTGTACATTTGTATCAGTACAATTCTGTTGGTAATGTAGTCTGATTATCGTGAGAGAGGTCCTGAAAACAGGAGCAGGGGGGATTCTGGAATTTTTGAAGGGTGGGGAATCCAAACTTTGATTCAGAAAACAAACACACACCAAAACATTCATAAGGAAGGAAACATCTTGAGACAGGCTAGTGTTGATGTCATATTGAGTAGTGATGTGCAGTCCTGTTGTTGCTATAATTTTTCTGTCAGGCAAGTACTGAAAAAACCCACAAGTCTGATGAGGGGAGGAGGGTGTTACCTTGACCCCTCTATTCTTCTTTCCCCCCCCCCCCCAGAGTATGCCCCTAAAAGTGGACTTTTTGACAAGAGGTTACTAAGGCTTTATCAACTTAAGTGTTTGTCAACATCAGAGTCAATGGGATGGCATTTTCTCCATATTACTTCACCCCTGAATCACTCATTTAAGTCGTAAGAATAAAGGAAATGATGACAAACTTAAGGAGCTCTTGATTGTTACACAAATTCTCCTTGTCAGCACCTTAGGAAATATATAGAGAGCAGCATGGAGAATAGGCATGCTGATGCTAGTTAGTTTGTAAAGGGTTACCAAACAGTCCTTTTCAGGGCCACTCCCATTTAGTTGATCAGGCTACACCTTTAACTGTAACCATTCTTTGTAAAAATCAAGGTTTCATCCTCAGCTATAAGGATGGAGTCCACTAATGAATGATATCTGTAGAACTGTCCAGTTTATGTTAGTGCTGTCAGCACATGTAAATGTGAACTCTGCTGGTACCAGTAAACCTTGTGTCTCTGAGTTACTGCATTCCCTCCACAAAAACACTTCGTAAACATGACATACATGTCTGTGAAACTGATTCAGCTTTTTGAGATTAATTTAAATCATCTCAACAGTGACCAAAAACTTCTGATCCCAATCAGTAATAATATGGACATTTGAGTTCTTTGTCGATAAGACAAGAAATCTGAATAACTTCAATCCATCTCGTCGCACTCACAAGATCATATAAACTGTAGTTAGTCCTGGATTCAATGATTATAAACCAAAAAAATACTTTGAAAGTTACTTGATTAACTTATTTGAGTCATTGCATGCCTGGTGATATCTACCTATTCAAATATTCTAATGGGCCAACACCCACTCCCTCTAAGTATTGCAGAGGATTGCTTGAAAAGCTAATGAAATATCTGCATGGGAGGCTAACCATGCAATACCAGCTTGTCAACATGTAGTATATATAGTAGGAATTTTCCAGTAATTCTTGTTAGCTAATAGTATATTAATTAGTTTTGACGTGGCCTTTGTGTACAGTGTGCATGTCCTTGAATAACATTACCTCTGACTTGTCCTCTACACATTGTATGAATCACAATAAATTTCATCAAAAGAGATATGCTGTCAGCTGAGTGTTTAGAGAGATCTAATGCCTGTGGTTTCCTGCCCATCTCCCTTGAGTGTTATCAATTAAAAAGTAGATTCTGTTGAATAGTAGATCACAGATGTCATCAAAATGTGGTAAGAACAAAAAAGTGGTAAACAAGACAGCCCAGTATGTTACTGATGTTCTTAACACATTTTGATGTCTTCTGTGATCTATTACCGTACAAACCCACAGCATCATGAAATCCATACATTTTAGATTATAAAAAGCAAAATGCTGTTACCAGAATGAACATGTCATCTATGTGTCTGATTTCTAATATAACACATATAGGAACCAAAGATGCAGGTATAATTCAGCTTATTATTTAATGTCAGTTGGTATAGTGTTTCTCAGAGAGGGGCCTGGAAGGCAGCAAACTGTCTCAACAAATGTGTTTGGGAGTGTAGCCCTGCCTTTGAACAGTTACTGCACTGCAGATAAAGTTAAAGGACAAGGCAATATCAACAGGGACAATCAGACGGCAAAGAATGTCTTTTTTATTCTTATTATTATTTTCCTTATATCCTAAGAGGAAGGAACAACAGTTAAATTAAGTTTATGTTAAGAACTTGAATTGTGACAAATTGGAATAGGCACTTTTTTTGCTTAAAGTAAGTTCTTTTAGTCTTCATAGAAATTACACTTTATTATTTCTATTATCAATTTGCTATTAAGAGTAACTGGATGAAAAGACTTTCAGTCAAACAGATGTCATCAATAAGAATGTCACTACTTCATAAGTTCATCACAGTTAATTCATTTTAGATATGGACATTGGGAGTACATCTAAGCATATTTCTGTTTTACAGAATTACTTATTCAGCAACAACAGCAACAAGTTAATTCAGATCAATATAATTTTTGGACTGGCCCTTACAATGGACCAGAATTTTAATTTGAAACATTGAAACCAACTTTTCTTAGAGAAGAATTTGCTCCTTTTTTGAGATGTCAATTGTTACGAAAAAGACATTTTGAAAGCAGCAAACAGGGTGAGACTAACAGTAGAAATGGAGATGCCACCAAAACCATCAATCCAAAGAAAGCAAATCCAGCAACAACCTGAAAGAGCAGATGAAGAAGTTGATTAGAAACAATCCACTTCCTTTTTTAATCCCTGCCATCTAAAAGTACCACATTTCCTCAGACAAGCACTGGTTCTGTGGTAGTCAAAGTTTATCATAATGGCTGGAGCATCCTCTGTTTGGCTGCTTTTAAGTTCATATTGCAAGCTTCTCCAACGGTGTTAACTTATAACCTTCATTAATGACAAAGGACTTTGATAAAAGTAGGTTTCTTTTGGTAGCCTTTGCCCTAAATAAATTCTCTATTGGGACATCCTTATGCATATTTCAACACAAAAAAGGAGAGAAATGTTGATGTTGGTTCCTACCCATCTACATTAAGATAACCTTAAACAAAAGAGAAACAACCTGGGTAAACTAACCTGTGTCCTGTGAAGGAATAGTGATGCCCGTGAGTGGCCTAACTTGTTTCTACATGGACCTTTGTCATAATGTCTTAACATTATGTCAGTCTGTTGAGTAAAACAGATAAAAGTTTTAGGTCTGTGATTACATTTTTTAGCATTTTAATTTTTCCTTTGGGTCAAATGGTCCCAAAACAAGTTTTGGATTCAAACCTGTCATTAAAATGTGCTGTAATAACATAAATTTTCATTAATTTCAAACTAAATTTACACATCGGTGGTACAAAAGGGGAGGTTGAAGGGCGTGAGACAGTTATGCGAACCTGAGATGGAATCAATGGTTTGTAGAACTCATGGGAATTCTCCCAACCCCAAAGTATAAAGATGAAGTAAATCCAACACAGCCAGAGTTGTCTCTTCCTTTTATAAAATACTTTAAAAAAAGAAGCACAGACCCAAAATGTCAAAAAAGTATTTATCCTCTGGTCAATAAACACGCCTTAATCAATGAGATTGTGGGTAGTATCAAATTTTTCTTCCAGAAAAGAATCTTACAAAGTTGAATGTTATTTGTAATACAATTTATTGTAATTAAAAACTGATGCTTGGCTTACATCCAAAGATTTTAAACAGTGCCAACAGAAGATGTGTTTACAGTGGCCACACATCATCTGGGCACATCCTGCTTCTCTCATTATTAATACTTGACAGAGAGGGCACTCCTTGATGTCTCCTGATTCACCATTTTCTCGTAATATATCCACAAATCTGCCAAATGGAAAATGAGATCTTGTAAGTAGATGTCTAACTCATGCTCTCTCTCTCTCTCTCTCTCTCTTAATGAGTGTGCATATGTGCCCTTTACTGTCATGACCTTAAAGTTTAATTCAGCCGTTATACATGGCTAAAAAATCCAGTAAATCAAGTTATGTGACCACCAATATACTCTTTTTGATAGATGCTATTTTTGTCAATCCTCTTCATGCAAGCACCGGCTAAACTACAAGTTTGCTTCACTAAAATGCAAGTTTGCTTCAAAACAAACTGAAAGTTTGCTTTAATGACTGCAATGGCAAGATGCTGTTCATGAAGTATTTGGGAGAATTCAAGAACAGCATTTAACTGTTAAGTTTAACATTACCTTGTTCCTGATTGTGAATCAGAGATCACCTTCTTATACTCATCACAAGTCATAGCAGCATGCCAGTGCTCTTTACAAGCAAAGCAGAAGGTATACCCACACTAAAAAATAAGGTGTAACTTGATAAGGTGTAATTTTTGGAATCATCTCAATTGAAGAGCATTTTTCCAAATGATTGTCACAAGATAAAAACAAATAAACATGATCATAATGACCAATTAGAACAAAGGAATAAACAAAAAAGAGCCAACAAGAGCCCAATAGAACAACAAGTTCACCCTTTACACCCTAACATCTGTATGTGATGATTTCTCCATACTGTTCTCTATACATTTCCAAAGGATCCGACAAGGAGAATTTATTTGATCAAGAGCTTCTTCAGTTGGTGATTTTTCCTTTGTTCTTCTGACCTTAGTAAGTGATTCAGGGGTGATAATGTAAGGAGGATTTAGATGCTAGTCACTCTTAAGGCATAAAAGGGTAAGTAACTGTATGAAATGTTGAAAAATGCAAGCTGTCATAAAGCCACAACTACCTTAAGAAAAGAATAAATTAAAGCATGTTTCACCTCTTGACAGACTGTAGGTTGTGCCAGGCCTGGTAGTCCACTGCAAATTCCTTCACAACCAGCCATTGGACAAAATGTTTTTGTTTTATCAACAGCAACCTCTACAACAGAACACACAAGAATGGTGAATAAGTGTTAAAAAGTGAAAGTAGACTTTGGTGAGCAGTCTAAAATCTTACTCATATTATTGATGTCCCACATTAATTTATTATTCTCTACAACAGTCAGGACCCCCCTGAAAACCATTTCTAGTGGTGCCGAGGCCTCCTCTGAAAAGATGTATGTAGTTATATGAAATATAGTTGCAATTTTGAACAATCAGTATTGCACAGAGTTGTCAGCATTGCATGAAGCAAAGCCTTCATGTGTGATAGTGACTTGTCATTTATATAATTATATGTTTCAAATTGTATATTGTGAGTATGTTTTACCTTTCTGTTTGAGCAATCTTTGATACTTCTCAAACATGTCACTGTCAACCAGCAAAGAAATCTAAATCAAAATTAAATCAAGTATGAATATGAGAACATATTTTTTAAACCATTCTGGTTAGGGATAAAGTTCAATTGAATTGCAAAATCTAAATTCCTCTTTGATTAATAACTTTTTACAATGAACATCAATTTTATTAGCCCTTTAACCCCTAAGAGTGACTAGCATCTAATTTCTCCTTACAATATCACCCCTGAATCTCACATTAATGTCATAAGAAAAAAGGAAATTATCACCAACTAAAGAACACTTGATTGCTAGACAGATTCTCCTTATCAGCACCTTGGTAAATGTACAGAGAACAGTATGGAGAATAAATATACTGATGTTAGGGTGTAAAGGGTTAGTTAAAGAACCAGATGTAGACTAGGTAATTTTCACTTGAGGGTCAAAAGGATTCCATTGGATTTGCTTCACTTGGCTCTGTTTAATTGGCCCAGAAAAATTGCACCAATCAGAAGTAAAACTAAAACCTATCAAGACTTGATCGCCTGCGTTTTCCTACACTCAAGGCAGTTTGGTACATGTTTTAGTTTTTACTTTGAGTTCTCATTCGTTATTTAAAGAAATTTTTCCTTTTCCTGATAAGCCCTTGTGATTACTTTCGTTTTGGTTTAACAATACTCAATCAAGACATGCTCTTTCACTGAGTTTTGGATTGTTTCTTTTTTTTTTTTTAATTATTTCTTAGTTTTGTAAACTTCTATTTACAATTGAGGCAGAGGTAAATTTGAGAAGATTTACTCTTTTATCACTGAAAGAAATGCTTACTTCATTCTTGGTCATGTTACCACTTCTGGGACACAAGGCATCAGGGCAGGGCAGCTTTAGAACTTGCCCACTGTTAATCAAGTATGATACGTACTTTCCCAGGCACTAAAAGAGAAACAACAACTTTTTGTAACAAAAGAGACAGGATTACCGTAACAAAGATGACAAAACAGCCCAAAAAAATAAATCAAGAGAGAATTTTCAAGCAATTAAAACTTCAGTTTGTTACATGGGTTCAGTTGCCAAAAACAAGATCTGTGTGCCAGGCAAAAGCTAATATTAAAGGCATCTTGATTGCCAAAATCAACGAGTAACCAACTCGTGAACAACCTAATAATTTTCATGAACACAATACCAAAATAACATGAATTCAAAATAATCACTGTGTCTTTTAGTTCCCAAGGTTCACATCGTGGGTGAAGAAAGGGGGTAAGATTCTAAAGAAACTGTGGTGCTGCATTGATGGGGGAGTATCAAACAAGATAACTTTGGCTTTATCAATTTAGTTGATAATGTAAATTGGCCTCTGTAAAAAGTCTCAAAGCTGATATTTTAAGCATTAGCCCTTCATCAGAGCAAATAAGTATCAGATCACAGGTACCTATCAACAGATGGCTGTACTTAGTCTATACATCATAAACATCCCCAAAATTTATAATAAGTGTAGGTCCAAAGTTAGAATCCACATTCTCATAAGATGCAACTGAGATGTGATAGAACGGCATGCAGGGATTGTTCCAGAATGTCTCCCGTCAACCTGTCTGGCTCTACTTGTGTCAGCTCCATTATTTTTTGTTTTTTTTAATTGTATTACATGATCCAAGCTGTGCAGGTCATATGATAAACAACTTACTTTATTACATTTGCATAACATATGACTCAACAATCAGCTGGGGGTTTATTGCAAGTTTTAAAATAACACCTAGTGTCAACCTGTCTGGTCCTACTTATATCAGCTTTCATTGTTTTTTTTTTTTTTGGCTATTTTTTAGTTACATGATCTAGGCTGTGCAGGTCAAATGATAAACAACTTACTTTATTACATCTGCATAACATATGACTTAACAATCAGCTGGGGGTTTATTGCAAGTTCTATTAAAAGAACACTTAGTGTCCTTAAAAGTACACTTCACAGAAAAATAGAAGTACATGAACTATAGATCATGTCCCCTTGCCAGACACAGCAGATAGAAACTCTGGGAAAATAAATTTGGTTTAAAACTGGACCTTAGGTCACTTATGGAAATGTGTAAATAGAGAGTTTTTAGTATTGGTCACATTTGGAAAAAGATGAATAGATGTTACTAATTAAATATAAAAGATACAAGTTAACACTTTCACTTTTACAATCTCAAAATAAATTCTCCTCACTGTTTGTCATACATTCCTTATTTCTATAACCAAATGAGAAAATGTTTTTAAATTAAACAGTCCATGAAATTTTCTATCTTCTTATCATCTTTCTGCATGAGAAAGTGTTGATGCTGGCAGAGAAATTAATAAGTCATCACTCTTAAGAATGGAAGAGTTAAGTTGTTCACTTAAGGAAGTGTAACAATGTGAGTAGTGAGCTGTTAGCCTTACATTCACCTATTAGTTACAAGCCTAGGATGCAAGTTAGAAACACGTACCTCTTTACAAAAGATACAACTGCATTTGTCTAGTTTCTGGCCCTTCTTGTGTGGATATTCTGATAAACAAATCTTACAATAAAACATTTTTCTGGTAGCCAACTTGCAAAGCCTTGGTGTTGGCGAACTTGTCTTGCTCCTCTGCGTTTTACCAGATCCTTCTTCCATGTGTGGTGTTGCCAGAAAAGCAGGAAACATGGTATACAGAAGAGATCCTATAGAATGAATGGCACCTCTGAGTGATTCTGGAAAATAAAAACACATATTCAGATTACAAACTTGTACTTGCCAGACCTTGGACAAACTGTTGATTTTACATAATTAACAAATACATTGAAGTCAAATGCAAGGTTGTATAACACTAACACAATAACCCTGCTAGTTTTTTAGGCTGTTCTCCATATAATCCATACAAACCAGTCAACAAAAATACTAATTTTTGAATACCTCCTTATGTGATATGAAATTAAAATTACAACTTGTGAGGTCAAAGTACTGACATTATTATTATAATTACTGGTGTATATGTTGATCAATATGGACAGGATTTAAGGGGAGCCCCTGGCTGCAAGCACCCTGAAATGTTTCTTCAGTATTTAAAGAGGCGATGAATTTCACAAAGCAACTTTGATAAAGAGATGACTCATCAATTTTACAAGAAACATCTGGATGCTATGATGTATTTTCACAAAAATTTGTCAAATGTAAAAACTTTTATCTGGAGGGTATGTTGAAACCTATATAGACCCCCTGGTTAATGTCTGTCAATTACAGTACCTGTAACTTAGTTGTAGCTATGCTTTTAAACATCTTCAATATTTCTCTCTGCTGAGCAATTGAAAAGACTGATGGATGATAATTTCCACTGCATTAAATGTACAAGCAATTAAGCTTCTGCTCATATTTCAAGTTGTAGCATTGATGCATGACATGCTAAACAGCTTGATGTTATAAACTTAATCATGCAACAAGTTTTTGAGAACAGTCTAAGAGTTAATGATGTGTGAAATAGGACTGATATTCACGTGGACACTATTAAATTATTGACTTTGCTTTTAAGTGTGTAAACATAAAAAAGCAATGAAAAATGTTGTATTAAAAATGCCAGGTCATTATTCATAATACTTCATGGTCATGATTTCAAACACTACCAGTGACCCCAATCAAAGATCACAGACTTTCAGCACACTATTTATTAATCACAATTGAATCAGTGAACTTCGATCTGCATTTCAAAGCTAAATTTAAAGAAATAACATTGCCTCTGGCTGTTGTGATAGTACAGCTAAGAGTCTCGAGAAAATTATGAATAATAAGGAGCCTGCTAGTCTGCTGTAGTCAAAAAGTTCTAAACTTGTCCATGCATGAATGTTCTTGTGTCAGGCTCTGACAAAAGCTAAATACACAAACAAAACTTTTCAATTTTGAAAATATACCTTTGATTCTAAAATGATATTCATTATAACAATTGTGAAGGGTTTAATGCCTGAATGGGTAATATCTAACCTGCACTTTCCCAAACATTCATTTCCTAACACTGTGTGAATCTTAACCTATAATTATTATAGTATATTTAGTCTGCACAGGAAGAAAATTCAGCAGCCTCGGGGTTTTTACATCAAATATTCAATTTCTACAATTCAAATTGGCTTCAAAATATCTAGTAACCTTGGATACCTATACAAATAAATTATTCTAACAATATTTTTGGCACAAGCTCTTAAAGTAGGAGTCAAATAGTCTCACTGATGTAGACCAATTAAAGGAATAATAATTATTTTTATCTCCTCATAACAAAAATCTCAAGTCAATGGAAAACTTAACCTGTACATTATAGACCAGAAATTCAAGAAATGAATTTTTTTTACCCAAGGTTACATTCAAATTATCCAATAAAATAATAAAATTAAATAATTGATTGAAAAAAAATGTTTTCAATATTAAAAAGCGAACTACTACTACAATGTCAGATTTAAAGGCAATGACGAAGCATTGCCAACCTAATTTTTCAAAACAAGTTACAGGCAGTTCAAATTTTAACAGTAAATCAAACATTTAATTATTTGCCCGACAGCAACCCAATTGTCACCACAAAATATAACGACATTTTAACCTACCAGAAATAAATCTGAACCTCGTTACACTTCGCTGTTTTGCCGAGTACTCGACAGGTTACTTATGAGAAATAAGACGCACAACTCACCATGTAGCGTTTGTACGAACAGAAAACGGTAAAAAAAAATTGCGTGTTTCATTCACAGTCGACTTCACAGCCCAAAACACTGCTTGGCACGATAACAAGAAACCGGCGCTCACGCAACGAGCTTGACCGACTAAACAGCCTTTTTTTTTTTTCATCAAGAAATATTTTTCTTTCAGATAAATGAAAAATTCAAACAAGGGGCCGGTTGTAGGGATTTTAAGGAATTCCTTGATAAGAAAACGCGAAAAGCAGATCATTTTCAAGACATTAAAAAGATGGGAAATTTTTCAATTTCAATTGTCGTATCGTGTAGACCGGATATACGGGTCTCAGATCACATATAAATGACACAAACGACTGTTAAAATTAAAATATGCCAATTATTTACCTCAAAAAGAAGCAAAGAAGCCATTTTCATCCAAATTTTCAATGAAACCGGAGAAACATCCTAACAACCCGACGGACGACATTTTAAAACAACAACAATAATGACGTCATAATTTCAAATGACAACTGTGCAGGGGCTGGGTGGAAGTAAAATTATCTCAGGGGCCCGGAGGGTCAAAAGTGTTTGAAACTGGTATTTCAGTACCACAAAAAGTGATAATTAAAAATGTATGGACATTAATCTGCAATAAATGAGATCCTCTCACGAAAAAGTTAATTCTCGAGGCATTTCCGTGGTCTATACGTAAAAAACTTCCCATGCTGCCATAACAACAGACCGTCACGCAACCTACCATAGTGCGCGAATGATCTAAAAAAAGTTACGATTTGTAAGAGTCAGTGAATGCCTTCGTGAATTTCCGAGGCTTAAATTCTTCGCTATTGAAAGTTTTCCTATCATAGAAACCGAAATTTTGGCATGAAATACAACAAAAGATGCTGCTGGACTCGAAATTCCAGTAATGTATCATGATAGTGAAACGGAGTCAACCAATTCTTTCGAAACTGGTTTTTAATATTTTAACAAAGATATTAAGTTTAGAGTGAAGTCAGATTATTTATCCACGAACAATCCTACCGTGAACAGCTATTTTCGTCAGGTATCTGCAGATTTTCCTTATTTCCTCGCTCTTCGCCCAAAGCTGATTCTTTCTCTTTGAACAGAACTCTACACAGAGGTTTCCATTCCTCGTTTGACTCGTTTACACCATTTCGTCTCCCAAAGTTGTTTTAACAAACATATCCTTTATGGTTTAACGCGAAATATTGGCTGTTTGTTCTAATTGCAGTTCGCTAAATGGCCTTTTACAAATATCACAAATAACCAAAACAGCCCATGTGAGCAAGGGAAAATTAAATTCGTGACTTTCTCATAGAGATCAGAACCGGAAGTAACTTCACTATACTTACATTCGATTGGTTGAAATTGAAGACGCGAATAGTGTCGATAGCTACGTCTTGTGATAATCATAAGATTCTTTATAGTCAAGTTTTCAAAATTTTTTTTTCGCGCCCTGGAAGGTTTTCGGGCCAATTAGTGGTGCTCCCTTTTCTCATTCACATCATCCTTATTTTTATTTTAGTTGTTGTTTGTTTTAGTTTTTCCCCCTTATGTTTTTTTGGTTTTTTTTTTTTGTAACGTTTTCTTCTACGCATGTGTTTCCGGTTGTTTGATCATTTCTACGATGTTTTGTTTATTTCGCATGACTCATTTGCTTCGTTTGGCAGTTTTAGCGAGTTTTCTTTCCATTTACTACTTTTTTTTTGTTTTTTTTTTTTTTTGTGTGATATTACGAATTTAGAGTTTCAATAACTCCTTGAAATTGTCGCATTTATTCCTGATTGGTTTATGTCCTTTTGCTGCACGTACTAGAGCGAGGCCATGCGGTATTACGTGTATTTGATTATTCGAGCTTTTAAAGATGAGTTCCATGCACGTAAAGACTCTTTAAAGTTATCAAGTGCCGTAACCGAAGTTTAATGCCTTTTGTGATGGTTATGACTCATTAAAATTCATATCTCGTTGGAGCAAACATTAGCATTGACTCAGAAGGCCCTGATCTGTCCATAAAAACAACGTGAATTTTACAAGCATGGACCTTTTTTATTTTACCCTGTCGTGACTAACTCATCGTAGGGCATATTAGGATGAAGAAATCTGAGGCCAAGCTATCATCTTGATATGTTCAATAATCTGTTAATTCGCAGAACTATCATAGAAAGTACTGCCACAACAAATTTGTTCATTATAAGAACAAAATTTAGTCAGTTTCTTCGGGTGCTACTGACCTCAACTGATTTTAAAATTCTTCTTCTCCCAAATAGCCAAGATGAGAACAACCTAAACGCTAAGATTTTGGGCGAGATCATGAAATACGCATGCTTGGAGGACATGAGGATCGTACGTGTTGTTTTTACAACGGTCGGTTTTCAATGACAGAACTAACTGACCCAAAACTCCCGCAAGCATGAACACCGATGTTGGTAGTAAAAATTAAAGCTCAAAACCCCGTTAAGTACTTTTGCAGACAGTTCAGCTAAGATATAGAGGCCTAAAAATCGCACGTATCTTTTTAACAACTAACGATGCCTTTCAGCAAAAACTCAACCCCTACAACCTTTATACAAAGAAGAAGACTTTGGTAGGGAGGAACAAAACTTGGAACAAAACCTAATCAGCAGCTTTTCTGACGCTTACGGTTCACCTTGAGACTAGGATAAGTTTGATTACCTCAATAAAGACGAATAATTTAATTTTTTTGGCGGTTTCAGTCGTAGGCGAGGTGTTAACAACGTGCTAAAATCATCGATGCACCCCAAGAACAGTGTAACGATCGAGACCCACTCTTTTGGCCAGAATTAAAAGATCTCACGTGGCCTCGACACCTCTTATCGTTTTTAGTCCCATCAGCAGTATTAGGTCTAAGGAATAAATATTCTCTAAAATAAGTCTCTACCTTTAACAGTATGCAAAATAAATACGCAGGTGGCTTATAAACAACCTTAATATAAGCAAGGCGAAATGAGTCGATCCCTTTTATATACGTGAAAAACGAGTCCTTCTGCAAAGATCGAGTAAATGAATAAATTACTTTTTCGATCTTTTGATCATGCACAAAGTTTTTTGAAGCCTTTGATCCTGACACTTACGAGGATGACATTCGCTTCGGTCAATTATGCAAAAAAGAAAAATTATTTCTGTTAGCAGACGTTTGCAGAAATATTCAGTAATATTCTCGCGATTGACTCGTTATAAATGTACCTTGAGGGAATCAACCCAAGCTCAGATCAAGAGAAAGACAAGTTGATTATAAACTTGGCATCATACTGCACTTACCAAAATAATTTGAAAAAGACCACTCTCCCATTGTCGGCGGTTTGCGGGTAACTTTCCTGCACGAATTGTCATAGAAATTAAATCCTCTTAAACGATTACTCGTAAACTAAGAAAACCTTCAACTGTCTAAAGTTAAACACTACAGGCAAGCTCTGTTTCGCTCTTCTGATAGCCGTTACTTCAGACTCTTGCATAAGCAATTTTCGGTGGACCAATCAGTGATTTTGTTTGGACAGAAAGTTGAATGGTTCAAAGATTACCAGACAATAAAAGTCCCTTAGAGACCTGCAAAATATGCAGCCTTTGTGAAATAATTAATTCAGAACACCGATAGGATCTCTAAATATATCTTGATGAGCAGTGAGCGCCTGCCATTCTTCCCTAGTACCCGAACGATGTTAACCTAATATGTTGATACATTCAAACATATCTAGTTTTCGTGCGGAGTGAGATATGTGTGCCAGTTTTCTAATGTATTCACACCGAGCGACGCTAGAATGACGTCAACAATGACGTCTTAGGGCGAAAAATCTAGAGTGCTTTGTAGAAATATAATAGGAGGGAAGGGAGCTAAAAAGGTAATTATGTAATCCAGAATTTTTTCTATTTGATAACTGGAATAAGGAAAAAAAATGATGAAATGTGCGAGAGTAAAGGAGCAATATTAAGACAGTTACCTTAGCACTGCTAGCCTCCTGCGCGTACGCTGACTTTACTTTTGCACGTCACGCAATAACCCTACTCTCAACAACAGACAGGTAGGATTGCGTGACGACGACAATAACCCCCGCATGGTTACCGCTGACCGCTAAGTGTCCTTACTTTCGAGATGGTGGAGAAGCAAAAAGCCGGAAATAGTAGACGTCGAAAAAGGGATCAGCCATCGCTGAAAATGTAAAGTTGATCGTTACCTCGAAGTGAAAAAGAAGAGAAAAAAATCAATCTGTTTAATGTATTTCAAGGCAGCAGGACTCAAGATAACTACTTCAAAAGAGTATCATTTTGCAACTGCAGCATGGAACTGTCAATTATCGTCTCATGTTTAGTGGGCCTCTGGCTAAACTGGTCGTTTTTAGTTCAGACCAAGCACAAGTGGGAAACTAAGTTAGATATCCTGAGACAGCTGATCGTATTTCAAGTAACTGCGAACTCTTTTAATCTCTGTTCATCTGATTTTGTTGATACCTTGGCCATTTTGGGGATACGCGGTTCGACCTGGAGACTATTTGTGGACAGTAGATCCCCTTATCTGCAGATTGATCACAGCAGTCCTCGAAATTTCATGCATTGTGTGCATTTTAAACGCAGCTGGTATTTTTCTGTCAAATCAGGGGAAAGACGAGCTAAGAAAGGAGAGACTAGGCAACAATGCAGCTGTAGTTGTTTCTGCAACGTGTTTTTTGAGCGGAATTCTCACTTTAGTTTACACAACAGCTATACCACTTCTGAAACAGGGCACTTTGCACGGAGAAAACTGTCCTACCCACTCGTTTTCAGTGCTCTGCGCACAGACCGAGGTGAAAGCTATCTATTTATCCTACGTGGTGTGTTCTTTATTTCTGTTTATACTCAATTTCCCGCCAACAAGGTCTAGGGTGAAATACATTTTGGACGTGTGCTTCAAATTGATAACTGGGGTGTTTCATGTCATTTCGTGTTTCATTCTCTTCTTTGGGGTTGTGTTCATTGTATTGTTTATTCTTGGAGGATCTTTATATAGTGACGCTTTCAACATAGTCAAACTCTATTTTGACATAGTCGGTCTTGTCGTTAGCATCGGCTTCCCAGCAATTGTGAACACGGGGTTTACATCACACGTTTTTCAACCGCCTCCCTCAAACAGAAACCCGGACAATGAGAAAGAAGAGGTCAAAATTATGATAAACGTATCTTGACTTTTTCACACTCGAGATCACACGAGTAATTCTCATTACTGACTGCCTTACAATTTTTATGATGTTGGTTTGAAGAATTTGGTATTGGATCAACTAATTAATTATCTCCTTGTTGATATTTTTCTTTTTTCTCATCACATATCTGCTTGAAATTGTATTAATATTGTAAGGAGAAATTTTGTTCCAGTCACTCATGAGAATTAAAGGTTTAGAAGTTTCCTTCTCATTGAATAATTTAAATGTTTTGACTACATAGCAGCAGAACAACTGATGATGATGGCATGGCGATGAAAAATAATATATATGAAATATCATTTTTAGTTGAAGTTTAGTTAATTTATGAATCTTAAATACATCAAAAAAGGAAAATTGTGTAGAAAAATTATTGACCTTGACATATTGAATCCATTTGCAGCTAGAAGTTGAGAAACCAGTGCCTTTGCCAAAAATGTTCACTTATCATTACATGAACACATTTACACCATCCATGTCCAATTGCAAGAACTTTCAAGGGGATTTTTTTTATTATTATTTTTATACTTTCAACTCACTATCTCCTTTATGGGTACACTGAATTTTCGAAATCAGGGTTTAAGACATCATCTAGCTGCAGATTGCACAATAATCATGTCATGGACACTCAAGGCCATGGGTAATCATGTCATGTATGAGCACAGTGCATGATTTCTAAGGGTTAGTCATTTCAAGTTTGCCCCCTCTGTGTTGCTTGCTGTTTGTATATTTTTACACATTTAGAAATAAATTATCAGTTCCACTTACTGTTGTGACCATTTTTTTTTATTCAATGTATAATAAAACAATTATTAGATTCAGTTTTTGTGATATCCAGAAAAAGCAAGGTCTCTGTAAGGGTTATCACCCTCAGCCTTCAGCTGATAACCCCTACCACAAGTATAATAAAAGTATATATCACTTACTTTTTAAATATGTCATGTAATTTAGCCTCAGGAGGCTGTGAATATGAATATTTTTATTAATTATTTATCTAACTATCCACCTCATGAAATGTCTTTTTTATAACTTTTATACATTTTAAAATGTTAATTTGTATGAATATAAAGTTACTTGAATCCAGTATAAGTTTAAACAAATTGAGCAAATTTCTTAAGAAGTCTCCACCATCTATACACATTTTTATAGAGAGGTAGTTCTAGTTTGTTTGAAAAAGTACTTTTCCAGATACAATTGTTCTTGAAAGGTTTAACTGTGTATCAAACAATAATAGATCAGCTCTTTTTCCCACTTCTATGAGTCCTGTATGGGAGATCTTTGCAATTCTGAAAGATTAATTGATAAGATAAATGTTGTCAAAATCCTTAAAATGTATTAGTTTAGGAAAACTCACATGTTAAGAGCTTACAAGCAAATAACTGCTGAAACCTATGATTAAGTATCCCAGGTTTGTTAAAAAATATATATACACATGTATGTATATATATATATATATATATATATATATATATATATATATATATATATATATATATATATATATATATATATATATACCGGTATACCAGGTTTGTCAAAAAAAAACAAATATATGTATACATACATACATATATATATATGAAGTTGAAAAAAAAAAATAGATGATGCTTTCATCCTTACAGGCCTATTTTATGATTACTCACTCATCAGGGGATAAAATAAAATCCTTTGATTAATATATATATTTATTTATTTATTTATTCATAGTTTGAGTCCAAAAATTTTGCCCAAATTATTTCTCACTCTGAAGTTAAACCACTCCTTTTTTAAGCTTATCTTTTAGTCAAATTTTCCTAAGTAGTTATTGTTCAAGGAATGGATAATGCTATCCCCTGAACAGACCACTATCCAGTTGGGGGTATAGTTTGTTTCACTGTTAATTTTGAATTTTGAGACATGAACTAAGCATAACACCTATCCTACAATAACCACAATTGTACCTGGCAGGGTTTTCAGATAACATTGCTACAGCATCTCCCAAAGGAACTCTAAATATGTGAATCAGGGAGTGAAAAGCACCAAGGAGAGTGCCACAACTTCCAGCCAAGGTATTTGTTCCTGCAATTGACAGAGTACGGCCACTGGGAGAAACCTGAACTGAATGAGTGATGCAACGATGAATTATTGTAGTAGCAAAAGACAGTACTTTTTTTTGGTTTACCAGTGTAATTAACCCATGCAGGATGTTGGGAGAACAAAACAAAAAGTTTGCAAATTACCAGCTGGAGGTGAGTGATTTACAAAATTTTCTGAAATGATCACAATTACAGGCAAAAGCACCCAACCAAATAGAGAGTAAGTTAAAGAGATTCTTTGTAACATTAGCAGGAAATGGAAATCTCTTGTTTATTGGGCTTACTTTGTTTGCTTCCATACTTGACAGTTTTTCCAGGGATGCCTTCTAGAACACAGTCTGTTATAAAGGCAATGTTTTTGAAGTGGCGGGCTTTTAACAACAATGAAACAGCCATAGGATCTCTGGGGAATCAAACAAATATTAGCTTGGAGATGAAAGGCTCAAAGAAATTAAGTTATAATTAACAGCAGTCTACTGCAAAAAGCAAACACAAAAAAGAATTGCCAACTTGCTGACAGAACCATGAACATTACACAGTTTATCAGAACATGGAATTACTATATGTTGACATAACTCTGTTATAGTTTATTTTACTGAGTCTGTGTCATGGAAAGCCTTTAGCTCATAGAATTAAATTCTAAATTGTGATCTTTTGATTGCCTGATAGCCATAGAAAATCAAATGAATGGCAGGCCTACACCATATGGACATTTTAATAGAGGTATTGCTCATGATGATAAAAAGATATATTTTAAATTTACTTACTAGCTGAGTTCATCAGTACTTACACATGTGCTAGATCTCCTATGATTTCTACTGTTGGGGTTTTTATTCCTCTATACTTTGAAAGGTTTGGCAATTCATCCAGGAGTCCAAAGTTAACGAGACCTGGAGATCTAGAAAGCATTAATATTCCCTTTTCACCCTTTAACTCTCATGAGTGAGAAGAAATAATTTCTCCTTACAATATCAATACAATATCAAGCAGACAAGTAATGAGAATAAAGAAAAATATCAGTAAGGGGATAATAAGTTGATCCAATATCAAATTCTCTATACTAACATCACAAGAACTATATGGCAGACACTGAAGGAGAATTGCTAATGAGATCTTGGGAGTTAAAGGGTTAAAGACCCATCTCTCTTGGGAAAGGAGGAAAAGGGAAAGGCATCGTCAATTAATAATCAATGCCTCTAAATCCACCACCACCTAGTTGTTTATTGAAACCTTACTTGGGGCATAAAAATTTAAAAAATTGTTGTGATTTTCTGCTCCTTATACCTGTGATGGAAGGAACAGACATTAAAAAGATGTGTCAAATGAAGCTGTTGACTTTTGCTGAGTGACAAAGCAGTGAGAATTTCCTCCTCAGTGGCCTGTTTATCATGGCCAAGGGCTGGGACCACTTCCCTAGAGACAGAAAAAAATTATTATTGTATTATTCTAGTAACTTCTTTTTTGAAGTTGCAATGGGAAAAGAGGAGATTATGGACTAGATTTCCACTAGATGTTCACTTGAATTCCAGTTAAGCTCTTGATCTAAAAACGTGGCCTAAAGAGCCTAATAATAATATTGGGTCTGCCCCTTAAAAGCAAAGGTGATTCAAATTTCTTTAATTGGTGATCATTTCCTTAATTCTCCTGACTTTAATGTGTGATTTGGGGAATTGATATGGTTGTAAAACAAGGAGACAGAAGAAGGCAAATTTAGTCAACACCCTCCCAATCATGCCATGGCAATCTATGACAAATACATGACCTAACATCCCCCTTTTTGCTAGAAAAAAAATCATATGATATAAATATTGTAAGGAGAAGTTAGTTGCTGATTACTCTTAAGGGTCAATGGGTTACCATAATTGACTAATTAATAATCGACAATCTACAAATATTAATAAAATTATACTTGTAATGTACTACAAACTCTTATTGATAATATTATATTTCAATTGTTATTTTTCTTTCAAAGATGACTTAATTAATGACACCTTCTCAGCAGGCATTTAATTCTGTTGTAATTGTGAGATGCTTCTGCATGAGGGCTGATCGTCATGACTTTCAAATGAGGCATCTTATCAAGGAGCTGCTCAAACTCGTCAGAGGTCATGTCGTTGTAACTTTGTGGCATAGCACCAAGATCTGTGATAATGGGTCCCTGTAATTCAAAACAGAAGAATGATTTCTGTCTCAGGGAAGATTTCCCTTTGGGAGAATTCAATAAGGGCCATTCAAAGCTAATTAAAACAAAAGAAAAAATAGGAACAAATGAAAACAAAGATGGAAATAAAATGAAAGTTCAAGAATGTTTTGTCTTTGCATCCTCCTTTGAAAACTGGTGGATTAGGGTCCTGTGGAAGCTGCTAATTTCAATGACCAATTTCTTCTCTTTACAATGGACAGGAGAGGATACTGGACTTAGGGTATTGGCAAGAGTTGTCTCCAATCTATTACCAACATTAGAAATACATGTTGGCAGATTTTGACATGGAGTCTCTAGTTCTGTAATATTTGCCAATTTTATCAAAATCTTGTAAAGTGGCTTCAAGTTAATCTGCCCTAGACACAATTTTAATAATCATGCCTAGCATTTCAATTACGTACCTCTGAATGGATTCCTTCTAAAACTGCTCCATTTCCATCAATAAGTCCCACATGGCTTTCAAGTATTTTCAGGATTTTGTCCTCTTTCTCACCAAGAGGATGATTAGGAAAGACCACTGATGCCAAAAATGATGTTGTTCCATATTGAATAAGTCTAGATCTTGTAAAGTCTTTAAGGAGGAAAATGTATTAATCTCCTTTACTTGACTGTGATCATTTTCACTTTTCCTCTTTTTAGTTGTGTGTTTAACAAAAACCTGGCTGGAACCATGAAATATCATGGTCTATATAGTTCAAACTAATAAGCACACTTGGTAACGGCATTTGCGGCAAGTGCATTTCAGCCTTTGGCCCCTGAGAGTGACTAGCATCTGGTTTCAATACCACCTCTGAATCACAGGTTAAGGTTGAAAGAATAAAGGAAATGGTCATCAGCTGAAGAAGCTCTTAATTGTCAAAAAAAAACTCCTTGTCAGCTCCTTGGGAAATGCATAGAGAACAGTATAGTGAATATGCACACTGATGTTAATTAATGCATAAAGGGTTAAAAAAAAATGAGATGTACCTGGATTGCACCAAAACTCTGTTACATCATCTGCCCCACCTAACAATAATATCAGCCAAGAACCAACTTTAGTAGCTTTATTATTACCATATGAAAGAAAAAAATCTATCAACCACTCAGTCACTTTATTTATCATAGCAATGAGCAATATAACTTTTAGAGGTTACAGCCTAAAAGTTGAGTGGGCACTGTGGGCAAAGGTTTTTTTGGTGTGGTGATGCATCATGAATCAGTATTCTTAAGTTCCTTAAAAAGAATCAAGCCAGAGTGCCCTTACTTGTCTTGTGTAGGGTTAGAAAGAGGGCCCCTTCTCCTCTGTGCAAGAGCTCCTGCCTTTTCCCCATCTTATCACGCGTATCCCTAAGATTACTGCACTTAACCCTTTAACTCCCAGAAGTGATGAACATGTAACTTTTCCCTACAGTTTCCATGCATCATCCAGAAAATTGGTGAAGAGAATACTCAAGCTCATCAAATAGAAGTTTTTATCTTGATCTAACACTGAATGTTGACACATTTTAGAGAGGAGAATTAACAATCAGATCACAGGGTTAACATAAAGTTTTCATTATGACCAGACTAAAAAGACATAAATATGGCATGCATAATCTAATCACTTTATATTACATGTATTATCAAGCCGTTTAGGAAAATTGTCGAAACAATGTTCAAAATTGGAATCCTACCCATGCCATGATTGTGAATGTCAATAAAGCCCGGGGTTAAATAATGACAAGTTAGTTTATCGTTTCCACATTCTCCTTTGCATCTATCAATAGCTGCAATCAAACCTCTCTCTATAACCACATCAAAAGGACCTTCCTCACATTGTCCCTGAGGAAAAACGACGATCTTTGCACAAACAATTAGAGACTCAAACATCTTCGGTCATTTGTTGCGTGACGAAGAAAACATACGTTTGTGACTTGTTCTTGAATTTAGCTTTTTACCCTTCAATTCTCTATTAGCTCCGATTCTTCATGGGTTCTCGCTGTTTGATATGAAAATTCTTCGGCTTTTGATTTCCTCATCGATCCAAGCCAGCAGCTATAAGAGCAAACTTGGCTCAGAAATGCCAAGCTATGTTTGCGTGACGTTTAACTGTTTGTGGATCAAAGATCGACCACAATCAATACACCAAATCAGGGCAGGAAATCTGACGAAATTTAACGAATACTTCACTATTTCAAGGATTTTAATCGTTTTTCTAGCTTCTATCGCCAAGTTATGCAAGACGGAGCCTCCAAAATCATTACCACTTTTGCTGAAAAGCAGCTCAACTGAGAATATCACTGAAGGTCATCGAAGGACACGGAGGTCTGGGAACAAGACTGAACTTTGATACTAGTCGCGAAGAGCAGCTTGGGAGAAATGTTACGTTGACAAAGGCGCCTGCGTACATTGGCGAAAGCCTTGGAAAATAGATAGATTTTTAGTAAACTTCTTTACAGTTTACTAAGGAAGAAAAATGCTTTCTTCAGCTCTAAGAGTTGGATTTAGGCGGGTTTCAAATGCTACTAGGAGGCATGTTTTACCGACAGTAAATTCAGGTATGTTTTCTGTTTATTTGATTACTATGCGTTTACGTGGAGAAGGATGTAGATATTGTGGCTTTCACGGTTGCACGTGAAATCCAATGAATCGAGTTTTACATCTTTTGTGTAAACGAATCTGGTGAATTTTTCATTGTTTATTAAGTGAATTGTAATTTGGAAAGTATTTCTAGTCATAGGTGGCTTCGGAGTACTCTTTTCGTATAGTTTTCCTGTACTTTCTTGTGACAGTACGAAGGTCACGCAAATGCGCCAACCACACCACCAGACCCACCCCCTGAGTTACTTCATCATAAAGTTTAGAATTTTATTGAATTCCTAGTTTTAGCTCGCAACATTTTCACTTCTGTTTTCTATTTCAGGAATTCTCACCCGGTCCAACCAGACTTCAGCAGGTATTGAAGGCATTTTTACTAAGTTAGAGACTTGTTTGATCTGGTAGACAACCATCTGTCAAGTGAAGGTGCATATTGAAAAACCCAATTAAAACTCCTCATAAGGGCTGTATGCAATGGTGTGAGCAGGTCTAGTACAGGCCACAAGGCCTAGTGTAAAGTCTTGCAAGATGCAAAGTGCTTAACAAATAAATTTGAGGTTGATGTAAATGAAGATGGCAAAATATAAGCCTTGTGTTTTAGTGAAAGATTCCACTTTGTTGAGAGTCTGTTTGGTAATAGATCACAGATCATGTCAAAATGTAACAAGAACAAAAAGGTGTCACACAAAGTGCAGCCATGTATGTCACTGATTTTTCTACCACATTTTGATGTTTTCTGTTATCTATTGATGTACAAACCCACAGCATCACAGAATTTGTGTGTTTTATATGATAAAAACACAAAGCATTGTCAAAGGTGATGTCATCTATGCATCTGTTCTCTAACTGATTATAAGTAAGAACCAATTGAAATGATTATTTACTTCAGCATGTCATTTCAAGAGGACAGAAAGAAACAAGAAAGAAGAGAAAGAAGCATTTGTATGATAAAGTGCTTGTTTCCTGAGTGAGGTTGGGCAGACAGAAAGATATTTGGCCCTCTGTGATAATGTTCAGACCTTGCTACCCTCTGTCCCTATTTCATGACCATGATCAAAGCAATTTTCTGTTCTGCCCTCCTAATCAGTCAACAATTGCATTTCTCATCCACTTTTTTATTTGTTTATGTGTAGCAGACAACTGTGTAAAATGCCACATCCAGGATGGTGTTGCTGTGGTTAGGTTTGATACTCCAGACTCTAAGGTAAGTCCTAAATGTGGAAAAAAAAAGTATTAAAAGAAAACTTCAGAAATTTCACTGTACAGTATAGAAGATGTGGCTTCTTTGATTTGAATCTTTAACTTCCTCTGTCAGGTTAATGTGCTGTCTGAAAAGCTCACAACAGAGTTGGTTGAGGTAAGTACACTGTATAATAAGAGCAGAGTCTGCCTCTTTATGAAATCATTATAGATTATGTTCATTGAGTTACCTCATTGCATTTGTGTTTATTTTCTTATTGCCACTTCTTGTCTGAATGACTGATCAGGTAATGCAAGGTGTGGAAAAAAACCCTGATGTGAAAAGTGTTGTTCTTGCATCTGCTAAACCAGGATGTTGGATAGCTGGCGCTGATATCAAGTATGTAGGACAGTACAGTTTACAAATTATTATAATTGTGAAATGCCTGCACCAATGACACCCAATTTTAAATACTAGTAATGGTAGATTGCTTGTGATTTACTTGTGAGGATGATAACAATGTTTTGACCTCATGCTACATCTGTGTAGTGCTATTCTTTATAATACAATGAGTGAAATGGTTTTAAGTAAACAAAGAACTCTGAAGTAAGAGCAGTTTATGAGCTCTCAGTAGCTATCATGGATTTTTTTTAACTCTAAACTCCTATGAGTGACCAAGACAAAATTTCTCCTAACAAATATCAACAATGTCAAGCAAAAAAGTGATGAGATTGATAAAAAATATAAATTAGGGGATTACAGGTTGATCCAATGCCAAATTCTCTAAACCAATGTCACAGGAATCGTATATCAGAATGTATGGAGAATTATTGTTGAGAGCTTGGTGGTGAAATTTTAAAGTTTTTTTGTTCTAATGAAGTTTTATCTCTAGGGGTCTGCCATCATACCACTTTTCTGAACAGCTAAAGTGTTTCTTGATCTTTGGTTTGCAATGTTTTTTAAGTTTATTTTCCACTGTCCCTGTTGATGTTGTTTGGGTGATGTCTTCAATTAATTTCTCCTTTTCTTAATTTTTCTTTGACCTTGCACATGTGGCAGTCAGGTTGCTAAACAATAAACTTCTTTCAAACAAGCTATAGGCACATCTTTCACCCTTTCACTCCCAGGAATTATCAACCTGACTAGTAGTCATTATCAGGGAATATGGTATAATTTAATATGTACGTTGGCAGTTGAAAGCTAAAATTGTGAGCATGAAGATGAGTGAAATTAATGTAACATGTGTCATTTCTTTTCATAGCATGTTGAGTGCTGGTGACACTGCACAGAAGGTAAGTTTAGAGTCATGTATTTTTGTGTACATTTACACATTTATTGTTAGTAAGTCTATCACATTAATTTAGTGCCAAGCCGACTGTCATAACCTGACCTTAACTACAAACTCAGCCAATGGTAGATATACATTATGAAAAAAATAAGAGTGAAATAATTGGCAAGATCAGTAGAAAAAACATTACTACAGAATACAACTTGAAATCGTGAGTAGATGGGTAGCTAGATTAGTAATTGTGGGTACAGTGAAAGGTCATTCCTCAACTTGCCTGACTTAAATTTTAAGTCAAAAGTGTTTTGTTATAATCCCACATTGAATCGTGTAAGATTTGTAATATTACCTCTTATCTTCTAAGGTGGAAGAAATATCAGCAAATGGCCAGAAAGTCATGCAACATATCTCAGTGAGTGCTTAAGCCCTTTAACTCCCAGAAGTGATTAACATGTAATTTCTCCCTTTAATATGCATACATTATTCAGCAGACAGGCAATGAGAATACTTAAGCCTATTAGGCAGAAGTTATTATCTTAATCTTACATCAATTTTTCATAACTTTTATTTATAAAGAAATGTGTAGCAGCTAGAGGGGAGAATAACAATCAGATCTTGAGAGATGGACTATTCACAGTGAACAGTCACTGCATAACAATTATGGTTTTGATTTTTAAGATGGCATTGTAGTAATTACTTTGGGTCTTTGTTACAGGACAGTCCTAAACCTTATGTTGCTGCAATCATGGGATCATGCCTTGGAGGTGGTCTAGAGGTAGTTGCATTATTATATATGACCTGTACAGTCCTGTGCATGCTTTTGTTTAAAAATGTTTGACTAACATCTTAAATGAGAGCCATGTGCAATGGCTTGAGCAGGGCTGGAAGAGAAATGGTGATATGATACAATGGTTATTGACTGTGTCAGGTCAGGTGGGATGTGGAAATATATGGCTCTCAGTCACAATGTTCCTTAAGCTAAGTATTTTCCCTGGCTGCCCTCCCACACAGCACATAGAAACTTACTATTCTTGGCTGCAGTTTGGAGAAATGACTTAAGATTGCAATATAAACTGTTCTTGGCTGTAGCCCATTGTCTCAAAAGCATCAAATTGGGAATCACAGCAAAGTACATATGGCAAAGGACCAATCTTGACAGGGATAGCTCTACTTGCCAAACATAGATTATCACTGAGAGAAAAATGCATCTGCAGATTATCTTGAAAGGATTAATGTTTTAAAATTGCCAATCAACATATAAGCCTGTGGTAACTGGGCAATAAACCATGGCATAAATGGTTTCCAGACAATCTTAATATATGTTTGTATGGATAAAATTTAAATTGATAATGCTACTAGCTGGAGTAGATATGCATGTTTAAAGCTAGTGGACCCTGTTGCTTATGTACCTGAAAGATATTGAGTGACTCTTTGAACAACCTGTCTTCTGTTTTGATCCTCAGGTGGCCTTGAGCTGCCATTACAGAGTGGCTGTTGATAATCAATCCACTGTCCTCTCTGCCCCTGAAGTCATGTTAGGTCTGCTTCCTGGCGCTGGAGGAACTCAGAGATTGCCTCCACTTGTAAGTCAAAATGGCATTAAAGAAAATCATGTATTTTCTAGAATTAAGATTTTTAATAATTAAATAGTAGGTCCATATCTAAGGCTTTTCATTAACCCCTCAATGGTGAGATATGATTAACATAAAACTTCTCCCTACATTTTCCATAAATTATCCTGCAAATAGGTAATGAGAATACTCTAATTTATCAGGTACATTGTAAAGGGCATTATCTGATCTTATACCAAATTCTCTTAACTAATTTGTTAGGAAGTATGTAGCAGCAAGAAAGGAGAATCAATGATGAAATATTGAGAGTTAAACATTAACAATTTCCTCAATTTTTTTTATATGTGATTTATTTAGGTTGGCCTTCCTGATGCTTTGGACATGATGCTAACAGGAAAAAACATTAAATCAAATAAAGCTAAGAGAATGGGTCTCGTTGATCAACTGGTCAAACCCCTAGGTATGCTGATTTGTTTATCGTATCGTAAACAATACCTTTTCCCTTACCCACTAGCTTTTAAAACTGTGATATTGAAATACTACCCAGTCCCATTTAATTTTATAGTTTCCTTTTGTTATGCAAATATGCAGAGAAAAGTAACCAAAAGAGACTTGAACCAAGTAATTTCCAGGGTTTTATTTTTAACCAACCTAAGTGTGGTTTCTATGTTACCATCTCTATTAGCACACTTGCTGTTGCTAATTTTCAAGCATATTATCTATCTGTAATATGATCATTCTGAAGTCCATGTTTGTGACAACTGCTAATTGGTAACAACAATTACTGAGTTTGTGTGACCACCTGTAAGATTTTGATTTTCTTTAAAAGTGGGTGGATGAGGATGAAATGGGCAGTCCATTTTGGAATTAGGCCTAAGTACTTTTTCTTGGGGGGGGGCATGTTTTACAGAAACTGTGGATAATTTGGTTTTATCAACTGAGTTGATAATATAAATTTGGCTGCTGTAAAGAGTTTCTAAAGTGGAAGTTTCAAGCATAAGCCTATCATCAGAGGGAATGACAAAGGCCTAAAGCCCAGAATGTCAGTTTTAGAAACTCTTTACAGTGACCAATTTACATTATCAACTCACTTGATAATACCAAATCATCCTGAATATGTTTTAACTGTTTTTTTTTTCTAAAACTAACCTGTGGCTCATTCCTAAAGTGATCTGAGATAATTTGCATAAATTTAAACTGTAAAATTGAATTGTTTACAGGTCCTGGGCTAAAGCCACCAGCAGAAAACACCTTACAATACTTGGAAGACATTGCAATCCAGAGTGCAAAGTAAGGTTAAAAGGATGCACTTGTGGAAAGTAGTTACTACAATTTTCAGTGGAGTGAGGCCAGACAGAAGTTTGGCAACCATTTTTTTTTATCTCGCTGTTTTCATGGGCAACTGGCTTGGTTTCCATTGGCAGCATATTGTTTGCCCTCTTTTAGCATGCTTTAATATTTGACAGTAAATTATAGACAGCTATTCAGATTTGGTTATCATTGGAAAGGAGGAAAGTTGCCCATGACAACACAGTTATTTTACAGTCAAAAACCTGTCACAAACCTTTTGCATACTCCACTTGACTGATAATTGTAGTATTGTTCTAAAGCCTAATGGCACTTATTTTAGCTAAATCATTATGAATCATTTTTATTATGATTGCATAGGGCTCTAGCTTCAGGAAGTATAAAACCAGATAGATCACATTCCTGGACAAACTTAAAAGGTAACTGACATGGCTGATAGTTTCAGACTGATACTGTAATTTCCGGTCGTTTACCTGCACGGCCGATTACCCACACCGGCCGATTATTGCATACGGCAAAAAAAAAAAAACAGATTACCCGCACTGGTGGATAACCCGCACGTTATGATATTCAACTTTTTGGTGGCGAAAACGTGACATTAAGGTGATACATTTCAGTCTTTTAAAAGTTGTCTGATCCAACTTTCAAAAACTTGAAAGCATCTTTGTCGAGTTTAAAGGTCAAAGAAATTCAGACACGTGCACAATTCTGTGTCAATATTAGCATATACTTTATTGATAAGATAATACAGTAAAAACACTAGCAGCCCATGCCCAAATCTCAACATTTCATACTTGACAGAATGTGAATTAGTGGCTACATTTTGTGCGAGTGATCATTCAGCGCTATGTTGATTTGCTGAAAAAAAAGCTGGGTAAGTATTAAAACTTGAATTATAAAGTACTGTCGGCGATTTCTGAAAAAAATCGATATCTCCGGTTCTATTGGGCCTAACAAGTCCCTTAAAACGGGAAAATTCTCTTTAGCTCAAGCTAATGTTAAATGGAATTTGTTACTGATGTGCTGGATATCTTTGGATTATTTTTGTCACTATCAAGGTTTTGTTTTCACGCGTGTGGATAGCAATTTGTTTGTCGTGCAATTAATTATGCATGAAATAAACTTGAGTCGGCATCATGTTTTCGTGCCGCTTTGCGGCACTCTTAATACAATAAAATTCACTTGAGAAGTGCAAATGCATGTTGGTGATAATTTTTTTCAATTCAACCACCACTAGATTTTAAAATTGTCACATAACCCACACCTCCCTATTACCCGCAGTGGCGCGTGTTTAATGCAAAATCAACAGATTACCTGTGGGTAAACGACTGGAAATTACAGTACTTGTACTATATGGTAAGAGAGTATGTGAATACCAATAAGCCTTTTGTTGCAATTTTGTTATGGTTGTAATATGCTACATAATAGATATATGTTTAGCTCAGTAAAGAATCTGATGGATAGGTGTGAAAACTTAATGAAATAACATTATTTTGAACTTGTTATCCCAGATTTACAATATAAGATAACAACAGAAACAGAGTTTGGAAGAAACTTTGTAGTCAAGAAAGCCAGAGAAACAGTAAGTGTTCTAATGATTATAACTCCCCTTGTAATAAAATATGTTTATTTTTCATCCTGGTGTAAGATTAAAGATGAACTTTGTTCATTTGTCTCACAATAGAGTCGCTTTTGTTGATCACAATTTTTCAACTGCAATGCTGCTAGTCTTTGTCAGACAATGAAGACTAGCAGTATTGCAGCATCGCGGTTGAAACGTGGCAATCAACATCAAAAGTGACTCTATTGTGGGAAAAATAAAGAAAGTTCATCTCCTAACTCCCCTTGTGTCCTTTTTTTAATCAAGTTTTCAAATTAAAGTTAGTGACTGGCTATAATGTGGCTTTTTATTGTTAGGAGAGGTGGTTCTTAAATGTTTTCTTTGGTTTATGATATAACATAATGCACAAAGATTTGCAATTGATACTGGCTCCCTGTACAATTATTTTTTTGAATTTGAAAGCTAACAAGGTCTTTCAATAGAATTGTCACAGTTTTCAGCTTTAATTAGATTTACATTTTCTTCTATTTTTCCAGGTTATGAAGAAGACAGGTGGTCTGTATCCTGCTCCACTTAGGATTATTGATGTAAGACAGAGCTTCATGATTTCTTTTGACAGACCCCAGAAGGCTTTATCTTGATATCATTTGTCAAAGGCAGTTCATGGAGCTCTATAATCTGCTCTTTTCTAATTTATATCTTCTTATCTAAAATAATTAATTGACAATATCTGGATTGGTGTCTTAAATGGCCATTTGCTTTTGACATGTCACTTCAAACGTTCTCTGAATATCCTTTACCACACCCTTTCTGCTTACAAGTCAGAGGTCTAAATTTATTACTTTTAACCTTCAAGCATGTTAATTATGACAAGTAATGAGCTTGTGAACTATATTGTAGAATAGTTATGTTCCTCATTTTAGCTTAGCCATTCATGTAGCACCTGATTGGTCAATATCAAAATAACTTGACTCCCCTAAATGTTACTACTCAATATTCTCAAAAGGATTCTTATCACCTGCCATGATAGTAACAGTAAATCTTACACTGTATTTTTGGCTTTTTCTTGGTAGGTTGTAAAAGAAAGTCTAGAAAAAGGCCCAGCACATGGTTTCAAGAAAGAGGCTGAGGTTAGTGTGGTTGACTGGAGGGCATTGCTTTAGACATTGTTGATAATGATATTTAAAAATTTTTATAGGGCAATTGGTACAAAATATTCTACTGCACCATATGTACATGTAGCCTAATTACTATTATGGAAAAAGCAGCTGAAATTTGCAATTTTGATTTTCCTCATTATGTACTTGAAAAAAAATGAAAGAAAGTTTCAAGTCCACTTTTAAGAAAATATTTTTTGTTGGAAATAGAGCAAAGTAAATTGTAGATGGAAGCAGATTCCAAAGACTAGGGATAGCACTGCTAGACAATTATAGATCCATGAAGGTCTAAGAGTTTACCCTTTTACAATACTTTCATCAATCATTGTCCTTACCATTTTAGTTATACTAAACATCAACATAATAATGTACGTGCAATAATTCACTGTGTTGCTGAAGGAGTGAAAACAAGAGTACTGCCGTTATTATCCCTGTGTGCTTGAAGAATTGAAAGGTTTTTTTGTTTCCAGGGATTTGGCGAATTAAGTCAAACTACAGAAGCCAAAGCCTTAATGGGATTGTTCTTTGGTCAGACAGAATGCAAAAAGAACCATTATGGTAAACCTAAAAGGCCAGTTAAGTAAGTAATTATAATTCAGAGAGTGCTTGAAAGAAAGCTTTGAGTGAATGTTAAATGCAACTTCAACACCTTCCAGTATAGCTTTCCCCCTTAATTGTTTAAAACTGCGCTTTCTATGAATTAGATGAAACACCCATGGGATATTTGTTTTTACTGTTTCATATGAATTTTCAAGAGATTGCATACATTTTAACCTCTTTTTTTTTCTGGTAACATATTGAGGAATTTTTGATGAAACAACCTGTAATAATCTACACCAACAACAAACTTTGTTTTCTAAAAACAAGGAAGGTGGAAATTAAAGTGTGTGCGTGTGTGTGTGTGTGGGTGGTTTTTATTTTAAGGGAGACCCTAATAAGACCTGTTTCTGGTACAACTTTTGTTAGATTGAATATGGCAATGTACTGTTTACATGTCTATAACTCATTGACTGTTATTATAGTATTTAGGTTGTTGTATTGCAAGTTTAATGACAGTGATGCTCTCTTCAAAAATAGTACTAACAATATTTTGACAATCACTTTGTCTCTTCATTAGCACTGTTGCTGTCCTTGGTGCTGGTCTCATGGGTGCTGGAATTGCACAGGTAAGTAAGGAAAGCTTTAATGAAATCAAAACTCTGGCTCAAAGGTTTGCTACAGTCATTAGCTCTTGTGAGTATGTGGTGAGCTTTCTTGATTAATTTTTTTGTCTCTATTAAGTGTGTTCTACTGAAAATTTTAGGTGAAAATATTAGTGTAAATATTCTGATGGGCTGGGGACCATAATTATTACACATGTATCTTGCTAAAATCACTCTGCAGTGACTGTGTTGTGTTTTAATGGGAAAATACTTGAATACAAATCTTCCAAATGGCTGCAGCACTTTTTATTTTCTATCTCTGAAGAAGAAGGAAAGGGTTTAAGTGTTCAGAATAAGGACCAGACTTTTAGCATCATCTTCCTTGTATCACTAAAACTCCATCAAATGCAGCAGCAACTTCCATGAACCATTTCTGTTGGTTAGCTAGTATTCTAGTAACAAATTGTTGGGATGGTATTAAGTCAAATCAGAGTGTGTATACCATTCACCTTTAAGGATACTTAATTTGCAGTAGATATAATTATTATTATGATGTTTATTTATTGTAGGTCAGCCTTCAAAAGGGGCATCAAGTGATAATGAAGGACAATATTCTAGAAGGACTTACACGAGGACAGGAGCAAATCTTTAAGGGGTATGTTGGTGAAAGCACTGAAATTTAGAAGTAAAAGTTATCAAACATTAGAATGACTTTGCATCTAATTCTTTTTTTCTTGGCTTTAGATTTAATGGTCGTGTGAAGAAGAAGGCCATGACATCGTAAGTATCCAGCTTGTATCTAATGGTACTTTACAAAAATAAAAGGAAAAGATTTCTCTTTCATTGATTCTTTTACCCCACTTTTTTTCATCTAATAACAATCATCTTGATGAAAGTTGTTTCATATGTCAAGGGAGAACTTTTGAAGTCCAATCTGCCCCAGTCCACCCCAATCTTTTCTAATTCACTCCAACCCACTTGTATCTGCTCTGTTAACCCTTTAGCTTCCAAGAGTGACCAAGACAGAATTCACCTTATAATATCAATACAATATCAAGCAGACAAGTGATGAGAATAAAGAAAAATATCAATGAGGGCATGATTAGCTGATCCACTACCACATTCTCGAAACAAACACAGTGAGAGTGATATGGCAGACAGTAAGGAGAATAAATAATGATATCGTGGAGTGAAAGGGTTAAAATCCATCCAACCCGGCCTTATCCATTCCAATTCCATTCCTTGTAGTCCTCTCTAGTCAACTATCTAAAGAGAGATTTTGCTGTCAATCGTAGATTATTTTAATATTAATGATATCAATAACAATAATGATGATATTGTTATTAAATTTTTGCAGATTTGAAAGAGATCAAGTGATGTCTAACTTGTCAGCTCAATTAGACTTTACGGTAAATATTTCCTGTTCTTTCCTAGATTTTTCTGGAACAGGGATTTTTCCCTTTGCCCTAGCAACAATCCACTGTGCATTAACAATTATTTTTTATTAATCTAATTTAATCTAATGAAGAGGTAGACCCTGAATGTGAACTGATTTTTTTTTGCAGTTCCACTCTTGCAAACAGGTTATAGAAATAAAGAAGTGTAAGCTTGATAGAACAGTATATTATTGTAACTACTTGACAGGGAATAAAGCTATGAGAGAGAATTACAAATTATGATTTCTTTGATCTTGCATGGTTTTGGGCTAGGAAATATTAATATCATACTGTGACAACAGACTCTCTCTCCATTCCTTTGAATGCTTGCTGTAAGATCAACTGGATTTCTACCAACACCATATGCACACTTATATGTATTTTCCATTTATTGTAGAATTTTCAAAAGGCAGACATGGTGATTGAAGCTGTCTTTGAGGATATTAACATCAAACACAAGGTCATTAAGGAAATTGAACAGGTCAGGCCAATTCTTTGTTGTGTATCCCATTTTATGCTCTCATATTCTCATTGTCTGTGATTGTAATCAGTTAGTTTTTTCAGAAATATGATGAGGGATTTTTTTTTTTCATGTCTGTAGGTCATCCCTGAACATTGTGTGTTTGCATCAAATACATCAGCTCTACCTATACATCAGGTCAGTCCTGTTCCCAATACATAAAGCTTACTTTTTGGTGTTGAAATTCAACTTTTCGGCGCCATGGTCTGTGTGTTTTACCTGTGGTAAACCCTTATTGAGGTTACATTAAAAAATAAATGCACAGAAAAAATTAAAGTTTGGACTGAAATAAGTTGATATTTGTATACTTTTTATTATGTTTAACTGTGAAAATATGTCTGTCTGTCCCTTGCATTGGACTTATTTGTTGTAAAATAAATATTTTCCAGATTGCAGAAGCTAGTAAAAGACCTGAGAAGGTGAGGGAAAGGCTATAGTTTATAACATTTCAATGTGATTTCAGCCCAATTTTGTAGAGGAAGTATGAAGTTCTTCAAGGATCTGTAATCAACACATCACTACTAAGACAAAAACACCATTTATCTACAGTATTGCCATGTATAGGGCATTTGTCAACCTCTAGTGGGTTGCACAACTGTTGATAATAACTGTTACCATGGGCAAATAATTGTAACATTTAATTCTCTATGGTAAATAATGTGGCTGAGTTTCTTAATCTTTAAAATCAACTTTATTGAAAATTACATATCAATATTATTTTATATCAGTTAGTTATTTCATATATCCCCACAATGTACAGGTTATAGGAATGCACTACTTTTCACCTGTGGATAAAATGCCACTTTTGGAAATCATTACCACAGACAAAACTTCAAATGAAACAGCTGGTGAGAGGATTTGTAAAATATTATTATCATTTTTTAAAATCAATATTTAGTTGTTGTCATGTGCATTTATTTGAAAAAAGGATGCCAAGCCTGCTTTCATTTTTTCACCAAAAAAATAAGTTAAGCATTGCATGTTTGTTCTGTTGTTTTTGTCAGCTGCTGCTGTCGATGTTGGTTTGAAGCAAGGGAAGACAGTCATTGTTGTAAAGGTGATTTATTTTATTCTGTTTTTTTTTTTAATTGACCCTCTCCGCCTATCTCCATCTATCTGTCTAACAAGAAACAAGTCAGATAGCATTTAGATTTCTGTATCAGAGGTACTGCTCAAATATGAAACTAATGACCCTCTGAAGACAGTATCCCCTTAAAGGTAGAGATATACATTTAAAATGCATGTATTTTATTTAATTTTGAAGAATTGGTCATAACTTAATCCTTGATGGTGAGAGCCCTTCAAAAGTTGTGACCCTAATTAAATATTTTCCCTTTTATTGGGAGACTTTGGAGGCAACAGACATGAAGTTATGAATTTCTGTACCTTCAGAGCAAAGTGTAATTTTAGATGCCATTGTCATGATTTTGTCAACTCAGATTATAGGCCATGCATGGGGGCAATTGGGTTTGCTGAAAGTAGTATCCTATCTAGTGGTACCCTTAGAAACTACTACTCAGGAAAAGGTTGTTAAATTCAATCATGATAGGGGTTTATACTTCAAGAACAAGAATATGAAATAATATTTTATATGAAACGTGGAGGGTGAAGATCATCTGAATAAGTACATACTTATCATATAGTTATTTACTAGTAAGTAGTTTACTTATACAAGTCATATACTTTGCCAGCAAGAATCAACATCCTTCTCTAACTTGTAAGTGATTTGATTAATTAAAGGATGGCCCAGGTTTTTACACCACACGAATCCTGGCCCCCACATTAGCAGAGGCAGTGGCTCTTCTTCAGGTGAGATTGATAGGTTGCTGGTCATATGTATGAGCATTTTTTATTATCTGTGGAGTTGCTTCTTTTTGCCATAAACAAAAGTAACTCCATAACATCTCCCTGTTTCTTGTTTACTTTTTGTTGTAGGAAGGAGTCAGTCCAAAGGATCTTGATAAACTTACCAAGCAGTTTGGATTCCCAGTTGGATCAGCTACTTTGGCTGATGAGGTGGAAATATAATATTTTTATTTTGCAAATTGAGAGTTGTTGTTGTTGTTGTTTGGGTGGATAATAGCTGTGTATCTGAAGATGAAAAATGTAGTTTAATGTTAGTGCTGGGGTGATTCATACAATGTAATTGATATGACTGATTTGGTGTTTGACTGCATCTGCATTTTGGATTTTAGTGGTTTGCGCTGTACACAGTAGCAATAATTATATAGCTTATTAGTAGTAAGTTAATACCTCTACAGCTTATTAGTATAGTAATGGTCTTCAATTAAACCTATAGGAATATAATTTCATTGGAAGAGAATTACTATGAAATCAAGCCAAAAGCATACACTACAGTTTCAGTCATACCACAGTTATGGCAACATATTATTGAAAGAAGGTTAACAATAATAAATAAATTAGAGAACAGTTATGTTCAGTAAGGCTTTTATTTTAACCTAACCTGTCCCTTGAGTAGGCATGTTACTTAAGTTCTGTGCCACAGTGCTAAACAGTTTGAATCTTTCTTTGTTCAGGTGGGTATTGATGTAGCTGCTCACGTTGCAGAGGATCTTGGGAAAGCTTTTGGTGAAAGGTGAGAGTTGCTTTGGTAACAAGGTTGGTAATGATATCAGTTTGTGACAATGAGTGCTTTTTTCCCCTCTGGTTTCTAGATTTGGTGGAGGTGATCCTGGAGTCTTAAAAGCAATGGTTGATGGAGGACATTTAGGTTTGTTACTTTGTTTTCTTGAAAAATTCTTCCATTTTTTCAAGGAAGACACAATGTCTATCAAGGTGTTGTTGTATTTTCTTCTTTTCCTTTAAATTTATTTCTGGTCATTTCACCAGCTGACAGGTTAGAACTTGCTGTCAATATTTGAATTTATGATAAAATATATTTTGTACATATTAAGTTAATCTTTGAAGTACTAATATTTAGTATTCTTTATGTTAATAGGAAGGAAGTCTGGAAAAGGCTTTTTCATTTATGCTGGAAAAGGCAAGAGAGAAGTAAGTAATCATTTCAACTACTTTAATAATAAATTATATTATTTTAGTTGAAAGCAGTTGGTTACCAAGGTGAATTTCTAATCATTCAGTTTATTGTTCTTGTATTGTTTTTGGCCACATTTTGGCCACACAAGGTTGGTTTATTCAAAATTTGTGTTTATGAGAGGTTTAGCTCACTCCTTAATCTTTTTTTCTTATAGACCAATGGTGCAGCAGAGAAGATTCTTAAAGAGTTTTCCACCCCCAAGAAGGGAAGGTCAGTATGATTTCACTTGTTCCATGTGTTGCCCTTTTAGTTATTATTATTTCAGAGAAAAAATTGATCAGGAATGTTTTGAATTCTCCCACTTCTCCAGAACTGTAAGCACTACAAATTTTAAGTCCTCATTGAAAGTGATGGCCAGGTTTTTTTTTTTGTCTGTCATTGTTTTTCGTTCAACAGTTAACAAATTTTCATTACAATCACAAAAACCAATGCTATTTGAAACTTATTTTCCTTTCATTATCTCATTCTTTTTCCTTAGTCATGATGCTGAGGAAATTCAGATGAGACTGGCAGCCCGTTTTGTCAATGAATCTATACTTTGTCTACAAGAAGGAATTTTGAGAAATCCAGTAAGTGTGACTTTTTGCAAGCCAGTATCAATTTGTCATTCTTCCAACATTTAGAATGGAGGCTGAGCTCTGCGTGGTAACCAACGACATGACCAAAGAATCCTGTCATTTAAGCAATTTTGTTGAAGTATACCAAACATTTCTTTTATCACAATATCCTGTAATGCTGATGTCTTATTACATACTATTGCATAGAAGTACATGAAATAAGCATGTATGACTGTTCTCAAAGTGAGATCAATAATAATCTGAGATTGCAGTCACTACTTAGTGATGTTGTTGTCGTCACTGAATACTGCTGGTCTTCATCTTGAGACAAAGTAATATCTTATAAGCAAAATATTCATTTTTCATTTTAGGTTGATGGGGACATCGGTGCTGTATTTGGTCTTGGATTCCCACCTTTTCATGGAGGTTAGTTTAAAGAATTTTTCTTAATTTGCTGAGAGCTCTTACTAATTCCATGGTTGAATGTTAATGAAGCAATCACAAAAGCCTTCACTCCCAACCTGACTCTGTTGACAGTACTTTCTAAGCCATGTCCTGTATATACCTGTATGCCGTATTCTCAGCATTTGACCATACAACAGCTTGAGATGCACAAGGTTGGCACCCTGTTTTTCTTAAGCAGATGGTCAGTTGTTGTCTCAGCCATGTGAAACCTTTGTCCTCTAATTCACAATTTGGAGTCTCTTTTAGTTAGGTAATCACCTTCAGATCACAGATAATAACTGTAATCTTTTCCAGGTCCTTTCCGCTATCTTGACACCTATGGAGCTGACAAATTTGTTGAGAGAATGGAAAAGCTACATGAAACAATTGGTGGAGAACGCTTTGTTCCCTGTCAGATGTTGTTAGATTATGCCAAAGATCCAAGCAAGAAGTTCCACAAGAGATAATGCTCTGATAGTCTTTGTACTGTTGGGCATTTGCCTGATCACAGAGTCTGTTAGTTGATTTTGCTTTCTTTCCACCAAATGGGAGGCTGCATCTATTTTTTTACAGCAGGAGTAGATGTGAATTTGCAAAGATTGTGTCATTTCTTTTATAGGGTATTCTTTACAAAAGATTCTTTAAGTTTTCCCAGTTCAAATCTCTCACCAAGGAGTTTCTCTGTATACTGATAACCTAGTGGCAGCTATGCTGATGAGTGTCAACATGTTTGTATGAGGAAAAACTAAATAAAGGCCACAAACAAACTTCTGCATTTGTCTTGTAATGACAATTTTACAACCTGGTCTATTTGACACTGGTAACATAAATTGTACATTCCCTGAAATGACAGCATAACTTTTGGCCAGGCTCTAAATTGCAAGCTTACTTAATAACCTTAATTGCAAACTCAAAATGAATAAGTCAGTAAAGGAAAGATATCTTGACTGACTACAGCCCCAATGGGGCTTTCCAGAGCCAATGGTTGTACAGTAATTGATGAAATAAGTACTTAAATAGACAAAATAAGATAGTTAAATATCTCAATGGGGAGGAAAAGGAACAGTTAAATGTCTATTAAGTGCAGCCAAGAAATTAAACCTGGCGATTTTGGTGTGAAAGGCCAGTACCATTGGTAAGACACTGCCTTCAAATCAAATGTTAAGTTAGAGCTTTTGCACTTTGAGTAGAAAAGAGATTAGCAATTGGCTATGTCAATTTTTTAAGGTTGCATTGTATCAAAAACTCTGAGAATTCTCTCTCAGATGGGCCAAATAGCTGGCCATAATTACATGTGCTTCCACAGGTTTGGGAAGATGTAATGATACTTAACTCAAAATATAATCCCAGCATCTGTTTACTGAACTATTTACTTGTAAAGATTTTTGTTTGTTTCCACTAAACTCATTAGTCATTGATGCATTCACTGAACTTCTTCATTTGCAATTCAACACATGGGAACTCAAACATGTTAAATAATCTTACTTAATTCTGTGCATACTAACAATAGTAAAATACTAAACATTTTGGTAAAATACTGGTAACTATGAAATAAGTTCACTTATTTTGTCTGCAATCTCAGAGCAGACTTTAGAAAACTGACTTATAAGCAGAAGACATCAACCTAAGTCTATGTTATATGCTTCTGTTTAAAATCAGAGAATAATCTATATATTCTGAAAAATAGGAAATGTATTCTCAAACAAAATATATCAAAATTGATCAGCAAAACTTTAAAACAGTCCCCTCCAACTCAAGGGGACTTAAAAGTATTTACCTAATTTTTGCTATAACTCACTGAAAATATTTGTATAATGAGCTTTAACGTTAGTTGAACTAACTCATGACTCCTGAAAGTTCAACAGGGGTCATATTCTCAAACAAAATGGTCAAACTCCTTCAGCTAGAACAATCCTAAAAAATTTAAAAGAACCATGATTACATAACATGTCTAAAAATATGCATAATAGGAACTGCGTATCCACTGTTAGCCTTGTTTGCTCAATAGACAAAGTTGAAAAAAACGTGTATGCATGCACAGGACTGCAAGGGGAATGATTATTTTACGTGCAAGAGGTGTTTACCCTTATTTAAAATGTAATGCAATGGGCACACTGTCAGAAATGTGTAGTCTTCTGGCAGTCCAAACCACTTCATACCCTTGGGTTGGGCTGATCCCACACAACTATGCTAACCTCAGGTGAGATTAATTTTTTTTAACTTTATTTATATGGTTTTTCTGGCACATATAACCCTTCTTAATATATGTTACTAAGTTCATTTCTGTGTTGCACCTTAGATAAAACCCTGTAAAGTTCTACACACAGAAGAGAGATGAAAACAAAGTTTAAGTTTAAAGCATAGCCTTTTCCACCCTAACATCACAAAGAATATTCTTGATAAAGTTCTCAATACATTTTCTATGGTGTTGACAAAGAGAATTTGTTTAACAATCAAGAGCTTTAGTCAGTGCTGATTTCCTATATTCTGGGAACCTTAACTTATGATTCAAGAGGTGATATTACTAAGAGAAATTAGATGCTCGTCAATCTTTCAAAAGGTTGAAAGGGTTCATTAATGCAAGCTACTTTTGAAATAATAGCACCCTGGATTTTGAATTATCTTGAGGTAACCCTTGCCATTACAATTTGGTTTACCTATCCCTCCAATCTACTTAGGGTTTCAAAGGAACAAAGTTTGTAGTCACCTACCCATTCTTCTCTGCAATATCACCATAAAGCATTGTTGTGGGTTCAAGAAGTTCTTTCTGCTTTTCTTCTTGAGTCAACTTTACTTCACCACGTGCTATTTTTTCATTTTCCTTGAAAATAAATAAGAAAAGCCACAAGTATTTACATACAATGATCACAACTCAAAGGTTTTACTATTTAAGTTTTATCTGGAAACCATTGTATGAGTAATTCTACTGGTATATTAGAAGTTGCTTATGCACTTGTTGAATTTCTTTTTGATGAAGTTCAAAGTTTCAAAGGACACTGGTAACAATTCCTGTCTGACTATGACAGGTGTTTTCTCCCATTCTACCAGTTCCCACTCTTCTCTTTTCTAAATCTTCTACTTGCAAAAAGAGATGGAAATGCAAGAAGATTAACCAAACTAATGCGACATTTCTCCAAGTCTTAGCCTACAACTATGAAAGGTCTCTTCAACACTGCCTTGCAGTAACCGTGTTGTACTTATTTTTAGTGATCGCGTCCATTCTTCGATGTTTTGATGCACACTCCACTTTCAAATTATTACCAAGTAGTGCGCTTGCATGAATACTTAATTACATTTAGTCTTCGTATTTAATAATTGAACAATATTTCCAGTGATTTAAATAGGATTCCCTTTAGAAATACCTGTTTCCAAAGATCTTCAAAAAAAAAAATGATGAAATCGAAAGACACGAATTCATTGATCTCGGCCCATTTATATAATTAAGCATCATAATATAATCTGTCGACGTTAATGGCCATTGTTGATGTTACGAGTAAAATACGACGTTTGTTTTAAGTTATGCATATCAGCTGATTTTAATTTCCACTTTACAAACCTCGCTTTCTTTGTCCTCACGCCAGCGATAAATTTTAGTCATTGTGATAGACAGAAGATCAAAAGCCTCTTGTTGTGTTTGCAGCCAAAATACGTTCTCTGATTTCACCTGCAAAACATCAGCTAACCGCTTTTTAAAGTTGAATATTTCAGCAGAGCGTACACGACTCAACCACAACGGTTCTATTTCTTGAAAGATCACACCGTACAAACGCTCCCTGGGAAAGTTTCGCCACTCCAAGAAATCTTCAACAGCCATGTCTTTTTTCTTCTTTAGCCCATCTATTCGCACAGTGTCGTAATCCGTAACGAAGAAGACCCCTTCAGGTTCATCTTGTGTCCAATTATATTTCTTTCCAAAGGCAACGATCTGAAGTCCCTTCATGGTTGATGGCAGACTGTCTACCACCGACGGAATCATGCTCAACAAACTGATTGAAGGCCTTACAGTCAAAAGATTCGGAGAATTTACCACATTGTCCATTAATCGTTGGCATAGTTTTAAAGGTCCGTTTCCTGATCCGAAAAACAGCAGTTTGGGATCGAAATATTTGGGCACGTTGACATACCTTCTGCACAGAAACATATCTTCGCAAAAGCCACCATCACTGAAGAGTGCAGCTCCAGCAGGTAAAATCGGCGCCGCCATCTCCGATAAAACACAGTTCTTAGGACAAGGGAAGTCTTTTAGTCTTGATGTGTACCATACGAACTCTTCAAGTCTACAATCCGGAACGGTCTGGAAAAATTTAAATTTCGAACACTGACGCCAAGGTCAACTGTTTACACATTTCCCTCCAAAATCACCGACGGTAATTTTACGCGGTTTAGGCGTGAGAAAACTGGGTCCTATTATTCGACACCAGTCTCAATCGTTCAACTTTCCTTGTAATAGCCAGACGAAGAGGGAGCTACTTTCCTCGCCTATAATAATTTCAAGATAGTTTGAGGTTTTAAACTGAGTTGATAATGTAAATTGGCCACCGTTAGGAGTTTCTAAAGCTGAAATTTCGAGCGTTTGCTCTTTGTCGGGGTGAATGACCCACCCACCGACGCAGCACCTCAATTTCTTTAGAAACTTACCCCTCTTTGATCATTTATTGTAATTTCAATCACTAGTCATAATTTGAACATTTCAACCATTTAAAATATTAGATCCGAAGGTATTGTGGTACGCGTGGATACCAGCGTTGCCGTGGGCGTATTTACCCGGATAAAAAAAGTTATGTGGAGGAAAGTGGTTACCCAATGGATCCCACAGAGAGGCTGTCTTTGAGAGCTGTAACTTTCATTTACTCCATTTCATGGCATCTCATCTCCAATCTTTCCATCCCAGTTGTCACGGTCACTGTCATCAAAAGTGCAAACCACCTTATGAATGTATGCGTCCTTGTGTTGTACTCAGAAAAGTAAATTCCCTTCAACCAACAAGTGTAGGTAGCATATTAATCGAAGAAATATTTAATCTCATTCAGTAATAAATTAAGTAGCAGGAATATACTCCTCTAAAGAGAGAAACCTTTGGTTTAAAGGCCCACGAAAGCGTTATGTCAAAGCGGACAGAGAAACACTATCTTTAGATTTTAATATATAAAAGGGTCCACCTTTTATTGAAAGATACTAAATGAAAAAGAAAATGAAGCTGAAGTAACAACACAGTTATCGACCAGAAATCTACTTCAAATTTAGTCCTTCCATTTCGATGGAAGTCCCGCCGACACGCATGCGCACAGAGCAAATGAAATTTTGGATGATTTACGTTACATGCACCTATGTAAGTTAAAGCTTTATTTAAGAGGTCCAGTAAATACTAAACAGGCGGTAGGTAAAAAATGATTCAGCGATGTATTACTGTGAACACAACATCGTTTGTGGGCTCTATTTTACTCTCTCTCTCTCGACAGCGAGAAGGAGATAGCCCCCGGGGACGAGTTTTTCTCGTTTCCAAAGTCACTTTTTCAGGGGGCGAGTAAAAGAGGGTCCTTGGAAACGACGTTGGTATAAACAAAGTGAAAATATGGAGATTAGAGTAAGTTAGTATTATCAACTAAGTTAATAACGTAAATTGGCCTCTGTAAAGAGTTAAAAAACTGACGTTTTGAGCATTAGCCCCTCGTCAGAGCGATGGAGCGATTTACGTTATCAACTGAGTTGGTAATACTAAATTACCCCCTTTAAGGAGATTAGGCTTACGTATTATCTCACTCAAAACAAGCAATTCCTTTACGTTACTGTACTTAAAATGACCATAAATAGCTGTATGCAATTAAACAAATTTAAATTCACAAATGTAAGTTAAAACGAAAAAACTTGGTAAACCAAGAAGGAAACAGTCGAGATTTACATATTGTTTTAGCTTCAAGACAGTAACATAATATATCGCAAAACCAAAACAGGGTCATTGATTGCGATCATATTATCATTCCCAGTCTTAAATCCAGGATGGAACTCTAACGTCCTCTCCGATCTAAGCAAGAAGCCTTCTTGTTGGAAGGCTATGCAAATGATAGAGCATGCGCATTTGGAGGTCGTTAGGGGATTGTTCTCAGGATAATGTAGATATTTTGCTTCATCATATTCGTAAAGAAAAAGACATTGTTCTAGTTTAGTGTGAAGGGCAGATAACACCAGAGGACGAGGTGCTTCTTTGAGTTCAAACAATGAGTGCGATTACCGTGACAAGATGACATTGGTTGATTGACATTGCAGTGCACTTTCAACACCCATCCCAAGGTCACTACAATTCACAGTAACCCTTATCTGCATTACAAAGTCATCTGTCACTTTAGCCAACTGTCACACTTCACTTCACTTCACACTTCACACTTCACACTTCACTGGCATCCTTAATGTTTGACACGATGTCAATTTTTCTCACTGTAGCAGCGACAACTCGATGGAGAGACAGCGTGGAACCCATTCCAGTGCCAGGTCGCCGACCCTGTCCAGACTCGGTTCTCGCTCTCATGTTCACGTGCGACTCACGTGGTGACGCTAACTTATCGCGATTGACCTGGCCACCGCCCGCGAGGTCGCTGGTATTTCCCCGCAGAGATATAAACTTTTTCACAAGGGCTTTCCAGTCTATGACATCCTCGATTCTAGCAGTTCTGTACGTGCTTCCGCGATGATTAATACTTCCATTTGGAGGCCACGAGTTGGAAGTTTCGTATAACGGATTCACTGAATTACTTTCAGGAAGCTGTTCGTCGGTGCGGAGAATATCAATAATGTCGGCTCGGCAACATTTGAATTTTGCTTTGTAAAGTACACGGATGTAAGAGAAGAGTTTTGTAACAAGATTCAGTGGGGAAGGCGTGGTCGTAGACCGCTTCATGTTGCGGATTAGTTTAGCGCGGCCGAATTTCCACTCGATATCAGACTGCATTTGAATTCTTTGGTAAGTGTCGCTCATCATAGCTATGAGCAGATTGATGAGAACGATGATTGTAATCAAGTTATAGATTCCGAATGTCGCTTTTGCCAACACAAACACGTGGGTCTCCTGGTCGCTTTCCTCGTTAATCTTCAGTTTGTTGACCTCTGTCAATCCAAACAAACTGAAGAAAAGTAGCTCGAAACACTGGAGAAAACTTTTTGGCGTGTCCTGTAGTCCAAGTGCGGTTCCATTGTGTGGTTTAAGCTGTGTTCTAGGCCGATAGACGGCCGCTAAGTGCGCGGTAAATCCCACCATGAAGATCAATAAAATGACAAGAAAACGCACCAGGTCGTACATGAGATCCCGGATGATTACTCCCCACGGACCGAACAAATGATGAAACGAGAGGAAGTCCAGGAGTTGTGCAAAGCAAAGCATCATGGATATTGCAAAGAACTGGTTTCGAGCGTATATTACGTCACCTTTGTAGTCGTCATGGATCCCGAACGCCGCTAAATGCACAAAAATGCCAATTAAACTCAAAAAGAGCACAATGATGGGTATCCAACCCAGTCCAGCGCGATCGTGGGGATCCGTGAGCTGGGATAAAAATAATCCTGACAGCCAGATCAGTAAGAGCCATTCATACCACCTAGGTAGTAATGTCTTTCCAGTTAAATCTGTCCATGGTACCACAACAGTGAAACAAAATAGTACAATAAGGTAGAAATGCGAGATCAAATGACAAATAAACTTGATAATCGGTATTTTATGATAACTATCTTTCCAGGGAATGCAAAGAAATGCCCAAAGCGGTGGACAAATCAGGCATAGCGTAAACAATAAGAAATACTTCCAATCATCCCATTGAAAATCTCCGCGCCAAACGTCGCCCAGGTAAACCTGAACCGATGGGTGCGACACGCATTTCTTCTGGTCGCATTCGATGAGATAATCCAAGAATGGTACTTCCCGGTCGTCAACAGCGGTCAGCAGTATCTCGGCGCTATCTGCGCATGCGAGAGAAAGCAATTCGGACGCAATGTTCTCACAGACATCTCCCGCCGCCAACAGATCGCGCCCGCGCTCTTTTTCCCTCGTGGACTCGTTACGGTAATGCTTTGAGAGTTTAGCTGCGGCGTAAATAGGGGCTGGGCACTGCAGGATGAAGTCTATGACTGATTCGTTTTCGTCCAGGTTTGAACAGACCATCAAATCAAACAAGAACTGCAAGAAATACAATGATAACAAGTAAAATTAAGACACAAAAACGAGCACGTAGCCTGTTCACGGGTGAATAAATGGGCAAGAAGATAATCTACGAGAAAACTCCGGAGCAGCGAAAAGGAATCCCGCCCAAACAGACTCTCTGGACTAGCTCCATCTTGACTTGAAACATACTTCTGTTCCTTTGTTCCATCGATGAATGTGCAAGAAAGCAAGCAAATAAGCAACCAAAAACAAGAAATAGGCCTATTTTCTCTCTGCTTCGCTTGATGACCTTCTTTAGCAAGTTTATGACCTAATTTTTGTTCCTTCTACGTGGTTATTTGCTCGATAGGAATTGCTTTCCACATCCTCCCCCGGAATATGATCTTGACAAAACGTGTTTTTAAAATCCAACAGTGATGCAGGAGTAATATGATACCTTTCGGTCTCCAAGCAACGTCTCAGTGCTGAGTTCCTCTTGTAGCAAAAACTTCACAACAGTCAGGTGACCGTGCATTGCAGCGTAACAAATGGGGAATTTGCCATCCTATGAGAAACGGGACACCTCTTTTATTAAGACAAATTTATGGCTACGCCGTATTTCTATATGTCTCATTACATGTAATCAGTGCTCATCTCAATCCCAGGGTCCCTGGAGCGGGGAGAAGGGAGACCTAAGAACGAGGTTGCTTTATTGGAATTTTTGAATCAGATCAGAACCCCTTTTGCGACCAAGCCTGTTCAATCTAGAAGGCTTAATAGTGACTTCTTCTTTTGTATGAGATTTTATGGACGAAAATAAAGTCGAAGTGTATGAAACGCGGAAGAAGAAGGAGGCTAAACTCTATGGCCAGTCATTTTTACCTAACAAGCTTGTACAATTATGTATCTTTCGTTTGTTCGGATCGAAAACGTGTCAAGAAATGGCCCATTGTTCCGGGTCAACTTTTCCAGCTGTTTTTAAATGTTGATTACACAAGATGTACTGATCGAGGAAATTATCTCTAAGTTTTGAGAGAACATCTATTTTGAGTTATTCTCGTTTTCAATCAAACGCGCGGCAAGACGAGGGTGTGATATTTTTACTCACAAGTCTCATAATGGAGAAGTTGCGAATTTTTTTTTGTTTTGTTTTATATTCTCTTTCGGAGGAAAAAAACAGGTTTTGCTTGAACTAACATAGTTTTACGACAGATTCTAACAGTCTTTATTAAAATTATAAAGCTATCAACAGTTTTCCCAAACATTCCCTTTGCAGAATGCAGACGTTATGACTTTATGTTTATTTTCAATATAGCGCGAAAGCAAGTTATGGGAGGCGATTGCGCAGCACTTTATGCATACGAGGAAGTACAAGGAAAGAACAACTGCATGACAACTTTCTGAACAGCTGTTTTACTCGTTAAGCTGTCATACTCAATAATTTTCTCAACGGAGGACCGTAAACAAAGAGATAGAAAAAGATACCAATCATGAAAACGATAGAAAGATAATGGTTCGAGGCATAGTTTAATTTATTAATTACATAGGTAAGGTTGCGTTGTAAATACCGATGATATAGATTCTAAAAAAACCTCATGATGTGTTTGAATATATATCCTACTGGTAACACGTTTACCACTAGAGATTCACATTTTTCGCACGAGTCGTGATCAGTTGTGCACACTAATAATTCTGAAACAGGTGGAACGTCATGAGTCAGCAATGTTTAGCATTGGTACTGATCTTGTTTATGTTTGGCCTCAAAATGGAGCATTTTTCAAATAAAAAGTTGCGACAGTTGAAAATGTTACCGCAGTCTTACTACATTTGTTTCAGGCAACAACTCAATACGGTACACTGCCCCATTTCTTCGAGCGCACCTCGCTTACCCCTTCCGCGCACAGTTTATTTCTTCGCTATCGATCTTAAAGCAAATTGTTAATAACTTTGTAATTTTCCGAGCACAATCAAACACAAGTAATTAATTTTGCTTGGTGCTTGCCTTAATCAAAGGTTATCCTGAAGACTTATTTGATCAATATGCCAAAAGCCCAGCAAAATATGACATCAACTTCTTCTTGGATTTTTAAACACCGCGAGTTACGAAAGGAAATAACTATTTTTTGTGCATGTTTTCCACAATCACCCATTCTTCATCTAAGCTCGGCTTTGCACATGGATTTATAACGCAGCTAATTAATTGTGTCTTAAAAATGAACTTCGCAAAACGCTTACGATAGCGCGTCGAATGTGCCTCATCTTCCAGCAGTAAACAATTGGGTTCAAGGATGAGTTTAGGAAGACAACTGTCCATGAAGACATAGTAAAAATCTTAATTGCGGTATTTGGTCCTGAGCTTGAGGAAGCTGCAACAAAACTACAAAATTGTGGCAAATAGCAGATCAAAAACACAACATAAACATAAAAGGCCCCAGCTGCTGATTTTCTGCTGACTGCAAGATTGGCGACAGCCTCTGTATCTTGCTCCACTTGTTGTATTTGCGCAACATGAATTTGACTTTTGTGGCGTCGCACGACGAAACAAATCTTGCAATACAGTACTGCGGAGATCACAAGACAAGAAACGCCAATTGGGGCAAAAATTGCGCTGGTAGTATTCCAAGAAAACGATACTGTAAAAGAAGAAAGGATGGCACTGAACACCCATAAGGAGATCACTGTGGAAACAACACGCTTGTGAGTCACAAGCTCCTCGTATCGGAGATGAAATTGAATGGCTAGAAATCTGTCTACACTTAGAGCCATAACACCGAAAAAGGAAGCTGCAGAAAAGAGGATTCCGATGAAAATAAACGCCGTATAAGTAGGACAAGTCGGACCGTTTGTTGCGTTCATCTGTAACCATTTGAAGAGCAAAACGATATTTAAGGGTTGCGCCAGTAAACCAACAGCAAGATCAGACACAGCCAGGCTCAGGAGAAGTGTTCTTAGAGTCTTTGGCAATGATGAAGTTGTTGTCACTGCTTTGATAGTGACACAGTTAAATATGATGGCAGTAATGGACAAGAAAGAGTTGAAGACGCAATTGGCAATGAACCATGAATATAACTTGACGTATTCATTTCCCGTGGGCCAAGACAGCAACAGTTCACGACAAAGAGGATTTTTCATGATAATTCGAAGTAAGGAATAGCAAAAATTAAACCTTCAAGTGATATATGAAGTATTTTGTAAAGGTTTTAAACTGCCTGTGTTGAAATTTTCACACGAGTCAGAAAAGGCTTGTTCGACGCTTGGTATCACATCAGAGTCGCCAATTTGAATACATTTCATCTACAAACTTGACAAATTATTTGCTTCTGATGTCAGGTGTCATTTATCTGCTCTACCTACAAAAGATGTCATTGGTTTTTCAATTCAGAAAGATTATTATCTCAAGGCGAGAAGATCTAATAATTATCTTAAAAGTTTTAAACAAATTTTTAAGCGGAAGAACCTGGGTATGAACAGGAAATGATAATCTTGCTCGATATATAAAGATAACAGAGTAACATTTAGATGCTGACGGAGTGTCCTAAGGCGTTTGCCCAACTATATTGAGTGATGCTGTACTCAATAGAACAAAAAAACACAAAATGAAAAAGAACTGTTTCAACAAATTGTGCGAGATTTTGTAGAACATTCTAATTTCTTGGTTTTTTTTTTTGTCAGTGTTTCTGTTTTGGGTGTCATTAATTTGAGCCTCATAATGCAATGCTGGTCTTTCGCTCATTATCTCTTATGGTATACTTTCAAATTTTATTGTTTATTCTTCTTTTGTTTTGTAATTAGTTTCTAGTTCGTAACCTAATGTGTTTAAATAACTGACATTTTCATAGAAGGGACGAGAAAGTATTATTTCAGTTTTAAGCTGCCTGAGGTTATGAGAAGTCGCGTGCGCAAATTAAACTTGTTTTGGCTTTTACCGCCAACCTCATGAACGGCCAGCTTCATTTACAACATCGAACTCATTGCAATAACAAAAAAAAAAAGCCAAGAGGAGGATGAGAGGCTATTTTACGGGGTGATTCATAACATCAACTGTCAAATAACTTCAAGCGAACTAAACAACATTTATTAATGATTAAAATTGGATTGAACAGCTGCCTGTTAAAAATGCGCGCGCATGCACGACCTGGGAGAAGTCTCTGACAAGAATGTCTAATGACTGACTAACGTTCGGAGGATGAGGTAAAACAATCCTCATTCTGCATACCCGCGATATGCAGTCACGTCCTCTATTCCTTGCAATCCAAAAAGGCGCAGCTTCATACATAATTATTCGGTAACGCAAGACACGTCACGAGGAGAATGTAGTCAACGTAACCGTTTTACTTTCCTTTAACCCCTTAATGTGACTAGCATCTAATTTCTCCTTACAATATCACCACTAAAACTCATATTAATATTTAGAGAATAAAGGAAATAATCACCAGCTAAAGAAACTCTTGATTGTTAGACAAATTCTCCTTATCAGCACCTTAGTAAATGTACAGAGAACATTATGGAGAATATGAATACAGTCGAACCTCGATTATCCGGACCCCGATTATCCGGACTATTCGATTATCCGGACTTTCTTCTCTGGTCCCATTTTTCCATGAATATTAATTAGTTGTGATCTTGAAAACTCAAAGTCGCAAAAAGCCCAATAATCCTTTCAAAAGACTGTTAAAACAGCGTATTATCCTATGCGCTTTTCAAAATTCGAAAGTGCGACTAGTCAAAGAAGTATTCTGATGCGTTCAGCTGATATATGGTTGGCTCAATTGTTTTGTTGCCAAGGGAATTTCATGCTTGATTAGTTCCTTCTGCGTGGGTTATGTAAACACACGAGCGATCGATCATAAACTCAAATGAAAAACATGCCTACGAAGCGAAAGCTTGCCGTTCTATTGATTAAAGATAAGCAGATAATTATCTCACATTTCTATCTCATTAATATTCATATTTTCGATTATCCGGACTCTCGATTATCCGGACTATTTACCGAGGTCCCGATGAGTCCGGATAATCGAGGTTCGACTGTGCTGATGTTAGGGTGTAGAGGGTTAATGCCTAAGAGTGACCGCCATCTAATTTCTCCTTACAATATCACCCCTGAGTCACACATTAATGTCACGAGAATAAAGGAAATGATCACCAACTAAAGAAGCTTTTGATTGTTAAACAAATTCTCCTCGACAGCACCTCAGGAAATGTATACAGAACAGTATGGAGAATATGCATACTGATGTTAGGGTGTAAAAGATTAAGTCTAAATGCCGCCTGCTCTTTCTTGAGCTTTTTTAGTGCATTGGTTTGCGTGTCTTCAGTTGTTACTTGAAATACATTTCGCTTGCGCAGTACGTTCATCGCGGCTTGTCCAATGTGCCTCATTTTCCAGCAGGTCAGTAAATAACTGGGTTCAAGGATGAATTGATTAATGTAAGAGTCCATGAGGACAGCGTAAATCTCTTTAGAAGTGCGCTTCTTGAAGGACCAGAACCTGCTCTGGCTGCATGAATATATAACGTGAGTAGGTAGTGATTTTCTTTCCCTTGCAAGATTTGCGGTCATTTCGCCGTTCAGTCCTGGTTGCTGCACTTGTTGTAAAAAAAGCTGTGACACAAATGACACCAGAAGCGGTGAACACTGCGCAAGCAATAGGGGTTGATGATATTATTAACGAACGAAGGGTACTAAATACCACCCGAAGATCACAAAGGAATCAACGCGTCGTGAGTTACAAGTTCTTGGTATCTTAGATGAAGATGAATGATGAGAAATCTGTCTGCATCGAGGGCCATAACACCGTAAAGTGAAGCCGAAGAAAACAAGATCTTGATGAGAATATTTGCGGTATAAATTGAAAACGTCGGTTTCCTTTGTAACCATTTTATTAGTACCAGGAAGTATAAAGGATGAACCCGTAAACCAACAGCAAAATCAGAGACAGTTAGGCTCAGGAGAAGTGTCTTTAGAGTTTTTGACGAGAACGACGTTCTTCTCAGCACTTGGAGTGTGACGCTGTTAAATTTGATGGTGCTAATAGAACCATTAGGGCTAGTCATGCATTTGTCCTGTTTAAGCATTAATTAAAGCTAGAGTAACCTTTTAACGACTTCAACCAATGAAGCAATTGCCAAAACACAGCGCATTTAACGATTCGTCCTCATTTCCAGCAGACCAGAATAGCAAAAGCTCATCACAGAGCGGATGACTCACAACAGTACCAGATGTTCTCTTATCTTAAATTTTTATCAGGTTCCCGTCAGACGCAATATTTTTCTCTCAAACAACAAAGTGGTTAAGAAGCTCCGCTTGTAATCCTTTAAGCACTGTAAGTTTGTCTAAGGTGATCGAAATAGTAACTTGCAATTTAGCCCGAATTAGCAATTGTGGTAAACAATAAGAAAGTTTTGTATCTAACTTGCCTAACTCATTTCTCATGAAAGTTGATCATAGTTGAGAAAAAACTGCCCACTGTCTCACTCGACTTCAGCGTTTGAGTATGAATAATAAATTATATGCATCAAAGCTGAATATGATAATTTCCTCCGTTTTTTTAACTTCAAACACGACAAGTTATGTTCCAATTGTCAAATTTTCGCGAATTAAATTCAAGAAAACACAATTGTTTGCCGATGGCGAATTTAGTTGATGCCGCACACGCGCTCTACATCCATGAAAAGTAAATTGAAGACAAAAAATATTCCATTTAAATGACCCTGAGGCAAAGCTACAAGGAACCTCTCTAAATTAAGCAGAACGAATCCACACTAATCAAAAGTCCAAAGCTTCGATTTTTAACCCGAGTTTGAAAGCACTGAAAAATGTTCAAGTGTAGAAAAAAGACATAGGAACAATATAATATACAACGTCACGATAGATGAACGCTCGACTGTGGGTCAGTGTTTTAAATTCATGACGTCCTCCATCTTATCTTTTAACACCTACAAGCGCCCACGACAGAATTTCTATTTACAATGTTGGTACAATGCCAAGCATACAAGTGATGAGAACAAAGACAAATAATCGATTAGGAGATTAATAGTTGATCCAATAACAAATTCAGAGCGAATAACGCGGGACAAACGCTCGAAACGTCCACTTTTAAACACTTTACGGTGGCCAATTTAGGTTATCAACTCAGTTGATTATACCAAATTACCCTGTTATACTCTCCCACCGACGCAGCACCAAAGTTTCTTTAGAAACTTACCCCCTTTATAGAGAATAGACTGGCAATTTAGAAATCTTTGAAACAGTCTGGGCCAAAATAAAAAATAGCCAAAAACGATACATGCCAGTCGCACCTATGGCAATTAAATATACATTGTTAACTCAGAATATCCCCACTGCCAATCCTCCATTTCTTGTTCTGAGGAATGAGGTGCTCTCAAGTATAACTAGGCAGTGAAAGCCTTAAAAATACAATCGGCGATGCACAAGTCTCCGTTTTACAATTCGAGAACACCAAAGGATTTTCTGTGATTTTAGATCATGCGGGTTAAATATGCAGTTTCAGGGTTTTGTGAGAACAAATATGTATGTATTGCTTTTTCGAAATGTCCCGTCCAGAATCTGTCTTAAATAAGTATCAACAAAGATGATCTTTCTAAGCATTTGTTCTCAAAACGACTAACAAGAAACAGTAAGTCCCTTGTTATTTATGGACATCTTCCCTCAAGGTAAAGTGATGATACAATGTTGGTATTAAACCTGCATTTTAATGTGTGACAGTGTGTTGTCTCTCATACTCTGCTTTACTGATAGCCCTGACGGTCTACAAGTGAAAAGCAGCTGATGTAACCGTTGTTTGCGCGTTGGGATAGAATGGAGTGCTTCTTCTACGAATTGGAAATGTATTCCGTTGTATGTTCATAATAGCACGTCGAATTTGCCTCATCTTCCAGAAGTAAATAACTGGATTCAATGTTGAGTTAAGCAATACCAAAGTCCACGTAAAGAAAAAAACTATTCCAAAGGTTCCCTTTGATCCGGAAGAAATTGGTCTGGCGGCAAAAATACAAAACATCGGCAAGTAGCACATCAAAAACACGAGAAATACGTAGAATGTACCGACCGCTGATTTTTTACCACTCGCAAGATTTGCGACCATTTCGGTATTTTCTTGTCGTTGTACTTGTAGAGTTTGAATTTGTTTTTTGTGGCGTCGCACAGCTAAATAGATCTTGCAATAAAACACTGCCGAGGCGACAAGACAGGCAATTCCAACAACAGTTACAATTCCTATGGCGGTAATTGAAGTGACACAGAATCTGATTATGGAAAGAACTACACAGATGACCCAGCTGGATACCACTGCAAAAACAACACGCCTGTGGGTCACGAGCTCAGAGTATCTGAGATGAAGATGAATGGCCAGAAATCTGTCTGCACTCAAAGCCATGACACCGAAAAACGAGGCTGAAGAAAATAAGATCCCTGAGACAATAAATGCAGCGTACGTTGAACAAGTCGGGCCGCCTCCAGAGTTCAACTGCAACCATTTGACTAACAACAAGACATGTAAGGGATGAACCAATAGACCAACTCCAAGATCAGAGACAGCTGCACTTAAAAGAAGCGTTTTCAGAGTGTTTGACAGCGAAGAAGGCCTTCTCAGTGCTTGGATTGTGACACTGTTAAATATGACGGCAGTGATCGATAACAAAGCGTTTAAGACACAATTTGCAATGTGCCACGAATTTAACGATTCGTCTTCAATACTTGCGGGCTGAAATCGTAACTGCTCGTCGCAAAGTGGAGTTTTCATGATGTTCTCGGCCAGATCAACAATGGTAGATGTTCTTGAACTTTGATATCCCAAACTTACCGGCAAACAGGAAGAGATTAAAAAGAATTCCCGCACAATTCTGAAAGAGCTATTACATAGCCTATGGCGGTCAAAAATGCAAGAAAACAGAATTGTGTTCTAATTTGGTCCAAATATGGAGTCATCGAGACCAAACAGAGGAATAAAACCATATGTTATAAAACGCTTTGACAATTATGAACCACTGTTAGTGGCTCGTTCCTCTTGGTCTCACAACTAATAAATCATTAATGATAAAAAAATTGTGTACCGTTTACGTCGAAAACAATTCTTACGCCCACGACGATTGCCATAAAAATACTAAACGCTTGCAACGGGAACATCTTAATTTCCATCGATATCTTATTCAAAATGCGATCAATTATGTTCCAACTGTAAACAGACTCATAGTGGAAAATTAATCTGTATCCATCCTTCAATATGTAGCCAATAAAATCCTGGAAAAAAGACATCTGTTTCCAGATAAAAATTTGTGTAGAGCATACGATCTCCATCTGTAAATCTGCCTCAGAGTTATTTTCACAGAAGCATGATCCTAAGCTTAAGGATATAAGATAAGTCGGTCAGTGCTTGGTAATACAGTAATAGAAATTTCATTTTTTTCAGGTTATGTCTTCACCGCTAACCAAGACGTCATCTTCCACTTAATTTCATAATATTTGAGCAAACAATCTGAAAGGATCAAGTTTCCGAAAGACTAATATGTTTTTGCATATGTTCTACAATTATTTCCTTTAACTCTTACATCTAATTGGATGACTAATTTTCCACCAGTCCAGTGAAAATAAAAAAAAGGAAGAGATTGTACTCAGAAATTTTCCGTAGACAAAATTTCACTATGATTACATAGCTCTCCCCAGAGCTCAGCGATAAATATAGCGGTTGTTTAATAGAGACTGCATTGAGAACCTGCGAAAATGACGAGCTAAAATTTTAAATTAGAAAGCACTTAGTTCACGCTTCTCCAGGCGATTAAATTAAGTTTCCGCTGTCGTACGCTGTGTCCGGCAAAAACTGTCTCGCAAAGAACAAACCTTTTTCCGTCTTGTCAGAAATACAAACATTCAATTATGCTTGAAGAACTTGAATGCTGAAGTAAAATCGTCCAATTTGTCCTTTTGTTTGCCAATGCACAACGTGGTATTGCTGCTTTGCAGAAAAAAACCAGAAGAGATGAAGCTGTCTCTATCGGTCTGACTAATAAATATTTAATGGGCTCAAAAAAGTGATGAGCGTCTAAAAATATAACTGTAGAGTCATCTCTCCGTAAGTTTGATATTCCAGCTGTAAGTGAGTCAAAATGGAGTTGATAAGTCAGTCTCTGATGCGAATTTCAATTTTGTTAGACTACGCGTCCTGCTTTTCGGCGAAGTCTGTCGCGCGAATCGAAAAAAATAACATCGTTGAAAGAAAGATTGATATCAGCCAGTCGCGCGGAACTTTGAAAGTGAGGTGCACGAAGATTCTATCGAACATGTTTGATTAAATATGCGCATGCACGACCTGAGTGATGTTTATGATAAGAATACGACTTTCTTACTAACTTTCGAGTTTAAAAGTCAAAGTTAAAATGCTGGAGTAAGATCGTCCAATTTTTCTTTTTCTGACAATGCATAACGTGTTGGATTTTGTGCGTAAGGTATTACTGCTTTACAAAAGCCACGAGATATGAAGCCGTCATTATCAGTCTAATTACTAAAAACTTAGTGGGCTTAAAAAAGTGATGACAGTCTTAAAACTCACCTGAAAATTTAACCTAGCGTCTAAAAAAATAACCTTCGAGTCATTTCTCCGCAATTTCCTGATTGGTCATTTATGATTGGATGTTTGATATTCCAGCTGTAACTGAGTCAAAATGGAGTTGATAAGTCACTCTCTAATGCCAGTTTCAATTTTATTAGACTTCGCACCCTGCTTTTCGGCGAAGTCCGTCGCACGAGTTAAAAAAAAAAAAAAGATTGTCGAAAGAAAAATTGATATCAGCGAGTCGCGCAGAAATTTGAGAGTGAGGTGCGCGAAGATTCTATCGAACATGTTTGATCAAATGTGCGCATGCGCGACCCGAGTGATGTTTATGACAAGAATACGACTTTCTTACTAACTTCCGAGTTTAAAGCTAATTGCATTTGTCTAATCACTCTTTTACAATTCTACTGACAACTGTATAATTAATCCTTAACACTAATAAGGTCTTAAATTCGCCATGGTTTTCAAGGAAACTACGGTCGCGTATACGCGTACCTGTCTTTTACACTCCAAACAATAAAAAAGAAAGAGCAGTAACCAACACATTCGTCAATCGAGATAAATTTCTAATGAGTTTTAACAATTCTTGACTTGGGCGCTAATGCAAGTCTAAGGGCTAGGCTGGAAAATGGTGGTTTTCTTGGTCTGGAGTATTCCCCAATCCCTAATCTGGTGTCTTTTTGCATATCGTTTTCAAATCGATCTCCTCAGATGTGAGTTGGAGATAAATTTCGCAGAATGCTTATCACAGCCCGTCGAACGTGCTTTATCTTCCAACAGTAAATTAGAGGGTTTATTGACGAGTTTAGAAATACCAGAGTCCATGAAGATACCACAGATATCTTGAAAGTGGCGTTTGATCGACAAGAATCTGGTGACACAGCAAAAATGCAAAGTAACGGCAAGTAACAGATCAGAAACACGAGATAGACATAAAATGTGCAGACCGCTGATTTTCTGCCTCTAGCAAAATTTGTGACCATCTCGCCATTTGCTGGTTGTTGGACTTTTATTTGATTTTGGTGGCGGATCACGGTTAAATATATCTTGCAGTAGAACATCCCCGACAGTATGAGGCAAACGATGCCAATAAAAGCAAGAACTGCGCCAGAAATCGTCGACGATGCTAATACTTTCAATGGAAAAAAAGTTGCACACAGAAACCATACGGAGATCACTAAAGAAACTACATACTTGTGAGTCACAAGCTCATTGTACCTGAGGTGAACCTGAATGGCTAGAAATCGGTCTGCACTTAGGGCCATGACACCGAAAAACGAAGCCGAAGAAAATAAAATCCCAGAGAGCGAAAACGCGGTGTATATGGAACAAGACGGGCCGCCCTTAGGGTCCGGCTGTAAAAATGTGATTAGCAACACGATGCATAGAGGATGAACCAGTAAACCAACTCCAAGGTCCGAAATGGCTAAACTCATAAGAAGTGTTTTTAGAGGTTTTGATAACGATGAAGTTCTTCTTAACGCATGTATTGTGACGCTGTTAAACATGATGGCGGTAACGGACAGTAAAGCGTTTATAACACAATAGGCAACGTACCATGAATATAAATCCTTAACCTCAGATCTTACCGGTTGCAGCCCCAAGAGCTCATGGCAGAGTTTATTCTTCATGATAATCCCCAAATGATTCTTAACTGACAATAGCAGATGTTCTATGGTGTTAAATACTCTTAAGTTCTCAGATGGAAGGAAGTGTTAACAACAAAAATTCGGGCTCAATTAGTCATAATTGAAAATTTAGCCTGAGGTGATACAAAAAGTAAGTGCACAGAGTAGTGTTCAGATTTTGCATACAATGTTTTATAGCTGAATATTCATATCGAACCAATCAAACCCCAGAGAAGACATCTGTTTGCCGTAAGGGGTGGATGTCAGTTGATGAAGCGCACAAGCTGTACAGCTATCAATTTCCGGCTTCCTTTTTTTTCATTTTAATGGCCAACTTACAGCAAGCCTTTTAGAGCTCAGGGATAACGCATTCGTAGAACATATTGAAAGTAGTGGGTTCGGCCATCTTTGGAAACACTCATCTTTCGTTTTAATCAAACAATCTAGTTTACCCACGAAAGTCCATTATATATTTTTATTGACAGACACTGAGAGCTTCACCTCTCGAGTTTTGTGTACAGCAGCAGTACCTTACAGATAAGAACCAAAAGTTTGTGCATCGTCAGAAAAAAATTTTCAAGCTCATATCTTTGCCCACTAGATAATGTTTAACACCTGCAAAATTTAGCTTTAAATCTAAATCAGAGTAAAATAGTATCTGAAGGGGGCAAGTTTCCAAAGAAACTGTGGTGCTGCGTCGGTGGAAGAGTATAACAGGGCAATTTAGTATTGTTAACTGAGTTGATAACGTAAATTGGTCACCGTAAAGAGTTTCAAAGCTGATGTTTCGAGCGTTAGTCCTTCGTCATCGCAAGGGCGAACGCGAACGTGGCCAATTTACGTCATCAACTCAGTTGATATTACTCAACAACTCTATAGTATTATTTGTCAAGTAATGTATCAGTTGCTTCCTTCGCTGTTGACTATGTTGGATGATTGATGTTCCTACTGTCAACTGACTTACTTATACTTACAGTGGAGTTAATAAAACAGCATACATTTTTTACTACTGTTAATCGAACAGGCAGCCGTGGCGGTCCTACTGAATGCGTGCGTGCGAGCAGCGAGATGTATCGAACGAGATTATGACTAATTTGTAATTTTCGAGTAGGATCAATAAACAAGCTGCCATAGTTTACTGTAATTTTTAAAAGGCTCTTTCTCAGCTCTGCTCACTCTAGTAAGTAGCTTTACGTAATTTTTTAAAGTGTTCGATCTCGTTTCTGTTCTTAGTGGATTGGAAAAACGCCCTGATCAAAAATTACACAATTATTTTTCTATGACACGCAAGTTCGTCGATATCCATCGACCCGGTTAATTTGGGAGATATTCCCAGGTAAAGCGACGAAAATGTTACACGAAAAAATATGGTTTAAATAATATTTTATATTAAACTTAAATATGTGCAATCCCTCTTTTTCTTTCACAATGAAGTGTGTCAACAAATATCGCTGACTTTTAACATTGCTGGAAAAAGTCACTCCGTTATGCATACGCGCTGTCTTACTGGGATGCGCATCTCCCGTCTTCCGTGGTTTGGAATAAAATTTCGGAGCATGTTAATAATTGCATGTCTAAGGTGCCTCATCTTCCAGCAGTAAATAACGGGGTTCAAAGACGAATTGAAGAATACCAGAGTCCATGAAGAAATTGTAGATATTTTTATGGCGCTGCTTGAGTCAAATACGAGCGTGACTGCAAAGGTACATGCTAGAGGCACGTAGCAAATAAAAAACATCAGATAAACGTAGAATGTGCCTATCGCTGACTTTCTGCGACTAATTAGATCTGTGGCCGTTGCTTCTACATCCTGTTCTTGTTTTTGTACCTGTAGAACTCGGATTTGATTTTTGTGGCATCGTACAGTTAGGTAAATTTTGGAATAAAACACTGTTGAGACCGACAGACAAGCAATGCAGACAGTGGTGTGAACTACGGTGGCAACATTCGGCGACACCCACAGCATGAACAGCGAGAGAATTATACTCAAAACCCACAAGGCTACCACTCCAAAGACAACACGCTTGCGAGTTACACACTTCCTGTACCTGAGATGAAGATGAATGGCCAGAAATCTGTCTGCACTCAGAGCCATGAGGCCGAAAAATGAAGACACAGAAAATAAAATGCCTATAAGCGCATACGCGGTATACAAGGCACAACTCGGATGGTATTCAGTGTTCTTCTGTAGCCATCTGACGAGCAAAAGAAGATATAAAGGTTGTGCCATCAAACCAACCCCGAGGTCCGAGACAGCCAGGCTGAAAAGAAACGTCCTCAGAGGTTTTGACAAAGAAGAAGTCCTTCTTAGTGCTTGGATTAAGACGCTATTAAATATGATGGCAGTGATGATAAGTAAAGCGTTTAAAGTACAGTTGGCAATGTAACATAAATATAAGTCTTGCGCATCAGTTCTCGTTGGCTGAAGAAGCATGAGCTCGTCACAAAGTGGATTCTTCATGATCTTACATTATTTTCGAAGGCATGAAAATTTTTGTAATACTACTCTTTCCCTGCTAGCTTTTCATTTTTCAACATGGGTTTCAGTTTCTTAGTAAACAAATCTGTAGAAATTTTTATTTCAATCTACAATTCTATGAGATCATCAATGAATTGCGCTTAACTTCCGTTTCATTTTCCAGAGGTCTACTCTTTTAATTTAAATGGATCTCAGCTTGAAATCGCGATTGACTTCATTGTAATTTGAAAACATCAGTCTCGAAAATAGCTTTCGAAGATTCTTCAGAAATTCACTTTTGTGACTACGTTGGATAAAAACTACCAAAATTAAACAAAGAGAGGTTTTTATTTCACTCCTAATAACGATGAGGTTGTTTCAGAAGAGAAAATGACAAAAACAAATTATGTTGCACTATCCTGCTTTATCAAATAATCTGCCAAAAACGAGACAGGAGTAATAAAAAGTCTCCAGGTAGATGAACTAAAAATTTTATTAATTATACTTTTCACTTAACGACGCTGTCACTTTTTTAATTCATCTATAGCATCAATGAGATTATTAACTATGCAGAAATAACTGTGTGTTTTCCATGCACCCTAGCTATCGGTATATTAAGGTGAAAAACAAAACAAAACAGGTGTATGCAGATTATGCCTAGGGCGTAAGACAAAACATGAAATTTCTTGACCTGCTTCCATCAGTTTTTTTAAAAACAAATGTTAAAATATTTGCGTCAATTTTGAACACAGTGAAAGGAATTACAAATTTCTTCAATGTTTTTGGAAAATTGAGAGATACTTTTTCTCCGCTAGATTAACAGTAATACTACGATGAAATCTTGAGGGACTGATTGACTTAAGTACTGAGATAATCTTTCTGTGTAGCTAAGCGATCAATTGACGTTACTTCTAACCATTTCCAAAATGATCTTTTCATGTTTTTCCCACACAGTCTTGTGCCTGTGCATCACAAGTTTGCTTCAGCTGTAACTGGGTATGACACTTCGCAGTGTGTCTTTAATGGCGCGTCGAATGTGTCTCATCTTCCAGCAGTAAATAGAAGGGTTCAGGGATGAATTTAGAAATACCAAGGTCCATGAACACATCGCAAACTTTTTTTCCTGCAAAGTGGCGTTTGTTCGGCCAGAATTTGGCGTGGCAGCAAAGATACAAAGCAATGGCAAGTAGCAGATCAAAAACACCAGATAGACGTGGAATGTACCGATTGCTGCCTTTCTGCCACTTACAACATTTGCAGTCATTTCGGCGTTCGCTGTTTTTGGTTGTATCTGTAGAGTCTGAATTTGTTTTCTATGACGTTGCACGGCTAAGTAAATCTTGCAATAAAGTATGGCTGAGACCAGGAGACATATGACACCCACGCTGGCGAGAACTGCTCCCGCAATACTCGAACGGATAAATAATCTCCCTAGAGAAAGAATTGCACAAAATACCCACAATACAACCACAGTGAAAACAACACGCCTAGGAGTCAGAAGTTCCTTATATCTGAGATGAAGGTGAATGGCCAAAAATCTGTCAGCACTCAGGGCCATAACACCGAAAAACGAGGCCGACGAATGCAAAGTTCCGAAAAGCGTATATGCGGTATATACCGCACAAGTCGAACTGTTTTCAACACTCATTCGAAACCAGTTGAACAGCAACACGACAAGTAATGGCTGAACAAGAAAGCCAACACCAAGATCAGAGATAGCCAGGCTCATGAGAAGTGTTTTTAGAGTTTCTGGCAACGATAAAGTTCTTCTCAATGCTTGGATTGTCACCACGTTGAAGATGATAGCGGTAACGGACAGAAAAATGTTTAACACACAGTTAGCGATGAACCATGAATACAAGCCGTCAACCTCAGCTGTTAAGGGCTGTATTAACAAAAACTCGTTACAGAGTGGATTTTTCATGTCCTATCTTGGATGATTTTATCAGGTGTTCGTTCACTAAATTATCATTCGTTAATTTTCTGAGTGTCCGTTGCACAGAGAGTGATTTCCGAAAACTGCAAAACTGTATAATCTCATAACAGTACTTCCACAAGTTGCCCTATAGGTGTTTGCAGGAATACTATAGTATTAGCACTTTCTTCTCCATTTATATGCAATTAGAATCTAAAAAAAATTGATTTCAAATTTACAGATTGACCTCGTTAAACGTGCTTCAATGAGCATTTAATCATTTTTATTATAAACTATACAAAACACTTGGTCTCTGATTGGTTCATGACAAGTGCTCAATTGGAGAACGTTAAGTAAAGCTTGCCTTTTTTATCAAACGATTCTTAATATCCCAGTTCCGCTAATAATGCAAACAATATTCTCTGAATTACAAGCTGTCAATCTTTCTAAACATTTTGAGCGACATATTTTGCCAACACTATTACGACTCAAACCCACATTTCACTATTAATCATAAAAAATTGCAATTTCCTCGATTGTGATTGGTTTAAAAAACTCCTTTTTTCAACTTATTCACTTGCCAAGTTGCTTCGGACAGTTTGTCATTAGACAGTTCAATAAGCCAATTGTGTTCGTGTCGTCCAATCCGGTCTGTGATAAACAAATCGGACGACCGCACGATTTAGTTATCACTCGTATGATTGCAGACCGAATTGGACTCCACTCAGTCTTATAACCATTACTTATCAAGTATATATTCCCATATAAGCTACGTAAAATACAGCATTTTTTCATAAAGTACTAATGCTGATGAACAGTTTGCCAAAATGAAACAGGTGAAAAATTAGAGTGAATGCAAGCAGGTGATTCGTTAATCAATTTGAATCCTTAATATGAAGAGGAACAAGTTGGTCGTGCCCATCGCTCAAAACGTCAGCTTTAGAAACTCTTTACGGCGGCCAATTTTACAGTATCAACTCAGCTGATAAAACCAAATCATTATGCTATGCTCTCCCATCGACGTAGCACCGAGATTCTTTAGAAACCTGCCCCCTTTATCCCTTTGATTTGTAACTATTTAGGTAAATTGTGGATAACATTGCGGACTAGTTCTATTCGTCCTGGACCTTCACACTTTCTTTATAGTTAAAGAAAGATACTTCATGACTGAATTTTTGACACAATAGTTCATTATCCGCGTTTCTTTCTTTACACATTTTCCCCCCTAGACTGGATATGACAATTATGTTGGCAAAGATTCTCTAGTGTGTCCATTATAGCATGCCGAATGTGCCTCATCTTCCAGCAGTACACAAAAGGGTTCAAGGACGAATTGAGAAATACGAAAGTTATGGCAGAAATCGAGAATGTCTTTACAGCTGTGTTGAATCCCATCACTGCAATAATAACAAAACTGGAGAACTGAGGCAAATAGCAAAGAGAAAACACTAGATATACGTAAAAAGAGCCAGTCGCTGATTTTTTGACGTTTGCAACATTTGCAGCCTCCTGTTGTACTTGTAGACAACGTATTTGTTTCTGATGGTGTCGCACACATAAGTAGATCTTGAAATACAGAAAAGCTATAGAGAGAACACAAAATATTCCTAGAGCGCCAAGAATCATGTACGGAATCCTCTGAGGAATCCGCACGGCAACTATCGTGGAGACAATAGCACTCAACACCCAGTTGGAAATCACTACAGAAACAACACGATTGTTAGTCACAAATTCTTGGTATCGAAGGTGGAGATAGACAGCCAAGAACCTATCAATACTCAGTGTGGTCACACCCAAAAACGACCCCGTGGAAAAAACGCTTGCTAGATACACAAACGCGGTGCATGTAGCGACAGACGAATTGCCAGCGCTGCTGTGTTGTGACTTCTTGAAAAGCAGCCAAAAATAGAAAGGTTGCACCGATAAACCAACCGCAAGGTCAGAGATCGCAAGACTAAGTAGCAACGTTCTCAGATTCTGTGATAAAGCGGGCGTCTTTCTGATCGCTTGAATGGTAACACTGTTGAAGATAAGCGCTGTCATTGAAAGGATGGGGATAAAGACACAATTAACGATATAAAACGGTCCCAAACTGTCATCGTCTTCGGCGGTTGTGCCGGCATGATATAGAAACAATGCGTCACACAAGGGCTGTTTCATGACGTTGAATCCAGTAGTTTTCTCTGTAGGATATGTGATGGGCTAGTGCAAGTTTAGAGGCAGCGCAAAATAGTGTTCTGCTGGTCTATAACCTGAACGTGATAAATATCACCCTTACGTCAAAATTTGCATGAGTAACGTCAAAAAAGAGACTTCAAAACAAACACGTATCTTCACTAAAAGTTCGACTTTAGGGAAAATTTGAGCAAACTGTCCTCTGAAAAACTCTCAATTAGATTGCCGCGGACAACTAAAAAGTACATTTAAAACCACAGTCGAAAAAGAAAATTATTTTGTGAGAGTAGTAACCTTAGCAGTTTTCAAGATCTCTGACTTAGCATCTGATTGCTATTGTTTAATCATTGGAGCACGTCAAAGTTGAAAACATAATTGAATTTCTACTTCTGACGTGCAGTTGCGCTGTTAAAAGGCAAGGTAGAATTTATGTCGAAAAACTCGCATAACATTTGTTATTAAATCAAAATATAAAATTTCAAACCTTCCCCTTGTCTTATGAAATAAGGAAAATAATGATAAATAAAATAAAATATTGTGACACACACGCACGGTTATTTCTTTCACAAAATATCTCCAAAGTTAAATAATCTATTATGCTGTCAAATTATGTGATTAGCATAATAATTCATGCTTCTTATGTCGTTACCATTTTGAATACAGTATTACTGTATTAAGTGTGGATAAAATTCTAGTCGTATTAAAGATCTAGTCGTACTAAAATGTACGTATGGACTAGTCGTAAAAGAAGCAGTAAAAGACAGCGGACTTGCATGTATGATTTATTCCTGATCGGGCAAATCACCTGCTCAACTGTCAGACGTGATCTCTAATGTCAGTCATTCCTTGGTGAACGTGTTTATCGCCTGATAGAACGCTCTTAAGAGCTTTTTCAAGCTGACAAGGCGTAGGAGATGCGCAATATTGCATAATACACGTTAAGTGTTGGGGAACCAGTAGAAGAGTCAATTTATCACGTACAAAGTGCGTCCGCTAATTGGGAACAAATTTCACGGAATGGCTTATGTAATGTTTAAAAAACGAGCAGGAGTGTTTTATCGGGTTTAAAACCACGAGGCGTAGCCGAGTGGTTTTTGACCCGATAAAACACGTGCTGCGAGTTTTTTGGTAAATGGGCTTATGAATTATTAATAAGTTTTTGAATGTAATATTGACAAAGAGCAAACTATAAAAAATTGTCAGTCTGTTGAGGTTGGGTGAAAGACAGACAAAGTTGCTTTCTAGTTGTGATTCGTTCGTTACTGATAATTATGAGGCAAAGGAAAATATTTCAAGGAAAATATTTCAAGAAAAAGTTGGAAGCTTTCTTGATCCGAAAAGGCAAACTTATCACAAGTTTGTTTGGTTTCATAGTATAAGACATATTTTAGTTTTTTTTTTGTTTGATGATGGATAAGTAATTACATGTGATCTAACCACAACGACTGTGCCCTTGCAATACAGAGACAAACCTTGGCTATCCGAATAACTTACTTTAAATTAATTCAATAAATTGATCGACTCAAGATCCATATGGTTGATCTACTATAGCCTTACATTTCGAAAAATTTATGGTTAACGTTGCTCTGCATGTTAAGCTGCAGTAGTGGAAATAATTTCTCTCTCACTTACGTGCGCGCTTTTTATCGTATTAGCAATGAACCGAGCCGACCGACACGGAAACGAGATCTATCGTGATCATTTGAAAAGAGATTTTCACATACCTGAGATTCCACTCTTGGTGACGCCCCAGACTCCACCAGAAGTTTGACAACTTCAACGTGGCCAGCCTCGGCTGCCATATGCATTGGCGCGTAACCATTCTAAAAGAAAGAGAAAAAATTTACTAAGTTGCGGTGCAAATTCTCAGCAATAGTGCCATTACTAATATATGGCGAAAGGGATGATGACTTCAAAGATTGCTCACAAAGGAGCTTATATGGGAAGGCCTCTGATATGCAACAATACAGAGCTTTTAATGGACAGGATTCGAGTCTCCCACATCATTATCTCTTAAGTGAACAGGTCAGCCTACTTTTAGATAGCATTTCAGTTGATTTAAGGTGTAGATTGGACAAAAACGTTGGGAAGCGATATTTTCGAGAAAAACATCTAAAAAATCTAATTTGTAATTCTCCCTCCAGGCTTATGAAAATATTTTTGTTTATTGGGCTCGACAGTCTCGACAGAGTTATATTAATTTAGACGCATTCCAGTTGACGAGTTTGTCTTTTCTTGAACGCATCGCGTATTTTTCTAGATAACGTTTATAATCAGCTAGGGATGAATTCGTAATACATCACCATTCATATGAAAGTTACCACATCGTCTTCACTCGATATTGTAATTTCAAGAGTAGAAAGTCTGTTTTTTAAGGTATACCTCATCCGGCGCGTTGATATCGGCTCCTTGTCCAATAAGCTGAGAGATCAGTTCCCGATGTCCATTGGCGGCAGCCAGATGCATGGCTGTTCGGCCAAGTTTATCCTTAACGTGAAGCTGTAGTGTTGACTTACTTAGGAGAATACTGACAACCTCAGAGTGGCCATTCTCGGCAGCCAAGTGAAGAGGAATGGAGCCCTTGATAAACAAAATAGAGAGAAAGAATTTTAGTGTCACGAAACTATTCTACCTAGTTCAAAGAAGGATTCAAGATTTCACAAGAAAAAAATCGAAGAGTGTCTTAGGAAAATGGTCTAATCTCGCTTAATCCGATACACCGATGAGAGTTTGCATAAAATTACAGTTCCACCTGGAACCAAATAACGCTCCAAATAAACTCTCGATCTTATTCAATAACATGCGTGACTTGTCGTTATGTAAAAAACTTGATCACAAGCCAGAGCAACCAAGTTTTGAAGCCCCCCCCCCCAGTGTAATCCCGTTGCACGAGTCAACTCCCCGCTAAGATACTCGCCAAGGTCTGGGTTCGCTCCAGAATCCAGCGCGCTGAAGGTGACCTGAAAGTGAAGGAATTGTAAACAACATGAAGAGCAATCATCTCACATGTACAGCTGTTGCCGAATCCACGCGCACACCAGGCGAGTTCAGCAGAATTCGCACAACACCCACGTGACCAGATTGTGCCGCCAAATGAAGAGGTGTGAAACAGTACTAGAAGACAAAAAACGATCACAATAAGCTGAAGTAAACGCTTTTAGTCAAAGTCAGAGATCATAAAGACAGTACCACGAGCCTATACGTGACGATGATTAAACTGAAACAAACGCCTTTGATCACAGAGAACAATCAAGATGGAACTGTTTCAAAAGCAGTCGATAAAAGCATGCTGTTAGCACCAAATGCGGTTTAAAATCACATTGCGGTGAATCTTTGGTGAGCCCTGACACTCATCTTAACGGGCCTGTTTGGAATGAGATTCGTTTTCTATGGTTTTTGGCAATGTTGTATCAGATTGCCTTGATAATTTTAAATATTTCACAACCACATCAGATTGCTTCCTTAACTTCGTCGATATTAAATCCGTAAATTGATACTCTCATAATCATCGATGGCGATGGCGAATCTCCTTGACTCTCGTATATCAAAGAAATGACCAAACACAATTGTTCCCCAATAAACTATCAATTTCATCCAATACAATGCGTGACCCGTCGACGTGTAAAAAAACTTGATCACAAGGCAAAGCTTAACAAAGTTTTGAAGCCCCCTCCAATTGTTTCCCCGCATTGCAAGAAAAATTTGACTTAAACCTAAAATATTTCCTTTTGACTGCTTTTCTTTAAAATTTCTCGTTACATCAATCGCTTAGAAAAACCTTAAATTAATCTTACTCTTAAACGACTTACATCTGAACGTGGTCCTTTGTCACCATTGTTCATCATTGCAGGAGACTCGCTTTTGATGGTTCCGGAAACTTTCAGCAGCATTTCTCTGACTACTTCAATCTGACCATACTGAGCAGCCACGTGAAGGGCGGACAGGCCGGTCTGCAGCGTAGTGCAAATAAAAAGGTTCAATTTGAAAATTCAAATCATAACTCGCGCATAATGTTGCACAAGATTTCAAAACTACGGTTCCTATTGAGCAGAACCTTGACCCTTTAAACCCTAAGAGAGACCAGCATCTAATTTCTCCTTGCAATATCACACCTAAAACACACTTTAAGTTCACGAGAATATAGGAAATGATCACTAAATAAAGAAACTCTTGACTGTTTAACAAATTCTCCTTATCAACACCTCAGGAAATGTAGATACAAGAGTATGGAGAACACGCATACCGATGTTAGGGTGTAAAGGACTAAAAGCTCTCCACACTTCGACTGAAGAACGCAGAAAGACAGGATGTCCTTTAAAGTTACATCTTAACCAGAAAATCATCGTGTCGTAATACCAGATACAATAAAAGTTTGTCTGCATCTGTTTATTTGTTTTCTTTACCTTAACGCTTGCCATGCTCCAAGGAACCTTTCCGCGCAAAACCTCTAAGACGTCCACGTGTCCAAACCTTGCTGCGAGATGAAGAACTGTCATCCCTTCCTGTCAGTGAAAGAGAAGAACTGAACTTTACTTAAAGTTGTTGTAAGAGTCACTCCTGCTATTTTGAGACGTCAAGTATTCGTTTTGGCTAATGGAAGCATTCTTTTCTATGGCCTTTTTTAACGGTCAATCAACTAAGGTGGTCATAAAGAGGTTACCTTGCTGTTACTATTAGGTTTGTAGATGCATGAAGCTACTTGTTTAAACGGTCCTTCCTCAAACTGCACCAATCAGCTCTACATTTCACATTGCAAGTTCCTTAGGGCTAAACATCTCCACTACTGGTAGTTTAAGAGTATTGTCCATTGTGTTAAAGAAAGACCAGATAGGGCCTGGTACTTACCGCATCTTCATCACTTGCCGAAGCTCCATGAGCTATCAACACTTCCACAACAACTTTATGACCACCGCTGGCTGCAAGCAACAAGGGCGTAGAAAACTTTCCCTGTGAAGGGACAGAGTATGACGGCGTTAGCTTTTAGAGGAGAAACGAAGAGTTCAAGATACTGCAGAAATTGGATTCGAGGGTAAAACAGTGTTTGACTGTAAAAGCTTTTCATGGGTACAATTCTACGTTGGTGCTAATGAAGGACTCGAGTAGGCCGAGTTCGAGTAAGCAATATTATACTACGGTTAACTAGCAATTCTTAAATGGTTGTTTTACCTTGTTTCTGGCTGTTGTGATTCCTGAAGGGTTAAATTTCAATAGCTCCTTCATCACAGACACACTGCCCTTCATTGCTGCAATATGAACACACGTGCTGCCCTCCTATGGGATAAGAAAGCGAAAGAAAGTCACTAATACTTTTTCCATTGTCGGTCAAAGCAGATCACTCAACCATGTTGAGAGTATCAAATAAAGGGAGTAAGGTTTTTAAGAAACTGTGGTGTTGCGTCGGTTGGGGAGTATAACAAGATAATTTTTTTTTATCAACTGAGTAACTTGGCCACCGTAAAGAGTTTCAGAGCAGACGCTTTGAGCGTTAGCTCTTCGTCAGAGCGAATGCGAGCAACCTTTGGTAATGATCTTCTGTCTTCTTACCGCGTTCTGTTGCATCATGACTCCAGGTTTGTGAGTTAGAAACAGCGTTACCACTTGTGAATGATCATTTTGTGCGGCGTAGTGAAGAGGCGTTTGACCTTTCTGTGGATAACAGGCAAAAAAAAAGGTTCATATTGAAGGCTGCGAGCGGCTTTCCAGCCGAAAAAAGGGTACGTCTCTAAAGAACATGTGGTGCTGCGTCAGCGGGGCATATTACTAGATAAGTTGTTTCATCAACCGAGTTGATATTTTGAATCTGCCACCATAGAGATTTTCTACAGCTGGCGTTTCGAGCGTTAGCCCTTCGTCAGAGCGAATCTTTACAGCGGCTAACATTATCAACTCAGTCGATAAAACCAAATTAGCTATCTAGTTAGCTTAGTACGTTGCGTCAGTAAACGAAGTAAAACGAACATGAAATAAACGAAAAAAATGAAGTTGGCGTTGCGCGTACTTATAAGGCCAGGCCTGTTCTTCCACGCACGCCACGCTTGTGACTATTAAAGTGCTTTAGCCATTTAGAAAAGACTGTGTTTTCATTTAATCAAACGCAAAGGGAAAAACCGCCAGCAGCTTGGGGAGGTTTGGTATTGCACGACTTTCCCGTGCTTAGCACCCATTATACGAGTTAAGCGATTACGCTTGGAGCAGTTTCTTTTTTATTATTTCTAGAGTCAATGTATTCCTCTTGTTTGACATGATTAGTAACTTGTCGACGACGTCCAAGACTCACCTTAAATTTGAAATAAACGATCACTTAGCTTAGGTGATGTCTCGAACATAGGAGTAGTCATTTTATGATGATGGACGGCACTTACGTTGTCCAGCGCGCTTATGTCGGCTCTTAACTCCAAAAGGTGTTCACAGACTTGTAATCGGCCCTTCTCTGCAGCCAAATGAAGAGCTGTCTTCTTCTCCTATCATAATAGGGATGGGCTTTGCGTTAGCGATTCGTAATTAAATATTTCCGCGCAAAATTAGATCGCTGTTATTAAGGAACAGATTCTCACCAGCGTCAAAGCATCCACACTAGCTTTATGGCTAGCGACCAGAAGTCCGACTAACTCTTTGTGGCCGCTCTCTGCCGCCAGATGAAGTGGAGTAAGCCCCACCTGAAAGAGACAAGACTCAATGTCTGAACAAAAACACTGAGTGAAACGTGTTCTGTACTTTTATTACTTCAGGTAATCTTCCTTCCATCTCTCCCTCTATGTAGTCTTCTTCAGTAAAGGAGAGAGAAGGGTTGGGAAATTTGTACCTGGAAATAATTTTCAGTGTCAAGTGTGATGGGTATTCTTACAGTATTTAGGCCTCTGTGGAGATCGAGGTGCCCGGGGAGGTGCTCCACCCAGGTGTAAGGGTGTACTTAGGTGAAAAGCGCGCCAGGCATTTATGCCCGGAGGTTTTTTGAGGCTAATAAACTTAAGCGAACGTCTTTCCGTCTACCATACTTTGAGTGAGTGCAGACCCACAGATAATTCAGCATTACATCGGATTGGCACTGAGTAACGTCGTCTACGAATGGATGGGTCACAGGAAAGGCATATCACAACGGTTCCTCCTCATCAGTGCTACAGATTAAATTTTTGGTATGAACAAGATCATGTACATCTTTTATGTATAGCCTCACCTTGCTTTTCGCATTCACATAAGCTTTGTGCTCCAGCAATTCTTTCGCCACCTCAAGATGACCGCGTTCTGCGCAGATGTGTAAAGCAGCTCGCCCAGACTGGTAAAAGAAAAGAACGCAAAAAAATACTTAGTTGGGGAAATTTCAAATTGAGAGTCAATCAATCAAAATGTAATGACAATTATCCCGCCACAACGCTCACACGCTCAAATCCGAAACTGAAAGATAATTTTATTTAGTTACTAAACCAGAGAGTACCTCATCAAAGACATCTACTCTTGCATGGTACTTCAGCAACGTACGCACAATTTCCGCGTTTCCTTTGTATGAAGCAACAAGCAGAGGCGAAGAACCGCTCTGAAACCAGGAAAACAATCCGTATGAGTAGCTAGAAGTTACATACCTGATTACCTTCAATAGCGATCAATGATTCTCCAGGAAAATACCACAGACTGCGTTAAATAAATACACTGGGATAAGTTAGTTGCCACTGTTTAGGGCGGCCCCCCTTTCCCCCTCTGTAAAAGCAATTAAATGCTATAGTATTTTAATTGGAGCACGAAGACCAAATGATCTGACAATGACTTACTGACGATCGTTTGTTGACCGTGACTTGAAGCTTGGAAGGGGGAATGGACTTTAATAGAGCTATCAAGATGTCGTTGTTCCCTGAGCGTGCACACTCGTGGATTGGAGTCTCCATGGACTGAAAAAGATTGGAGAAGAAACCATAGCAATCAGAATCGCATTACGGGGGTGAGGTACGGGTGTTATCGAAATTGACTCATGTGAAAGTGACACACGAGCTTTTTAGAGGGCAATTGTTAAAATGCACATACTCGTGACTAACCGAACTAGTACGTGCGCACTTTGTACGTAGCCGTTTGTGATGTGAGTGTATCAAACGAATCATATGCGTAAAAATAATAATCATTCCCTAGATTTAACGGTCATCAATAGAAAGCAGACACTTTGTTATCGAGTATGTGAAAATTAACCCACCTGATGCGTGACTGCTGTGCAATCGGCACCGTGTTCAAGAAGCAATTTGACGATATCTATGTCAGCGTTCCCTTTGACTTTCAGTTTGGATAACTTGGCAGCGTAATGCAGAGGAGTCTCACCTTTCTATAAAAAAAAAACATCAAAGGTGTATGGTAGCAGTCAAACAAACGTGGGAAACATTAGGGATGTAACATGCAAGTTATAGCAATGTTCTAACTTGAGGACGATAAACCATTTTAAAATTGTAAAGAACGCGAACATGAGAATGTTTACTCTTCAAGGTCTTTTCTTAAAGACTAAGTGTATGTCCTTACGCAGAAGAAAATTGGGACGAATTGTTGTTGTGTTAAGATGTAATCGGTGATATACCAAAACAACATTCATTTTTTCTATATTTCTGACAGTTAACTATACTGATTTGAGCTTCTGAACAGAGATAATTTATATACGTCTCCACTAATATCTACCTGGATCTCCTTCAATGGGGCGACTTGACTAAAAGCGCCTCTCTCCCCTTTTAAGCTAAAAAGATTGACTTTTTCTGTTACTTACATCAGTTGGCATATTGATGACAAGTCTTGCTACAGCTTTAGACTTCATTTGGAATAAGACTCGAATCAGTTCTTCTAGCACTAAGTAGTGTCCTGCCCGGATGGCGTGATGGAGGGCAGATTCGCCATTCTGACACCGAAACAAACATGTATGCTTTGTTAATAATAACCCTTTTCAAATATCGTCCAGATGTGATTAGAATGTATATTCCCCTTAAAATGTTAAAGTAGTAACCAGCAAAGGGGTGATGAGAGTTAATAAATTTGATCAGACATCAGATTTTCTCGATGAATTTACGAATGAGATCGCGATGGTTAAAAAAACTTTCTTGAACTTTCACAATCAGTGTTTACCTTTGGTGTTCGATCATAAATAGCGAGGTTTTTATTTTTCTTTAAGGTACGATCTTTTTTCCCACCTTTCAAGCTAAGCTCTTCCTGTTAAAATGTTTTTCTTTCTTCAAACTCTACAAAAGATCACCAGGTTGTGAGAGAAACTTAAGGCAGCACACAAATAAATGTCGATTCGACTCATATCTCAAATTACCGTCAATCTTTCCTCGAACAACCCGGCCTACTTGATTTCTCGATCTGATACTATAAGATGTATGATTTTGACGGTGATCTTAAAAGAATTCGTCAGTCTACCTTCGCTCTCCTCGCAGCATCAGCTTTTTCGTTGATGAGCAGCTTCAATATTTTCAAGTTTCCAAATCTTGCGGCCACATGCACCGCTGTCTCTCCATTCTACAAAAAAAACGACCCTTATTACTAACGATAAACAACCTGTAACGAGCTCATTGAAAAGAACCAGATTGAACTTATACAACCAGGGGGAAAAACGAATAGTAATTTCTCATTTGCTGTGAGAGGGGATGAGAATAGAAGATCTTTGGGGAAAAATAGGATACAACCGAGTTGGAGGGGATTCTTTCCCCCTCCCCTCCCCCGCACCTCATTGCTCCCCCCACCGTCACGCTTCTCCCCATACCTAAGAGTCATAGTGACATGTTGGCATTACTACCATACCTGTTATGTTACTTAGTGCGTCAACATCCTCTCATGTTCGATTGCAAGTAGAAGGCAATGGTTGGAGGGAGAAAATTAAAGTTTGCAACGCCCTCGGGAGAGAAAGGCAAGATGAACGAGATTCATGTACAAATGTACTAGTTTTTTTTTAGATGACTTTAACAGGGGTGTGAGACCCCTTTTCCTTCCCACTCACCCCCTCATATCGCCTTTTCTTCTTATGCCCTAGAATTACAACAAGTATTCAAGTGTAAGAACTATTCCTTACGTCACTCGGTGCATTGACATCTGCTCCACTCTTGGTCAGCATCTCTGCTACTTTTTCACCATCCTTGGTCCGTGCTGCAATGTGCAACGGTGTCTCTTCGGCCTAAAATAAAAACCAAGACAGGAGAACTGTGTTCAGTCTGAAGGGAAAAAGCTGACCACTGCTTAAAACCGAGAAAATCAATTCTGATCTTGAAATGAGGACCCCAAAGCTCATCGAGGTGATTTGTTCTCACGGCTAATTCAATGAAATCAGCTCTGTTCAAACTAGTAGAAACAGTTCCAACTCACCTTGCCCCCTCTGTGCTGGACATTGGCGCCATATCCCAGTAAGACTTGAACAACCTGTGGTTTGCAATGCTTCACCGCGATGTGTAAAGCCGTGTACTGATCCTAATTGACAAAAAGTGCAAAAATCAAACCAGCTTCGATTCTCTCATCAACCCTTCCCTGTGTTTTCCTCACATTACAAAGACACCAACAGTTTTTTTGCAGTAAAACTCGACTGGGGAACAAAACGCGCAAAGCATTAGCCCACTGCTACTGTTTTTTTTTTCCTAAAACGATCCGTCAAATGGTGTTGGTTAAATTGTGGTCCTGACTCTCATTTCTACTAATCATGTGGCGGTGGCGGTGGCGGTGGCGGTGGCGGTGGCGGTGGCGGTGGCGGTGGCGGTGGCGGTGGCGGTGGCGGTGGCGGTGGCGGTGGCGGTGGCGGTGGCGGTGGCGGTGGCGGTGGCGGTGGCGGTGGCGGTGGCGGTGGCGGTGGCGGTGGCGGTGGCGGTGGCGGTGGCGGTGGCGGATTCAGGGAGAAGGTCTGGGAGCTCCCTCTCCGTCCATCACAATTGAAGGTTTTCCAATGACTGTCTTTTCCGGCACCAAATTCTTGCAGCGACAGCATCGTATTATTTTTACTCAAAATGAGGTATGGGCAATTTACTTGTTCTAAAGTTGTTCTCAGCATATTTAGGCTGTGGTGTAGAAATGAAAAAAAAGTGATGTGTCTTCTGAGTCAAAACTTGCACCCCCCCCTCCCCTTCCCCACTCCCAACAAAAAATTCCTGGGTCTGCCCCTAGGGTGTTGAGAAAATAAAACTAACTGAGGGCGAGAAATGGATTCTTACTTTGGTTTTGGTGTCCACTGAGGCGCCCTTAGACAACAAAGCCCTGACGACTGCCACATGACCTCTCCTCGCTGCCGCGTGAAGGCAAACAGCACCGTCCTACACCATGAATAACAAAAGAAAATAAATGAATGCACATTACCTGAGTTAACTACCAAGCAGATCAATGAATAATGAGACCTTTCATATGAAAGCTCAACATTGAAAGCTATCGTAGAGTATTTTCATTAAATAAATAGAGGAGGAAAGTTTCTAAAGAAACTGTGGTGCTGCGTCGGTAGGAGAGTATAAAAGGGTAATTTGTATTATCGACTGAGTTGATAACGTAAATTGGTCACCGTAAAGAGTTTCAAAGCCTACGTTTCGAGCGTTAGCCCTTCGTCTTTCGCTCTTTACAGTGGTCAATTTACGTTATTAACTCAGTAGATAATACGAAATTACCCTATGTTTATCAAATTACGCTTTGTCTTTGTTAAGCTGTAGTGATTAGAATGTGACAGCTCAGTAGATTTACATTTAGAACCATTAGTAAGTTGGTATCATTATCCCCATATTGGATAATTTAAAATTTCAAAAAGAAAGTGTGTGATCGTTTTCATTGGGTGTTATATTCAGTACAAACTCGTAGTTTTTCATACAGCTATTTTGACGAAACCTTGCTCTGTGACCTGTCAAATGACAACCATAATGTTAAACGTGCCATCATTTTCATGTCAAAATTCTCCAAAGGAACACATTTTGTTCACCTTGTTGGGCATGTGGAGGGGCACGCCCTTTTTGAGAAACACCAACGCAGTGTCAGGATGTCCTGCTTGAGCTGCTATGTGCATCAGTGTACTGCCATCCTAGAAACAAGCATCGTGAAAATTCATAAAAAGTTTGCTTCGTCTAGTTTCTGAGATTCTGCTGCAAACAAAACAACACCAAAGGAAAACTTTCAACTTCTCATTTCTTCTAATCAGCCATACCTTAGTTCTCAAATTCACGTTGGCTTTCAGTTTATCCACTAAGAACTCGGCGACCACTGAGTGACCTCGTTGAGCCGCCAGGTGAAGTGGTGTGCGGTCGTGCTAACAGATCAGGAAAAAGGGAAAAGTTGTCAATAAATGTCCTGTGATGCACCAACGGTCACGTGCAAGCTAACAAGCAACGTATTTTCCCAAGAAGATCTTGTACAAATATCCATTAACGATCACCTCTTATCAGCCAATCAAATGCTTGGAAAAAAAGGGCGCTTTCATCATTCTGCCGACGAATTAGTGTCTTTGATATGTTTTCCGAGCTGCGCATAAGCAGTGAGTTTCCGCACTGACATTAAATTAGTTATTTGTCTTCCCTTTTTTTCGGTTTTCGTTACAGAACCAGTGTTGAGTTGTAGCTTGGCAAGAGTCACTAAATTTGAAAACCCCTTCCTTTTGTGCGACAATTGATGTGTTGTAACCCAGTTATCTATCGAAACGTTTACATAACATGAACTCACTGAATCCGCGATATTCGCATCAGCTCGAGCTGCTTGGAGAAACTTGATCATTGTTTCATCTCCTTCGTAAGCAGCGATGTGAAGAGCTGTCTGGCCTTCGGACTGTTAAGAAAGAAAGAAAAAAAAAAGAGAAGGAAAACAACAAAGGAAGGAAAGATCAGTCAGGAATTTCATCAGCCAGAAAAGAAAACGGAACGAGGACTTTTTTCACTTACGTTTTGGACGTCCACAGGACAACCACATTCGACAAGAATCTTTGCGATATCAATCTCCCTTTTACGTACAGCAGCATGCAACACGGTGTCTCCGTTAATCTGAAAATGAATTCAGTTCGCAGCAAAAAAATTATAATAAAGTGAACTTTGTAGTAACACTTTGAGCCTCACTCGGCCCTAGCCCTTTCAACAATTAACAAAGTATGAGGCACTGGAATAGGGTTTTATTCATACTTGTTCTTTCGTCTTTTCCAATCAAGAGGAATATGGAAAACAACACAATTTTTTGGGATCTAAAATCTGACAATCCTTTCTAGAAAGACGATGACGTTCAATGATTGTTCCGGTATGGACATCATACAATGCCGTCAAAGTTATTTCTGATATCGAAGTAACGTCTGATGATTCATAAAAATAACCGCACTGCGCCCATACAATAGTATTTCAATTTTTTTTATTAGATACTCTGTCTTCTTTTGTTTCTCCATATTTTCTGTAACTTCTTACCCCTCTGGTGATCTTCACTTGCTGTTCAGTTTGGGAACTGAGTAGCTCTTTCACTACTTGTTGATTTCCTGCCATGATCGCAAGGTACAGTGGGATCGACCCGCTCTAGAAGAAAAATTAAAACATGGAATATTCTACAGTTGTGATTCCTTTTGTTTTGGTTTTTCGACACAGCATCCAAAGAAACTCAGTTGACTCACTTTGTCAGTGAGGAGTTTGGCATCCTTTCCAGTGGCCTTTAGTAGAGTTTTAACAATCTCCAAAGCTCCAGATGGTCGGCTGCATGCGATGTGCAGTGGAAGTTGCTCCTCAGGCTGAAAAGAAGATCAGCAAATCAGTTTAAGTTAAAAGATGAATTGAGGTTTATCCTGGACACACGGGAAAACAGGAATCCTCATGCAGCTTTATAGTTAGGTTGCGCGCAAAAATTGAATGTTTATCCTAGTCACATGGGACAACAGGGATCCTCACATAGCTTTAGCTGGCGCGCAAAGTGGAATGTTTATCCTAGCCACACGGATAAACAGGGGTCCTCGCGTACCTTTAGCTAGCGCGCAAAATATGAATGTTTATCCTTGTTACACGGGTAAACAGGGATCCTCGCGTAGCTTTACAATCAGTTGGTGCGCAAAAACTGATGAAGGAGCAATAAATCAGAGAGGCAATGTGAAAATTGGAGAAAATGTCACAATTACTGAAGAGATTGAGACCGATCAACTAAGTTTCTGAACTCACACTTTTTGTAAAGTAACATCCCCCACAAATGATTTCGTCTGATACAGTGCAGAAGTTGTATGATTTCTTTCATTTGGCTAATCAAAGTGAAACGAAGTGTGCAAGTTATTTCAGTTTTAATTTTCCTCTACTTACCCCGGCTGGAAGTGTCGGATCCGACTTCTTGGAGAGAAGAAGTTTCACAATACCGTCAGAGCCAGAACATGCTGCATAATGAAGAGCTGAGCGGCCCCCCTGCAAAGATCAAGGAAGAGAATACTTTAAGGGGGGGTTCTGGTCTTTGGTATAAATGGTTGTTTCCAATCGATTCATCACACACGGTTGTAACGAAAACTTTGCGCAGGTGGGCGAACGAACTCGCAAGCGAAATAGTTGGTGGACCATGATTCCCCATTCAAAAACAAAACGTGACAGTAACGAGAAGTAAAGAAATGATCACCAACCACGAAGCTTTTGATTCTTAAATAAATTCTCCTTGTCGGCACCTTCAGATATGTATTGAGAACAGTATGGAGAATATACAAACTGTTGCAAGGCTGTAAAGCGTGAAATTGTAAATATCTAGTGCAAGAGGGAAAGGATGGTTGCGTATAGTGAAGATTTAGGTGAACTACAAATAAGTGACTTCGAAACTTCAAGTTACTCCTTAACCCCTACATATGACCAGCATCTAATTTCTCTCAACAGTATTACTCCTGAATCACACATTAAGGTCATGAGAATAAAGGAAACGATCTCGAATTCAAGAAGCTCTTGATTGTTAGAACAAAGATTCTCCTTGATAAGAACCATAGGAAATGCATAGAGAACAGTATGGATAACTTGCATACTGATAACAGGGTGTAAAGGGTTAAATTTTTCAGGATTCAGAGTCAGTGGCGAATCTCCGTTTTCTATGCATACAATTCATAAGACTATAATCTTCGAATCAGACTGCTTTTCGGTTTGTAAGCCTCCTCTGAAAGCTAAATATAGGGCAGAAATATAGTTGATAACATCAGTCTTTATTCTTACCAGTGTTTGAGCTTCAGATGTGAAAGATAACGATTTCTTGATGGTTGAAAGGAAAGATTGACTTGGCCTTTCTCGGATGTTAGTATTGATTCTTTTAGTGATCAGCTGATGCTCTGGTATATACTTTCGTTATTAATCAACAATATCCTTCCAAAAATGCTGTACTAAGTTTGCGTATTACCAATAGTGACTATTTTTAGTTTGGCATTGAGCTTTGTCATTTTGCCAACACTTTCACCGTTCCAAGTCGTGATCACGTGATGCACGCCGTCAAATCGCATAATCATGAAAATTTTTGGTCTGTGAAATGATATTTGTCCTTTAATTATAGTTTTCGGATAATACGTTCATATTGCACTGGTAAGTCGTGATTTGTGCGTGCGACTGGTTTTCTTCATGAACACACAGGTTACCGCGGTCAAACAAGAATAAATCTGTCGAATGTTGGCATTCCATAAAACTTTCCTTCAAATGCAAGCAGCTTATGCCCCGATTTCAACTGCTAACTTTTCATGTGTCGAATGTATGAATGGATCAGCATAATCCATGTTTGCATCCCGCAATTCCCCTCTTTCACTGAGGTGACTGATTACGAGGCTGATTAAGGTCAACGTCTGGATCAACAGTCGATCTTTATCGCTTGAGTCTACCAAAATAAATATTTATGATTGATACTTGAAAGGTTTGGCGTTTGAAGCGAGCCTTAAGCTACATGAGGGTCAATATCGCCGAGGGGTGTGCTGCGCTGGGAATTTACTGACCGTAGAAAGGCGTTATGCAGTCACCATGCAATAGAGGATCATAGTCTAATCAAAATTTACTTTGAGCATTTTGCAAGTGATGAGTTATTGAATTACCCTCCACAAGCTTTAATGAGAAATGTTAGTTTTTGTTACATAAATCCTTACTTTGCACGTCGTGTGTCGCTGATAAATTTGTTATGAAAGATGAAAAACCGTCGGACAAAAAGATCGCTTAAGTAAATACAAAGATTAGTTTATACTTTTTCATTCTATTCACTGTATTCTGAAAGAGACTTGCAACATTTTCAACTCGGTTCAATTTTTGCAGGACTAACGCTGAATTTAGAAAGTCACATAAGGAGTTTGATGCAAAACCTTTTTAAAATTTCATAACACGAAAAAATTTGGAGCAAGACTCTAAAGTAAAACAACTTTTAAGATGCAATCAAAACGTAATTTTCTTTCATGCTTCAAATTGGTTGAAAAAATTAGTGCAAGAAATAAACTGTAATGAATATTGCGAGTCGCTTCCCGTGAAGAGTTAAAGGTGGCAATGAAGGCACGAGGTTATTACTTCAACTAATGAACTGAAAACTCGAGCAAGTTGTCTTCAAAAGTGATTCTTTCTCAAGATCCTGTCATTTTGTGTGTGCAGTTCGAAAACGCAAATGTCGGAAGCAATCTCCAAATAAAAAATAGGTTCTTTTAGCTGTGAATACAAACGCCTTTGTCGAAACACAAGCGCTTCCGTCTTTGATTTTATCTCATTGTGAGCGATCAGTTTGTTTGACATCAAAGACACAAGACAAAGACTTAAGCGTCAAGTATATAGAAAATAATAAAATATACTTTTGATTTTCTCTTTTTTTCTTTTGACCGAAATCGTATCAGCGAAAACTTACTTCAAAAATTTAATGAAGTTGGTTAAAAAAATGGTATAACATGCTTAATGAAATTTGCTTATTCAGCTCGATTCCACTTAGAAGTAATTGTAAAGATAATTCTTTTTATCCAAAGATATGTATGAAGGAAACACTTGTCTTAAAATGGGCGAGAGATGGCGAATAAGATATGAAATAACTAGGGAAAATGGTTGGAAAAATAATGAGCGAAAGTTTGATATCACCACAAGCTGGCAAATCTTGTCGCGTAAATTGTAACTGTAAACACGAAAAGGCCGTGTACAGCCTCATTTAACTTTAGCCATTCTTTGCAGTCGTTTTGATATCAAAAAGAAAATCTCTCGAGTAAAGGTTGACTTAAGAGAAATAACTTTTTGTATTTACTTTGGAAAAATTTCATCTCGTCCTAGTTTCAGTTTATAAACATAAAGTGTATATTTTTGGTCAACAGATGATTAGAACTCAACCTCGCATTGGTCGAAGTTGTGATTTCATTTTCAAATGACAGTTATGGCGGAATCATTTGTAGCGATAATGTATGGTAAATTTTAAAATGACTTCTTGTCGACAGTTCATGTTTCGAAAGGCGGGGATTTATTTTTTTCTCGGTAAAAAAAATCACTTAAAAACGCCTAGAAAACGATAAACACATGCACAATAAACATGGAAATTTGAAACAAATCACAGAAAGATAAGAGAAATCATAAAGTCCTTTCATACGCTTAAGGAAAACTCACGCGACTTGAAAAAGTGGTAACCGTTTCAATAGATTTTAAAAAAAATATTGAAAATCAAACATATGCGGCGATACTTTTGAACAATGGAAACTATATGTAAAAGACGCGGCTATTTCTAAGCAGGCTTAGCTGCTCCGTGTATTGACGATCTCGATCAGAAAATATCTGTCTCCCAAATAATTTTGTAAGAAACAAATTTACATAATCACCGATTCACGTATTTCATAACGAGAGGAAGGTAAGAACAAAGTAACTCTGCGTGTAGTTAGCTGAATACGTTTTGAAAACAATATTTCTTTAGAAACGAAGGGAAATATACCTTCCGCTCAAGATAAAGAAAGCCTCGACTGAATATTGTGCAAAAAGATAAATGTGAATGTTTACGAAGGGCTAAAAGATTTTTCCGCAAAACCAAACCGCATATAGATCAACTATAGGTAAAATTTAATTTGTTACGAACAAATTTTATAAACCTCAACAAAGTTATAATTGCTCGAAGAGATAAGGCGAAGTCACGTGACGGAGTTGCGCGAAGACTTCAGTTGTAGTTACTAAGATATGAACAATCGTCTTTAAAATCAGCTGCCTCTCTCTCCAATTTGTCATCACCGTAGGCCATTTTTGTTGGTGTTAAAATCAACAAACGATACGTCTCTAAGAATTGCTCGCACAAAGGGATCAAAGGCAGTGAAATTTTTCTCTTCACAAACACACTTTGTCGTGCAAATTTTTTTTTAACCAGGAGAAAGATCGCATAGTGAGCACAATTAGAAGCTGGATATAAAAATTTAATAAGGCATCAATATTTGATCCTGAAAATTGAAATCAAGGACCAGGTTGAAACTGCGGTTTACCGCTATTTTGCAAGTGTAATGTTTATCCATCCAAGGAGTGTGTAATTTTCAAGGTACGCTTGTGTTTGGTCCGAATAAAAGACGAGGGCTTTCAAGGAACTCGCCAAGTTTTTTACCCAGCTGATATGCATTTTACCTTTTTTTCTTTACTTCAGCTGTGTTGATGCAGGAAATCCAATTTTAAGATTCTTTTCTACAAAAACACAACGAAACAAAAGGTAGCAGACAAATATCGAGAGCTTCCATTATAATTTTCTTATTTCAGCACACAAAAATTCAGAAAGAAAACATGTTTCGTTTAAAACACTGCAAACATACCTCCGTTAAGATTCTAAAACGTTTTATCGAGTCTTCAGTTTACCTTACGATAAGCAAAATTTGAAACGCACATAAACTACTTTATTTCACGTTTTCGTTTAGTTAGCAATTTGCGGGAATATCAAATAAAATTGGCCGCTGCACCACGCATTGTAAGAACAAGAGGCCAAGAACAGTCCTCATCGGTTCGAGATGTGCGATCAATAACAATCCGGAAATTCACAGAGGAAAAATAACTAACTCCACATCCTTAAGTGTTTCCAAAATATTTTCTGTGAAATCTCCACTAATTAGACTATGGCCCAGAAGAGTCACCTTATTTGATGCGGTAAAGCTGACAAAATGGCAAATCAATCTTTTGATTACCTTCTTGTGTAATTAAAGAAAATGGCTCGGAAAAACCTTGTCGTATTAACAAGTGAAGTGCAAGTGGACCGGATTTCGCCGCCTACCTTGTCCTTGTCTGTGACCACGGCGCCCAGTTCAAGTAACTTTTCCACAATGTTGTGCTTGTTGTCACGGGCAGCCAACATTAACGGCGTTAAGCCGTTGTCCTGTTAAAAAATAATAGGAAAAAAAGAAGAGAGATGAACCTTTAGTGAAAAAAATTACAAATGCTCATTTTAAACGGCGGGAAAGGGGGTTTGAAGAAACAAACCTCTGCTTTGGAAGCCATGATTTGTTAGAGGCGCAACCAAACCAGTCGCGCGGCACGCAGTAATGAGATTTACGCCGTGCGCAATCAGCACAAAACTGAATGGGAGCGAGCAGCTTGCCTGGCGAATTCAATATTCATTATTACGACCACTGTGTATTCAGTGGATTTTGGTCCTTTTGCAGAGGACGAGTTAACGAAATTAAAAAGCCATTAAATTCTACGACGGTTTTGCGGCGTTAAGTTACGGAACAAAACTTCACAATAGGACGAGTTCAAGGAGCAGCGCAAAACGTGATAAGCGTTCAGATAAATTACTGCTGTACGTCGCGTATGGCAATAACGAAATAATAACAAGCCTCAACCAAAAAAAGCGTTAAGGGGTAGGCTGAGGTAGTCTAGCGAGCGAGAGAAGGACAGTGTAACGAGAAATAGAACTAGCAATAATATCTTGGTTCAATAATGAATCTGTGTCCAGGTGCTTAAAAATTAAGACCGCCTAAGCCTTAATAACTAACTAAAGATCATTTCTATTCTATAATTGGTATTGTTAAGTTTCTTGGGACTTCTCATCCGCCCATCTTCGATCGTAAAACAGCCGGTAAAAATTGTAACACTAAAATTTGCAATTTCGAACCACAAACCAATGAGGATGATGCCCGATGAGCGTGAAAAAAAAATCTCGATATCAAAAGTGCTTTATCTACCGCGGGGTTTTTGTATTTCGAAGGCCGCATTTTTGTGCGCAACAATGTATCAAATAAATTCTGAATATTGTGGGAGGATCATTCATTACTTCGACCTCCGTCGACGATACTTCCATGTTGTTTCGTTCCAGGCTGTTGAGGTGTTGATCCACAGCCGGCCAATCTCCCTTTAGAGAAAGCGCCAAAACGCGGTTTAAGAGTTCCCATCTAAGAATCGATGGCGGAGTTTTGGTATCAAAGAGTACTCTGGAGCCTCGTCGTGGTTGGATCTGAGCCACTGCTGAGTCCGTCCCTGGACTTGGAGGCCTAAGCGATGGTCGGCGGCTTGAAGGACTTGATCCTGGTCCTCCATTCGGCATTGCAAAGGCTCCGGAAAATTTGATCAGTTCCTCACCACAGCGGGCTCTTACTTTCTATTAGCTCTGCATTCACGTTTTACTTATTCATTCAAGCTTTCTATGAATAAATCAGTTGCCTCTTGCTGTTTATCAGGTCATAATTACTGTCATTTCGACGAAACATTCCGCCATGTAGAAGGTTGATCTATGGATGCGCATTTTGTGGTTCAGACAATCACCAACGCATCATTTTCTAGTGATTAAACGTTCGAAACCGACTAAAGAAACTGCGCATGTGTAACAATTACAGCTTTGTTTTGAAATGATTACTAAAAATTACATTTTGCAACCACGCTCTAATTTTAAACCCGAAAAAAAAATCAAAGCACATAAAAATCTCTTCGCTAATTAAATCCAAATTTATTTTTTATTACCTCCAAGTGCCATGCTTTTTTTCATGAAATTAATTCTCAACCCAAGGAAGTCGTTGAAATATCAAATAGAACGGTGTATTCATGTGTAATTTCTCCAATGTTTCCGATTTATTTGCATAAGAATGGATGCGCCAACTACTTCGGACACCTCAAATCGTTTGAAGATTGTCAGGCTTTGTATAAACACACATATAAGAGAGCGTCGATCTTCTCATTGTGATGCGGTTTTTATAGGAACAGGTGCGCAAATGACGAGGTGATAAAACGTGATATAGGAAACAGAGTAATGAGCAGTACATGATTCACCCATTAAATTAAACAGAAATTTTACTAAGCGAATGTATAAAAGTCGGGTTGTTGAGAAGCGCGTAAAACTTCCGCGTAATGAGGTATTCCTTGTCAACAAAGGAAAGGAATGTTTGTGAAAGTCGTCTGTTTGATATTTTTCTTATTTCCATTTGCAAAGAATAAGGAAACAGTGGATTTGTTGTGTCACGATTGAGGATCTTTGTAACATTTTACAGAAAGCAAAATAACGCGAATTCGGCTAAAGTCTTGCAACCGTGCCACTAAAAACACTTAACTAGCACTTAGACAAAACCCTTAAGACTTTGTTTCTTGGCCTCTTATTTGGGAAAAAAGCTTTCAGAATTCGTTTCTTGGTCTAATGTGTTCTATTCAATCAGCCGTTTCAAGGCGGAACTTTCCGCGTAAATTTCCTGCATAACTGAAACTGTCCGAGCTCGAAGAAACTGAGTGATTGAATCATGTTCACACGAGACTGTCTTTGAACTATCAGTTATAACTCTAAACGACATAACGATTAAAATGATGAAGTATTAAAGATGGGAATCATTTGGCTGCGGAACCTTAAATATTTCGTTATTTTGGAGTAAGTTTCCCTTAGTACTCCTCCGTGAGATGTTTATCTTTCCACACTTGACTTTTTTGACGTTACGAACGTCTGAATTTAAAATCATTCAACTACCTTTGTTAAATAACCTCTGCTTTCACTCAAGTAAATTATTTACATTAGCTGTGAACAAGAGATATTCTGCTATTTTTCAACCTGGCTATCAAGAGGATTCTAAGAAAGGTGAAAAAATTAGGGTTGTGTTTTTTTCCCAGAAACCTTTGCTGTAGACTTCTTTCGTAAATTTACCTAAGCCCCGCTTGAGAACAAAGTATTTCAGATACAAAATTTGCCATTTGGGTTTCATGATGTTCACAAAAACGTACCGTGATGAGATACAGAAAATTGAAGATAGGTAGAACAAAAACTGTTTTCAAATGAGGTTAATTACGATAGGAACCATTGACATCTATTTTGTTCGTAAATGCAATATTTGCTTCCCGTGACGTAAGGTGAAATTCATATAATCGCATTGAATAGCAAATGAAAGAGTTCTTAGTACGAAAACTAGCAAATGCGGACTTGAATTTAGCCTACTGCTAAAATTGCAGCAAAAACAGAAACAAAGTGAAATACGTTTTGTGTAAATATAAGTATTTGCCATTGTCTCTTCGGATTTTAGAAGATGAACATGCACCTTAGCAATGACAAATGAAACTTCAAACCTGACACATCACATCAGGTTTAAAACAAGCAATAAACAGAAAGTAAACGTAAACCTACTTCAGTGCAGAACAAGGACGTCTCATTGATATAGTCTGAATCACTTATCCAACCTCCGTGAAGGCGAATACCGATCGGAGAACGAGCGCGACCTCTCGAATCTTCGGGAAGATCCATTCGGCGTTTCAAGGGACTGTGGTTTCCGAAAGTTGAGTTAACACTGACGTACACTCGAATTTGTCTTTCATATGAATCTTAGCGATAAAAGGACGATTCTCGCGTTTTTGCTTAGCGATCGTGTGTCATAAGTTAACCGATGACTTGTGTTGATAATATCATTGTCTGAGTTCATTGAAGATACCAGGTCGAACAAGACATCTCTTGGAATCACTCTAGCGCGTCCTAAAACGATTGTTTTATATCCCAACGTAATTTGGCCAAACAAGAAAGCTCGAGACAAAAGGCTGCCAGTCTAAAAAGCAGAAAGTTTTTCTATTTAGAGACACATAATTGTCGCTAATAGCACCAAAGAAAAGGTGTTTAGCAATGCATAAAATACTGCATTAAGTGAACGGACAGCGAAGTTCTAAGGAAGAGTAGAGGTCATTGAGCCATGTACACTTATATTAATGGACATAACTGACAATTCCACTATGCCTTAATGATAATCAAATACACCGAGTTACTTTACAGTTCGCAACTTCAGTTGTTTACGAGCATGACTCATGCACACTAACTCTAATGAACCATTTATTCCTACGTCACTGATACAAAGCAAGTGCCAAAACAGCACAAAAACTTACATAAAACCTACATCATTCATTTATGTGCAAAGAAACCTGTTAGTAAACTCTGTTTGCTTTCGTGCAAGTAGGTAGCCATGATTCTGATCTCTATAAAAGGATCAATAGTAAGAGTTGATTATCTACAAATCTTTTTCTTCTTTTTTTTTGCGTTACTTCTACGCATGAAGTCTTTTACCCTTAAGAGTAACAAGCAGCTCATCATTTCCTCCTGACAGCATCGCTACCAAATCAAACATTGTGGTCATGACAATAACAGAAGTGATCGCCAACGAAAGGGGCTCTTATTAAACTGTTAAACAAATTCTCCATTACATTACAATGGGAAATGTATAGAATACAATATGGAGAAAATGCGCATTGATCACGGTTAGGGATGGTGAATTCAGTGTAAACGGCCGTCGTGGAGACTTTCTTAAACTCCTTGTCCGGCTGGCTCGTAGCTCGCTCTTTATTCGGTTTTGATAGCTGATATTTAAACACGACCATCGTGTAGCTACTTGTCTGAATAAAAAGAAGGCTGGTTTTTTTATATTTTTTACTTTGAAAGATCGCAAGTCTAGTGGTCATCAGCGTTCACGTTTACAGTTTCATCGTTTCCGCAGGAAAGAAATCATTCGAGTAGGCCGGAGTCTACGATATAGTTTACCCTTGGTCAGCGCTGTCCCGTGGTAACATTGTGACATATTTCCTGTTGAACTGCAAATATTTTTTTCTATAATTTCATACCAAAGACATGATTTAAAGGAGTGCAGAAGACTCCAGATATCTCTTACACAATTAATCCACCCTAAACAAATATAGATCTTATTAAGAGAGAAGAGAAGAGAGAAAGTGAAACTACGTTCTTCATAAATACCTTTTCCTCGTCCGTTAAATCATTCTCTGTCATAGCTCGCGGAGCCCCTGAACCTTTCCGAGATGTAAGGTATTTTTTCAGAGAATCGGGCACTGTTAGATTTTGGGCTTCATTTGCCGATGAAGGCATGACTCACGAAACAGCTCACAAAAAGAAAAAAAATTATCACTGAACGATTCAATAGGGTAAATATTCAACGTGGACTCAGCGGGATAAAACATGTACGGAGGCTTTGCGCCAGAGAAACAGCCACATTTTCACAGCGTGGAGTATTTCTTCTTTCATGTTTAGCAGTGTTTGAGAAATTGATGCAGTTGTACCATCGTCATGAGACCAAGAGCAAAAGAGAACTCAAACATTCGCAAACAACCACGTTGCACAATACGAAACACTTTGTGAAATTCCAATTTGCATTGTGGATTAAACAAACTTTAATTAAAACACTCGAAAAAGAAAAACACTTTGAAGTAATTTAACCATAATGGAGACGACATGGTTTAGGCATTCGGTGATCCACTTTGTAAGAAAAATCTTCTCTCCGCTTCCAAAAAAAATAGAAGCATGTTGTTTGTCAGAACAGGCATTTCCTTCGCTGAACCCCTTAAATACTTCTGCAGCGATAAGCTTAAAAAGCCTAGCAACAGCAAACAGAAAGTCAAACGACAAAAGTACACAAACTTGCCTAATAACTGGGTAATAATCAGATGTTGTATATCATATATCGGGGGAGGGCGGTGAGGGCGGTGAGGGCTTTTATGAACCGCTCGAGAGGGTATGATCATGGGCGTCTTTAGTCTTTAACAAGATATGAAGTTTTACTGATAAGCGTTTTAAGAAATAATTTTTTTTCTAGACCGGAAGACTTACCGAAGGGTTTAACTAGGCGGTGCAGTCTATATTTGTGGCACTTTTTTTTTTCAAGTTTTATTTCTAAATTTAGTTTGAATAAGCTAGTTGTGACTCCCTCACGTCAATAAGACTCACGTTTATCCTAAATAGGGGAATGAAATTAATGTTTTTCAACAGGGTCACACCCGTGCCCCCCCTTCCAGTAAAAAAAAACAAAATGCGCCGAACTTACGAAGCCTCTGGCCGACTCGACTTTACTCAAAGTTGATTTTATATACAGAATACCTACATATATTGTCATTTGAAAGTAACATCTCCGTTTTCATTTTAAAATTCCTCAGCCGATTAAAGAGTTATCATGACAAAGAGAGTTCTTAGTATATTAATGGCAAAAATAACTTAACAAACACGAAGACATTCGGGAGAGAGCAGTGCTACCTGTGGTTAGATAAAGCACTTCGTGATAACTACTGGGTAAAGAAAAAGTGTGGTAGTTTTCT